TAGAGCTAATTTTATACATAGTGGGAGATGGTTGTCTGAAAAATTACGATTAGAAAATATTACATAGGCCGCCTTTGGCTTTATCTTGTCTGTAGTCGTTCCAGCAGTTATCTGTAGATTCCAGATGCTGAAACCAGGGGCCACGTTTGTGTGGGGCCTCGTAACCGAAGTACATTTGTTGCAACAATCAAATTGTCCATCTGGATTTGAGAAAAGATTGCTGACTATACAAAAGCATAAAGGCAGCAAATGTTGGTATTTTTTGTGTGTGTGCGTGGACAATTGCATGAAATAGGATTGGAGTTTCAAAGTAATTAAAATCATTCAGCGTGATCTACTCTTTTTGTAACTCCACTGACTACAATTAATTTAAACCAAGAATTTCACCATGCAAATCTACAAATTCCAGTGTCAGGCAGCTCAGGTCTATATGGATACTTAAGCTTAATAAATCAGCAAGAATGTTATATAAATGGTAATGCGACAAAAACTATTTAGTTAATATTATTTCTCTCACCGTTTCTATTCATTTGTTTTTTATACAAAAGTTTGGAAGTGCACTTCCTTGTGGCATTGGGATATGTGACGTAAAGCGTGATGCTGGTGCAGAAACGTACCAGAAACAAGGTTCACTTCTCACTGCTCAGACACCCCATGCGTGCCTATTTCCACGTTACAGATCCCACTGACGTTAACGGAACTGCGTAAAGTGAGGCCTGTTTGTAACCCTTCTGGGATACTGCTTTGGGAATCTGCAAGATACGTTACAGTCTCAAAAGGCAATATTAAAACTTGCGCTTTCCGGTTTACAGAACGCTATGAACAGGGAGGACAGCTTGTGAGACACATCCAGAGTAACTTCATCCATTGGTATTATTACACCAGGCTGACGTCAAAATCTGCCTCAGTGCCTTAATTTCTCAGTATGATTTTACAAAAAAAAAATCAAGAAGTTATAAGGGCATCTAACGCTGTTTGACTTCTGTTGTGTTCTTTTCGTAACGCCATGTGCTCTGGAGATGTCTAGGGTTTCATTATCCAAGGGAATCATGCAAAGCAGTTTCAGATGTTTTCCTTCCTTCACCTTAGGACACGTAACTGCTGGTGAAAGGCAGCGCAGTCCCGCTGAGCTCTGTCACTTTACCTACAAAGGCAGTAGGATTTTATTGTGCAAGGTGGAAAGTTACCTATGGTGCAAAGTGTACTACCTAGACTACCGTGGATACCTACTCACAGGACATGATTTCACTGTATCACTTCATACTTGAAATTCACGATGTTCTTTTAATCAGGGTACAAACATGAAAAGGTGCGTGTGTTACTGTTTCTATTAAAGGTGCATCATTATTGTTATTCTGTGTGCTTAATAATTCATGTTCTTTACATTCTTTTTGTTCAGCATTAAGATCAGCTCTGTGTGAAACACAGTATCACCCACAGAGGTACAGGAAGGCGTAACCGTGATTCTTGAATTGTTGCTGGCTTGCCTTGTGCTTATAAATATACACCAAGGGGTTACATAATGCAAACTGTGGTAAATAAAAATATTGCACCATTGCTGTACGTGAACTCTTGCAGCCTCTCCTTGCACAGCTGCTGATTACCATATACGCATTGGAAAAACTATGTTTCTGCTGTACAGAATGGCTGGGAAACAATGCCGACACTTTGGACGCTCTCGGGCTCTCTTTGCAAGCTTTCAGACAAAGCCCTTTGATCTCACTGCATGCCTGCTCTGTGTCCCAGATCTCACCCTGGGAGGCTTTCTGCTTTAGGAACACCCTTCGCTGGGGCTGCTTTACATTGACTGCATTGAAGTTCATCGGAGCGTACTCTTCCAAGCATGCACCTTACCATATAACATATTCTTTAGCTTTTACAAGTCTGTAAAGATGGTGGACTGCAAAAATACTCATTTGTCAATACGGCAGAGTTAAATTAAGGCACACAGAAGGTTGTCAATGTATTATATCAGAATTACAGTCCTTTGGAACTGAACGTTTTGCTGCTGGCAGTGCAAGAAAAGCAAAGTTGTGTATTTATTGTGGGTGCTGAGGGTTCCGTATGAAAATCGATATAATAAAAACGTTCATGGCGTCAAGTTCTTTTTAGTTGTTCCCAAATTATTGGAAAGTAAAAAGGCAAGAAACTAGTTTTGTATTTAAAACTACTTTCCTGAAGTTTACTTCACTTTTCTAGCTATATTTTTCTTTTATCTAAAAATGTAAAATGAATACAAATGCAGTAAGTATTGTATATTAAATACAGAAAAGTAGCGACGCCGTTTCCCAGTTTTTCTTTTTGTGTTTTCCTCTACACCCAGAGCCTTACAGAAAATGAACCTAACATGCACACAAAGCCAGACACAGAAACATAAGCACGTTCACACTCTTGCAAGTAACCCATCGTACACCTCTGGTTTTATAAAAATGTTACCTTGTTTTTCCTGACCACTGAATTATTCCCTTGCTTCCATAGGATGAAGTCCATTAAGGAAAAAAAAGAAAAAAAAAGTCACCTTTTCTTTCAAAGGCATTAAATTGTTGCCGTTGCTGTCCAGGCGACTCTGTTCAGCACTAGTTTGTCTTTACTGAAATCTTCTTTGTTTGAGTTCACTTCGCTAGGCAACTTGTGCCCTGATTCAGCTATTTTCCCTGATTTTTTTCAATCCAGTTGTTCCACTGAAGGGCCTGGTGTTCATGTCTGCTGCTACTTCCACCTTCTGTCTTTTAAGAACCTGAGCACACTTTATTCATTGACTGTTTTCTCCTTCATTGGCAATGGATACGAGACCAGTAACATTTCTGGTACACAGAAATGGTAAAAGTGCTTGTTTGGAGTCCAACAATATGACACATCATCAAACTCTAAAACCCCTGTTTTCACTCCTACCCAATCAACAGAACTCCTCAGCAAACAGCTCACGTGAAGTTTCAGCATATTGCTTATGGCAGGGGGATGGAACTGGCTAATCCTTAATGCCTTTTCCAACCCAAACCATTCCATGATTCTGTGATATATCTGTGAAGACCACTAAGTCTCTTTAGAGCAGGATAAAAGTAGTTTCTACTAACAAGGCTTCAATGAGCCATCAGTATGTAAAAACTGACCCAGACACATCTTAGTCACAGTTCTAGGCAGAGATGGCTGCAAAGCTGACCAGACCACAACACAAAGGATTCTGTAACTTAAAACCACAATTTTTTGCTGCCCTCTAGAAACCACAAGGAGTCATGTAAATCCTTTACAAAACCAGCATATACACTTTGGACGCAATGTGACATTAAACAAAAACAGCTACCTTTACCTTAAGTGGCATTCCACATCAGCCTTGAAGCGCTGCGTAAGAGGGCGCAGCAGTAGCCCAGCCAGAGATGGATGTGCCATCAGCTGCAGGGAGGCTGTGCTGAGGGCAGTGCTGGACATACCCACCTCAACTACAGCTGGCATGTGTTGAAAACATGGAAAAAACATAGAAATAATAAACAGACTGATCAAGAGCTTCCATTCAGCATCTCATCTCTGAGAGTGCTAATCTGGCAGAGTAGGAGCTCCAGCAGGTTGTAGGCAGCTGTGGAACCTCTTCCCATGGAGATTTTCTTCCTTTGCCCTCACCTGGGAGAGAGGCTGAGCTGCACCAAGCTCATCAAACTCAACCATGGAAGACAAAATAAAATTTTGTCCATTAAGCAAAATACCACAGAGAAATAGCACGAGTGATATGATACAGTTTTCATTATTCTCATATATGTTGTCATCTTCTTTGCCTCAGAACTACCTAACGACACCACGTATCGTTGCACCATAGAAGCAAATGTTCATTTTAAACATTTCAATGTGTATCTCTCATTTGTCTGTCAGTTACTGGCACACAGCAAGATTTGCAGTATTCATCACTTTACACCCAATGGCTGTGTTGCTTTTTTTGTGTTCTATAGACACAGGCACCTTTCAGCCTCTTGTCACCCAGAATCCTTTCCTGTACATACTATCACCCATTTTTAGGCACCCCCTCTGGCTGGATGTGTTTCCTTGCTCCCAAGCCAGCAGGAGAGCTAATGGCAGTGTCACCAAAATGCACCAAGTTGCTCTGGGGCTGTCAGCCACAACTTCACACCCTGCCATGGCCTCAAGTCAGGCTGTGGTGCTCCCAGACCTTCGGCACTGGGCACAGCCTGCAGTGCCATAGCCAGACCCATGTCCCCATACCTGGTGTGTGGTGACAGCAGCATGGCCAGACCTGTGCCCAGACTCCAACGCACTGCCAGGCACCATGAGCCCCGAGCTGGCTGGTGAGGGCCTGCCCAGGGGACCAGGCTGAGGAGGCATGCAGGGCAAGGCCGCACCGTGAAGAGCATGATCTTCTCTGCTAATGCTGTTCTTTCCTCCATATATTTTAAGGAGTTTTGCTGCTCGTGTCTTTGATGGGCTTCTCGAGCACCACACTACAGAATTCCTTGGTTTGCCAGGGAAGCAGAGAGGTAATAAGTAACGATTGAGCACTTATTCTCCTTTTCTTCTCCCTTTGTTTTGTCAGCAGACCCCGCTCCACAGAGCACTGTACCAGGACAGGCCGCCACAGTCAGGGCACCTCAGCGTACACCTCAGGAAACCGAAGCGACTCCTCCAAGCGACCACTAGGTAGGTCAAGAGGAGAAAAAAACCTCGCAACGGCACCTTCCCCTCCTCCGAGGTGTTCAGTGCAGATGGGCTCCCCACGTTCCACATCCCAGGCCACCAACGCACCCCACACTCCGATTTCCCTTCAGCCTTCCCTTGTCCCCAGCTCTCCCACGACAGTGGGCCGGCGCCGACCCGCCGCCGCAGCCGCACCTCACGAAGCTCCACCGCTCCCCTCCGCGCCGCTTCCGAGGAGCGCCGCCCTGTCCCTCCCGCGGTCCGGCCCCTCGAGGCCTCGCCCCACGCCCACGAGCCGAGGCGGTGCCGCGGTCGGCTCCGGCTGCGATCCGCCGGTAGGGGGCGCTGCTCGGCCGCCGCCATCGGCGCTCGCGAGGCCGAGCGGCTGTGCGGGGCCGAGCAGGGCCGGGCGCCTGCGGCGCGGCCTCCCTGGCGAGGGGAAGGGGCCCGGGCTGGGCCGCGGCGGCGCCATGGGGAAGCGAGACAACCGCGTGGTGAGTAACGCCCGCGGACGGCAGCGGGGGCCGGGCTGCCGGCCGCTGCGGGACTCGGCCGCGGTGCCCGGGCGGCCGCAGCGGTGCGGCGGGCGGAGGCCGCGGAGGGCCCGACCGGCCGGGTCCAAGGCTCCGGCCGCCGGGAGAGGGAAGCGGAGAGCCGTTGGCCGGGCGAGCGGGGCCGCCGTCCCTCTGTTCGCACTGCCGGGCAGCGGCGGCCCGGCGGCTGCGGGGCGGGAGGCTCCGAGCAGTTAGGCGCGCCGGCCGCGGAACTGCGGGTCGCCGGGCGGGAGGTCCGGGGGGTCCGCGGGGCCGGGAGCGGGCAGCGCCGGGGGGGGTGCGGAGCGCGGGGGGCGGGCGCGTGACGGAGCCTCACTGCCGTGTCGAAGCCGGCGGCGGCCGTGACTGAGAGCTGTTGTGCGAGCTGCCGAGCGCGGGCGATGAAGATGCTGGCCTAGTCCTTAAAAAACGCAGCGTTCCCGGTGGGAGTTGCTGCAGCTGCTGAAGTAGTTCTGGTAGTCGCTAAACCGTGTCTCCTTACGCCTGGCACTCGGCCCTGCTGAAACGGGCTCCGCATGGCTCCGCTCGCCTCAGGAGGCCCAAATACTCGTGGTTGCAGAGCTTCATTCTGCATTGTTACTGCATTCATCCCTTTATCTCCTTGAAACTTGTGCCTACCAGCCAGCCGCTCACCTTACACTCCCTTACTTAGGCACCATGAAGTGTGAATTCACAGTTGCTGAGTTTTGTGATGAAAAAATCAGTCATGAGACTGTTTTTCCCCTTTTCTTATTTTTGGAAGTGCTTTGAGCTGTAGCTGGCTCCACATTGGCAAGTGTCTGCTCAGCACAATGGTGGTGTGCAAGAGGTGTACAGGACACTGTCCCAGCGGAGAGCTGAGGGCCTTTGGTTGCTTCGCTGAGGCACCAAAATGATGGGATCAGTAAAAGAGGGGAGATTTAGCTTAGAGATGGAACTAAATTCTTGAGTCAGAGCATGGTGAGGCACTGGCACAACTGTCCAGAATGCTATGGGTGTCCCATCCCTGGAGGCACTAAAGGCCGGGTTGGCTGGGGCCCTGGGCAGCTGAACTGTGAAGTAGCAGCCCTGCCTGGCAGGGGGTTGGAACTGGATGATACTTCAAGTTCCTTCCAACCCAAACCGCTCTATGGTTCTGTAACTCTAAAGATGTGACTGTGTCAGAGTGCAGGGCCTGGCCTGTGCTTCAAGTATGGTGCTCTGCTGTAGTGTTTTGGGCTGTGCTTAAGTGTCTGCTTAAAATTATTTTAATATTACAATGGGGATGTACCTACCCATGTCAGCCAATCTTATACCCCTGTAATCTATGGCACAGTAAACAGTCGGTCACAACGGCTACTGGTATAGACAGGTTATCTCATTGGGCTCTTTTCTGCTCTTCTGTGACTGCAGAGCTTTTCACGTTTTACATCTTATCCATGGCCGTTCTTAAAGCTGTCACCATTTGGGCTGTTTGGAGAAGAACAAGAACTTTATTTCTTTCACATCTTCAAAACACTTGCAGGGCACTGACGGGTTCCATGGCTTGCTCATAGGACCCTGTCCAACTGAAGGTGCCTTCTGCTTTCCATGAGCACAAAAGCTCTGTAACAAATATCTTTCATAACTGCCTGAGCAAACTGCTGGGAGAGGAAATAAACGTGCAGATGAGCACCTTCTTTGTTAGGACACATTTTTCTATGGTTTCTGGCTGCTGAAATGCAAAGCAGTGTAAGTGCTTCTAGGAAATGTTTGTTGGCAAAATGAATCTTCATAAATAAAGTTACTGAAATTACAGGAATATTGTAAGACATACATTCCCTAATTGTGGGATGTAATATAGTATTCAGTCGTTATGTGCCTGCTGCTGGAAAGGAAGAAAACTGTGCTACTGTGTGGAGGGCTTGCAGGGAGTCAGTTTGAGGCAGAAAACCAGCATTTGGCAGCTCTAGCCAAGAGATAGAGAGGGATTTGTTGTCATTTTGGGCTAGTTTGGGAGGAAAACTGCTAAATTTTTTGGAAGAACAGCGAGCAGTCTTGTTCTTAGGAGTAATTACAAGCATAAGAAGCTCAGGCTTTCACAAGGAATTCCTGCAGGTAGCCAACGGAGGGCTGCAGGGAACCAAGCCGGGAACTGCATTTCAGCCATAATTTCTGCTGCTCCCAGTGCACTGCAGTTGTCTTGGTTTAATGAAAACAGTGTTAAAGTACTGCATTCCTGCACTGGTAAAGGAAATCTTTTCTGACTCAAGCTCAATTTGGATCCAAAATTCCTATTCCTTATTGATTTGTAATATAATAAACTGCTAGAGTTATAAATGTGAATATGTGTCTTCACTTGAGCACCTGCATCCTCCTGCTACAAAAGAGGGTGCCAGGCAATCAGAGCTGCACACTGCTTGACCTTTTTCTTATCTGCAACCTGCAGGCAAGAGGAGCGGTTTGTCTTTTGTTTTGTGAAGGTAAATAGTGAGGCTTTGGGATGGCATCCTGGTAAGAGCAGGAGACAAAGGAAAATGTACCTCCCTTCTACATGAGCAAAATATCATTGGCATAGTAACAGTAGAGTAATTGCTTGCTTCAATTTCTGACATTAATTGCTGAGGTTATAATAGATACCTCATAAAATTCCAGGTGTTTGCCTTATGATAGCCCTAAGTGTCCAAGGTCTCATATACGCATAACTGTCAGCAGGACGCCGCTTGTTTGTTTGGTGTTACAGCAGAGTCTTGTAGGGTGATGTTATTTTATCCAGGATGCATTGAGTCTGCCGTCATCAGTTTTGAGCAGAACTCCAAAGGCCCGAGTGCCAGATGTCCTAGAGACAAAGGGCTGAAATTAAATCATGCTTTCCATGTCCCAAGGAAGAACGTTTCCACAATCGTAAGGCTGTGGTCGCTTTGCAGAGTCAGCTCAGGGAGGGCAATGGTCCTTTTGGGGCGAATTCTTCTGCCAAAGTGTAACAAACTGAAAGCACTTTTCCGGGGTCTTTCTGTGACTGAGGAAAAGGATGTGTGAAGAACAGCAAGGACAGATCTTGGTAACAGCACAACCAATGAACTTTATATTTCTTTTTGTTTCATGTTCAAGGCTTACATGAATCCCATAGCTATGGCCAGAGCACGAGGTCCTGCCCAAAATTCAGGACCAACAATACAAGACTACTTGAACAGACCAAGGCCGACATGGTAAGTGCCTGAGCTGAGTGAAAGATTTGTTCCCTGTTCTCTCAGTTACTCACATCCTCCTTCAAATACAGTGATACACTTTGGAAGGTTCCTTGGCTCTGGCGAAAATGTTATTTTCTAAATGCATATTCAGTCTCTTTTAAAAATAATATTTCACTTTGAAATACGTTTCACATTTGTCTTTAAATACCTTGGCTCAGAAGTTTCTCAAAAGAGGAAAATGTTGGATACTTTACCTCTTTCAGAATCCTAATGCTTTAAAGTATGCGGACGTATTAAATTTTTAAAACAAAGTAATCTTTGGTGGAAAAAAAAGCATTTTGCTGGTAGATTCTTAGAACATAGTCTACCATACCCCACAAAATCATTGCTTTAAGGCACCGTCAACAGCTTACTTTACATTCAGGCCATTTTAAGCCCTTTCTTAAGAAATTAGAGCATAATTTACCTAATTGCAAAGTTAGCTTTAGATCTTTCAGAGAGGTTTAGCTACCGTGCTGAAGTTATTACAGTTAGGTTACCATATGTGTAACATCTAAGATAATTTTCCCGTTGGAAGTTCAGCCAAAGCTAAACTTCAAAAAAACCCCACATAAAGTTAGACACTGAAGCAGGTATTTTTAATTGTGAGAATACAGTAACTGATCTCTCATCCTTTTGGTACAGGGAAGAAGTGAAAGAACAGTTAGAGAAGAAAAAGAAGGGATCCAGGGCTTTGGCTGAGTTTGAAGAGAAGATGAACGAGGTTGGTAGTGTTGTTAGTATGTTAATGCCCCAGCTGTCTTATCTTGTATGCTGCTTTTTTTCCCTTATCATTAACAGCTCCAAGTACCCGTAACGTTTTACTGTGCTCAATCTCATAATGAGTGAACGTTTTATTTTGTTTGTATTGAATATTAACATTAGTTATTAACCAATGAAGTGCTACTCCTGATTCAGAGAAACACTGCATAAAAGGTTTTGAGAAATGCTGTGAAGAAAATGTGAACTAATCATCACTTGTTTAAGGTCACGCAATCCAAACACATAGGGAAGAGGTGGGTTACTGGAGTCAGGCTGCATTGGTGAGGAACATGCATATGATTTGGATATGGGAGAGTGCACTAAGAGTGGCCTTGAATGTCCAAATGTGCTTATGGAACACTTCTCTCTTATCCTAAGCTGATTACATTCTGTGCTGGTTCCCTGCTGTAAGTGGGGCTATTCTGGTAACTGTGTTTAGCATCCGCTGGAGATCAGCGTGCTGTAAGAAAGTTTCGTATTTGACTCCTGTTGTGTACCTAGGAAGAAAACAGTAGATGATGAATTTAACTGCTCTGTTCCCTTCTTGGATTCTGGTATCTTGGAATACGCTTCAAGGAGTAATCTTCAACACTGTGTGAGAGTTTCTGGTTGAAGCAGATAGTGCTCAGGGGACTGGAGCACCTCCCCTGTGAAGGCAGGCTGAGGGAGCTGGGTTTGTTCAGCCTGGAGAAAGAAGGCTGCAGGGTGACCTCATTGCAGCCTTTCAGTACCTAAAGGGAGCCTACAAACAGGAAGGGAATTAGCTCTTTGAAAGGGTTGATAACAGCAGGACAAGTGGAAATAGCTTTAAGTTGAGGGAGGAGAGAGTTAGGTTGGATGTCAGGGGGAAGTTCTTTACAGAGAGAGCGGTGAGGTGCTAGAACAGGCTGCCCAGAGAGCTTGTGGATGCCCCATCCCTGGAGGTGTTCAAGGCCGGATTGGATGGGGCCCTGGGCAGCCTGGTCTAGTATTAGATGGGAGGTTGGTGGTCCTGCATGTGGCAGGGGGTTGGAGATTCGTGATCCTTGAGGTCCTTCCAACCCTGGCCGTTCTGTGTGATTCAGTGTGATTCTGTGTGCCTCTGTTACTGAAAGGGCTTCATACCATGCTTGTTACATCTTTTTGCCTCAGAATTTATACCAATATTTGGAAGATGAGAGGATGCAATTCTGAGGAGACTGGTTGTTTTGTGCTCTGTCAGTTTCAGCTTTGTGAGTTTGGTTTAGTATTTTATTGTGTCTCTTTGCTTTATTATGAATTATTTGTAGCTTCTAAGCACAGATCTCTCAGTGGTAGAAAGTGTTACAAGTCTCTGACTGAGGTGCCCTCTCAGTTTACTGACAGATGTTCTGGTGCTTTTTGTTTTATTGGTTTATTGGTTTTGTGGGTTTTCTTGTTTTGTTTTTGTTTTTTTTAAAGAACACATACCCAATCTGTTTCTACTTCAGAGAGAATGTCTGCCTAACAAAGCCCAGTCTGTTGTCAGAGGGTCTGTAGGCAGCACCAGGAGGCTGAAGTGCCCAGCCTGCTGTGGTACTCTGTAAGCATTGCCTTGGATCACAGAAACACACTGCATGCAGCACTGTATCCTGGCTAACCTTGTGACTTCTTTCAGCAGCACTGTTAAGCTAATTCACCGTGTGCTGACCTGGGGTTCTGTGTATCATATTGCACTGCATGTGTATAATCATATTCAAATCCTGGTATTTCTTTTCCTTCAGCACAGTATGTGGGTTGTCATTTCTTTGCCAGAACAATAGCAGCACATTAGGAGGAAAGGAAGAATAAAAATGATAATAATAAAGAAAGGAGCACCTGATGTTGCTAACATGGAAAGCAGGAATAGCTCAAGCTAGCAGAATTTCGGGGTGATGGGATGTTGGATGCTTCAGAGCCCTTAGAAGTGGAATTTGGAATAGACTGAGAGAACTCGTGAGGGAAACAAAAGAGATGTGCATATAATGAAGTTCTAATCATTGACACTGACAAAGCACAGGACACACACTTGATACACCCGTGTGTTGAAGAAGGGCCAGGAACATTTGTCCTGCAGTTCTACTTCGGGTACTTTTAAAACATAGGCAGAGTGCCTGTTTGTTTGGTGAGCTGACCCCACCGTACTGATGTGTTCTAACAGGAGCTCTGTGGTACTACAAAATCAGAGACCAAAATTGATCACCTCCAAGATAAATGACCATGTCCTAAGCCCAACTGACTTGAACATTAAGGTGTGAACTAAGATAAATGGATTAATTTTAATCTTCTGTAATACTAAGTGAACCATAGCCATGGTTAATACTACAGACTGTTTATTTTCTGTGGATTTTATGAAAACTCATTAATTCAAGTAAAGGACATGATTTTGACAGAGATCTCTTAATAGAGCTGTTTGGAAATAATGGTCGTGTCACCTTCATTTTGTTTGTTTCAGAATTGGAAGAAAGAACTGGAAAAACACAGGGAGAAATTACTGGGTGGAAATGAGAGTTCTTCCAAAAAGAAAGAGGTCAGTTATTTTCAATTTGGTTACAGTTGGTATTTGGAACTGGTTTTTGCAGTATGAAATGCCATGAAAACATTTTAAAAACCAGCATCAGTGTATATAAACCTAAATGCACAGGAACACATTGCCAAAAATAATGTTTGTTTTATTCTATTTTTAAGAAAAAGAAAAAAGAAAAGAAGAAATCTAGTAGGGTGAGCAAAATTTTCAATTTTCTGAGCTTTTTTTGCTTTGGGATTGTGCATATTTGCTATTTGTGTTTTCTTGGAAAGAGGAGATATAGTTTTAATTTTGAATTTGGATGTTATTAAAATTACCTGATTTTAATTGGAGAGAGGCAGATTATTCCGCACAAGGAGAATTTTACTTCTGCTTAAAGAGCAATTGGTGGGAAGGGAAAACATTAAATATACATTATCACATTAAAAATATCAGAGGTCACTTTTTAAGTCTTATTTAAGAAAATCTACGTGAGCCCAAGTTCTTGGAAGTAAACAGTTATTGACAGTGCTTTGTAAATGGAGAGATCTTAAGATTAGGTGTTTGCATGGACTTTTACTTATTTGGTAGAAAAAATGCTGCATCTCACAAGCTTCACTTTTTGTTGTGTTTGGTCAAGTTGTCTTCATCTTCCTCTTCTTCATCAAGCTCTGATTCTTCCAGCAGTGCATCTGATTCAGAAGACGAGGTAAGCAGTAAACCACCAGGATGTAACGCGTTTTGTCTGTTGAGTGAAATGTTGCCTTTGTATTGATCTCAGCATGCTTCAGGCATAACAGTGGAGCGTGTTCTTCTTGTGTTAAGAGAACTCCTCCATCAAGGAGGAGATACTTGGGATTTCTGTTTTGAACATGGAAGATTAAACTGAAAATGAGTAAGCATTTTACCACGTGTACCCTAGTCACTGAAATAGGGGCTAGTGTTTGTTTAATTTTACTTACTATTTACTGGCTTTAACAGCCAATAAAGGTACTTTAAAAGGGTGATACTGTAGTTCATGATGGAATGAAGAGAAGCAGTGAGGACTTACTACACATGTTAACCCATTTTATCTGTAGAACCTGAGATTCATTGCAAAATGATGTATTGCAAACTAGACTAACCCACAACAATACTCTGAAGCCACTAGAATAAAACAGAGAGGTTTACATACTTTGGAAAAGATTGTTCTGGTCTTGAGATATTCTTTGGATCTAGTATAGCGTCAGCAGTTCTGAACTATTCTGAATCTTAACCTCTAAATTCCTATTAACACAGCTAAGATCTTTGAGCAAGAAATAGAGCATTACCATCTTGCTGTGAAGGTTTGCAGAGTATCTCAAACTGCAGATGCTGAAAGCAGCCTCATTATGCAGTCTTTTTTGACATATGTCAACCAGTATTATTGGGTAAAAAGCAAAGAAAAAATGACTGTAATCATAAAAATAATAGAATGGTTTTGGTTGGAAGGGACCTCTAAAATTATCTAGTTCCAACCCTCTCTCTAATTCCAACACCTCCCACTCTACCAGGTGGTGGAATGCTTACAGGGTGGTGGCATCCACAACCTCTGTGGCCAACCTGTCCCAGTGTCTCACGACCCTCTCAGTAAAGAATGTCTTCCTAATATCTACTCTAAATCTACCCTCTTCCAGTTTAAAATCATTTCCCCTCATCCTGTCGCTGCACGCCTTTCTAAAAAGTGTGTGATCAGAATAAGGCTTTCAGGCTGCCATTCTAGAAAATGAGGGGAAAACAAAAGTAATGTAGAAGAATGCACAAGTAACATAGAATGCACAGTGGCATGCATATTTTTCTGTCAAAGGATATTTCATATAAAAAGTCGAATTAAATACCAGCTCACACTTCATCATGAGACTTAACACAGATCTTGGCAATATATTTTAAAATATTCTTTGAGGGCTTCGTTTGCATGAAGCTATTTAAATTTGGTACATTTGGTGCTTATGATACAGTTGTGAATTTTGGATATATATCTGTTCAATAACTTCTTCATAAACGACCGTATTTTAGGAGGCTGGCTTGTAAACTGAATCCATTGCTGTGCTGACATGGATTTGTATGCTTTTCCAGTAGAATCCCCCCAGCTCACCACATTATTTTTACTAGTTTAGCATAAATCTTTTTTAGAGATAGTCAGGTTCTGTAGCATACATCTAAATGATAAACAGAATCTAGGGAACCTGAATTTTACTCTAGTTTATTTTTTTTCAATGCGGAAGAGATACAAATGTCTTCCACTAAAGGAATCAATTGTAGTATATTTATTCCTCAGGAGAAAATGATAATATGTAGGAATTTGGCATTTCCTATTCTTTGCATGTAAGTTTTTAGTATCTAGTGAAAATAAATTCAGGATTGTCTTTTTCTTTTTTCCTAAAATATTTTTGGATAGGATAAAAAGCAGGGGAAGAAAAAAAAGAAAAAGAAACACCGCTCCTCACGGAAATCTTCATCAAGCTCAGCTTCTGAATCTGAGTCAGACAGCAAGGTAATTAAGTGCACATTACCCTCAGGAAATGTCTCTGATCTGTGTTCTAAAGACAAGTGTTTCTGACTTCATAATTGCTGTATCCAAAGTCATGCATTCTTACTGTAGCTGAGCTGTGCTTGTATCTTTTAAGCTGTGATCAGGAACGTACCTCTGCTGTCCACAGTGTCTTGGCAGAATACAGTTCCTCTTTAGAAAATAAATATTCCAGCAGTTTTTATCTACTTTTCTGAATTCAGACATAAACAGTTTTTGTGCTGCTCAGATGTTTTAATACTACATTAACACTTCAAAAATGAAAATGTTCTGTAATGTTCTTGTCAACATGCTATTATTGAGTTGAATACCATCTGTGAAAATGCAGCTATTTCAGGGAATCAGTGGCCACAATACTGCCTTCCTAAGTGAGTTTGGACCAAATAGTTGCCCGCTGGACCTCTCAGCCTCGCAAATAAGTAGTAAATTGAAAGTTTGGGTGTTTTTTTAATACTTAAAGTAGAGGAGAGTGTGCTTGCAGGCACAACATTAGTGAAGATATATGTGGCAGTCTGTTTTGTTACCATTTTTCTGTAGTAGTGGACAGTAACTCCCTTCCTTCCAAAATAATTATAACACTATGTGTAGGCTGGCATTTCACTGGAATTTTCTTGGAATTCCTAATTCAGAATGATATAAAATCTGATGAATCGCTGTTTGCATCTAACTATGAATTTGTGCTAGTGGCAGTTCAAAAAGGTTTCCTGCATAAAGGGACACAGAGATACTTTTACTTTTGAAAGTAGAAGATAAACTCCATGGCAATCTCGCTTTAACCACTGCCTGATCCCCTGCGATGAGCATGGATGGAGAATAAAGGCTGCAGACTGCTGGAGGTTAGAGGTGATGGTAGTAGTGCCCGGTATCCTTTCTAGAGGCTCTTTAGGTGTACTGCTCTGAGTAAGTTCTCTGTCGTTTGATTCCACAGAGACCTTTTCTCACTGCTTGTTCTAGAAATTAGCAGCTGCCATCAAAATGTTGTTGCTTTTTTGTATTGGTCATGTTAGCTACAAGTGAACAATCTTCAGTGTGCAGAAAGAGGCAAGGGGTCAAGCTGCTGCTGCAATTTCTTTTTTTAATGGAACTATTTTGTCATGGTGGATATTTTTCTTTCTACCTAGGACAGCACAAAAAAGAAGAAGTCAAAGGATGACCATGAGAAAGAGAAGGTATAGTTTTACTTTTTAAATACTTGCATCAGAACTTCATTTTACATATATAATGGGTCTCTTCCACTCCTCTACTCTCTGCCCCCCGATCCCCCCTCCTTTTTTTTTTTTTTTTTTTTTTTTTTTTTTTTTTTTTAAGTATTTGAATACTTCAGCTTACACTTATGGTCATTGTCCAAAACTTGACAATGCAGTGCCCCCAGTTTGAGTAAAATTTTTAGGTTCCTATTTTAGTAATTGCCAGTAGAAACTGCTGGGTCTGGTTTTGTCATGAAGGTAAATGAGACAAGTATCTAATCTGCTGTAGTAGATCATGAGCACTCTAGTATGTGGGGCTTAACATTAACAGTTAAATTGACGTGAAGCATGTATGGTATTTCAGTGACACACCTGATAGGATACTGGCTCATTATTCTAAATTAAGTAACAGCAAGCAGAGGATATTTTAATATCCTTATGTTATTTAATTTTATTTAATATCCTTATTTTATTATGTTTTTTAAAAATGCAGTCATAATTGCATGTTTTACTCATAGCTGCTTTAAAACATTACTGAGAAAACTTAGCTTAAGCAGGTTTATCTTATTCTGTCTTTTCTCTGGGCACAAAATCCCTCCCTCCTCTCCCACATGTCACCCATTTTGTACACACACCTCTAAGGGTTTTCCTCCTGCTACTACATTGAATGCAAATAATCTTGTTGACTTAAATGTTAGTTATTTCTGTGTGTAAACTAACAAAGCTTTCAGTGTCAGCCCTAGTCTTTCTTTTTCCTTTGTTAACACACTGCTCTCTGCTACTACAATCGACGTGTTATACGGTTTGACATATAAAATTTCCATTACGTCAGGCAGACGTTGATTCTGTGTGTGTTTCTGTTTCTCAGTTCTCATTTCTCAACTCTTCTTGAGTATCTTCTCTTCAAAGAGCAAGTGACTACCATAGCCCCTTAATCTTAGTTAAGCTGTATTGCTGCTTTCACACTTCTGAAATCAAAGGGCTTTTGGGGGCTGCAGGTCTTTTCTGTTCTGAAGATGCCTTCTCAGATGGGTTACATCGTGTGTGCTTTTCATGAGTACTTCTGTGAAAGGATTGTGGTACCTATAATGGAATAAGTAGGAGGGTTGATATAAGTAATCTCAGCACTCAGGAAGATGATTAATAAGAACTTTTACTATTTTTTTTACTTAGAAATAGAATGGAGGAAATGGAGAAAAGTAGTTTCACTCAGGAATCCCTTGCTTGGTCCAGAGCAAAGCTTACTTGAAAAAGTATAGAGGAAAAAAAACAACTGGCTCATCAGAACAATCTCCTGCAGCATCTGAATTACAAAAACTAAAACTGAAAAATAAAAGACTGCTTGAGTGCTCTGTAAATATATTGAAGCTATTTATATAAAATGTTGTAAGAACGTGTCCCATGCCAGAGGCACAAATCTGAAGGGAGCTTTTTATTTATCAGCACCAAAGCAGCCATACTCTGAGACATCTTCGTTTACTTGACAGTCTTTTGAAGTGATGAAGCATTTTATTTTAAAATGCTTGCTGCTTTGTAAGTTTTCACTTAAAATAAGAGACTGTATTGTACTGTTATATCATTCTTAAGAAATTGCAGTATCTTGGTAATGAATCAACACACAGAAAATTATTATGTTCTCACTGAAAGCATTTTAACTTTATGATGATTTGCTGATGAATAATTAATGCATAATTTTTTTAAAAATATTTCATAACTCAGAAATAATGTTTCCATATAATTTTAAAGCAGAAGTTTCATAATATCTGAAAGGCTTAACGTTACTTGAAATATACTGTTTTATGTAGGATAGTAAAAATCATCACAGAAAGAGGAAGAAAGCGGATCGTGGTGATGGGCCTTTATCATCAGAATCCTTATCAGAACCGGATCAGACAGAGGAGGTCAGTGTGAAAGCTAAGTTTCAGATGTTTTAATGCTTTTAGCATTAAATTTTTAGCATTTCATTAATGATTCCCATGAGTGAACAGCTAAAACTAGCCCAAATGGAATATATTACTGAAATGTTCTGTTCTATACAGCTGGTTTTAAGCATGTGGCATGTTCAAAGTTGTATTTTTCTCTTTATTACATACTTCTGATAAGAGTGCAACTCCTACCACCTACAGTTTATTCTGAATTAATTTTCTTGAAAATTTTCATGGATGTTTTAGAGCTTAATAAAATGAGGCTAATGGTGCTTCACAAGATTTCTCTCTGATCATTGAATACACACAGGCAAGATTCCAAGATTGCTCAGCTTCTTTTGGCTGCCTTTTGCCATTCATCTAGAAAGTGTTGGACATAATCTTACTCTCACCCTTGTGTGTATTTCCTCTCAGGATTTGTGTTCCTGTAGAATTACAGAACACCAAAAGATTCCAGTTTGCTGAATTTTTCCATTAAAATTTCAACCAGGTTATTCACTCAGTAGTTTTACCATTACATCTCTGCTGGCTGCTTGTGCTGCTGTGTTTAAATAGCAGAGTGCCCAAAAATCAGATGTTTATAGGATTATAGTTATTCTATAATATAGCACTGCTACAGTCAGCAGCTGCTCAGTGTGCCCTGCCAGTGTTATGCCATTTCTCATTTATATACAACAAAACTTCAAACTTTCATATAAAACAGCATTTCCAAAGCTGATGTCTCATTATATTTGATTTTTTATTTATTTATTTATTTATTTTTAGGTTCAAGTGAAAAAGAAGAAAAGCAATGAGGAAAAAGAGAAAGCAACAGCAAGTATCCCTTACAGTCATACTGTAGTTTTAGGACATCCATATCTTGTACTTGGTTAACTTATAATTTCATAGTAACACCAATGTTTAATAGTTAAAGTCACAGTAATTGAAATTTGAAATTTCTCTCTTTATCTGTTGAAATCACTTTTTCAGCTGCATGATTAAGGAGAGAATTTGTCACTATTTTAACTAAATAGATATGTGTGAATTGAGATGTATTTAACATTCGTTGCATCAAGTCAGAATACTCTGACCAGCCTAACAACTACAAATTTCTACATAGTATCAGATGAGGTAGCAATGTGTCATGTAGATATTGAGGCTGTTCCTTTATAGGAGTATAAATATTCCTTCATTGAGTTTCTCCACCAGACTATAAAAAGGGCCTTAGGACTAGATCTCTGCAGCATCATAATACTAATATAATTCTTCCCTCAACCAAATGAAATGCTGCTGGCAACCTGTTGCTTTTCTCTGCTTTGTGGATACTTTCTCTGACGATAAAGGTGAGACAAGGGTTCAGCAGTGAAAGGGTAGAACCTCAGATATGTCACATGTACCTGAGTTAGGGTTGTAGTTGTGAGCTACTCTGTCTGCACTGTGAGCAGCACTGTTTGTCATTAGGTACCTCAGTTGCCCAAATGAGTTACGGCACCTAAGCACAGGAGTTTCAGTACTGTTTTCAGCACATATGGAATTTGAGTTAGTTAGTTTGTCATAAAATTCCTAGTGACTATTTTTTTTTTTTTCTTAAAAGAGATAAGTTATGTGTATGGAACAAAGATAAACCAAATTTGCTTTCTGTTGTTGCGCCTACTGAAGAATTCCAATTGAACTTGTGCTTGCAAAAGGACGAGTTTGTATCTCTCAGTTTTTGATTGAATCTGGTGGTGTTAATTAAGTATATATGTGAATATTTAAAATTGAAACTATATCTTTTGTTTTAATTAAGGTGCAAATGCTGGAGATTCTAGCCTTGTATAGTTCACTGTGAATACAAGCACCTAATTTAAGTCTGTAAACAGCCAAGTTACTCCCATATAAGATTTCAAAGCACATTATTCTCTCAGAAATCTACAAAGCACTGAAAATTTGTTAAAAAGATGAAGAAATATGATAGTGATGATGCTGGGGGGTGTGAAGTAGCCAGACCATGATGGATGAATTGAAAACTCCTCATAATAGTGCAAATCATAAACGTTTTTTGTGTGATTTTTTTTTTCAATAGGCTTTTATAAAATTCTTCTCTAAAGTGCCATAGATTTTTACAGAATCATCTTCCAAAATGTCTTTGTAGAACTTTCATTTCCATGCTCTCATTGTTATTGAATGGAATTTAGTAGATGGCAGTTTTCTCATACTGTAACTTCCTTTTTGCTTTTTTGCTTTCTTTTAGGATAAAGCAAAAAAGAGAAAGAAGCACAAGAAGCATAGTAAAAAGAAGAAAAAGAAAGCTGCTGGTTCAAATTCGGATTTGGAATAGTATTTAAAAAAACAAAAACAAAATCAAAAGCAAGACTATCAACAAAAGTGCAATGACTGAAGGAAATTTAAACTGTGAAATGATAACAAACTTTACCAAACTGCATGAGTTTTCCTGTGTTCTAGAAATATTCCTAATCTTTCAGTAGCCAGCCAGATGCAGCTGTGCTGGGGAAGACCGTTGTTATTGCCTGCTGCTTAATACACGAGGTACAACTTTTATTAAGGTCCAGTAAGCAGTGTTGGATGTTTGAAACAACATAAGATGGTAGTCCAGCTAAGATGTAAAATATTGGAAAGTAAGAGTTAAACTTTTTAGATACCGAAAGTAGTGTTTTAAAGCATTAGTAATAGTCTTTATTTGTAAATCAGGACAGATAAAATCCCAAATTCATCTTGTAGGTTTATATTATACTTAAACAGTTACCAGCTGGTGTCTGCGAATGGCATTTACAAAATGGGAAATTGATGACAACATATAAAATGCTGCCTTTGTAGTAATTGCCCCATTACTGTCTTCATGCTTATGAGAAAGGGAATGCTACCATTTTGGCTAACTGAATAGGGTGCCTTTGCCTTGATCCTTGCAAGTCTCTGCTATTTTTAATCCATGCAGCATCTCTGATTCCAGAGAGGCCAGAACTATTGTCAGCAGACCTTTTCTGAATAAGCAGTTCTGGGCTTCTGAGCATGTGCTTCTGCATTAAGCAAGAGCAATGACATTTTGCAGTATAACTGACATTCAAAGCCAGAAGACTTTACCTCTGCTTCTTTGAAATAGCGATAGATCTGTGCTAGTAAATGAGCCTATTTTATTTAATGTAATTTTGGTTTAGTTGAACACTTCTTGCAAACTCCAGTGGCTTTTTCTTTTCCCTTCGCATTACCTTTTGGATTGTTTTGCATGATTTGTACCTTTATTAAATTAACAAAATGCAGGTAATCATTTGTTGTAACCAATTCTCTGGATTATGTTCCACATGCAGAGTTTCATCTATGTATTTAGTTATTCTTTAGTTATTCTTACAGTTAAGTTCATTGCTGTGTTGAAGTGCACACTCGTGAAGATATTTAGCATGTAAAAAGCAGGGTTTTGATACCTTAACAGCTTCATATTGAAGCTGATTTTACTCTTAAGCAAGTTCAGTGGCAGACCTGTTACATGACGCATCTTGTTAGATTAAGGAAAAAAACATACTGCCAGAATCTCATTAAATATGCTGATTAAACAGTTTGTATTTATATTTTTGTACTTGAGGGCTACAGAATGTTGACCTAAATCATAAAGCTGTTTTATTTTAAATTAGTTGCTTTAGGAATTGAAAATAAGCTTTTATAAATTAAATGTGCACGCAAGAAAACACAAGCAACCGTTAGATTTTAGTTTTTACATGAAATTCTCCTTGTATCTTCCATTGAAGTACCCGTGGCTGTGCCTGCTTTAGCCTTTAACAACCACCCATCTGTCTGAGTGGTCAGCTAGGGATATGACAGGAACGATCCACCCCTTTTGCCACTGCACAGGTGCTAACTGCTAACTTACCTCTAAAATACCGACGTTTGAAGTATTTTATTGCCAAGGATTTCAAGACCTTTCACAGCTGATAATTAGTCTGCAGATTATAAATAAAAACTGAGGGGAGAGAGATGATTTGACGTTGTCATTCTACAGCGAGGTTGACTTTTCTATTGAGTTCTTAGAAAATACAAACATGGAGTCCCAGCAGTGCCGTACACTAAATAGTCAGATGGCGTATTTATATTGTTGGTTGATGCTACTGATCCTCCGCCCCGTTGTGTCAGTAAAGGCAGCGAGTAGTAGGGGTTTGGTTGGGGGCTTTTGTGTTGTTGTTTTTCAGTTGTGGCATTGCAGTGTTGGTAACCGTTTGTAATGAACCATATCCAATGCTCTGCTCTGTGTGATACCTTTGTTGACTTTTACGCAACTACCTGCAACAGAAGGAAATAAAAATGGGAACGAGAACCACAGTCTTCCACATCCGTAGGCCGGTATGTCATTTTAGTAGTCTGAATAGAACTGCCCTTGTTGTCAGCTGTGTGCTTCACAAACGCTTGCAGCGCTTTGGAAGTTGTAGCTATTAAGGAGCTTACAGGCTTTGTCAGTTCACAGTGAAGCCGCTTTCATGTTGGCGATGGAACGTGTTTTGGTTTTCAATACATTAGACAACCACACATAGACTGCTCTCGCATCTTCTTTTCCTCGTCAAAAAAAAAAGCCACGCTGCCGCGTGTACTGAAAGGGCGAGCAGCTGCGGTTTAGTGGGCCAGAGCGGGGCTCACCGACCTGCCCGAGCCGCGCCGTCCCGCTGCTGCCCAGCAGGCACACGCAGCAGTTTGCCGGGCGCAAACCGTCGCCGCGGGGGCCGAGCGGGGCCGACGGCCATCTCCTCGCGCGGGGCGTTACCCGGCTGCCGAGCCGGCAGCCCCGCCATGCGGCGCCGGGCCCGGCGGCTGCCCCGCCCGGGTTGCCCGGGCAGCGGCGAGGAAGCCGCCGCCATGAGCAAGAAGCGGCTGCAGCAGCTGGTGGAGTCGCTGAGCCGCTCGGCCAAGCACTGTGAGTGCCGCGCGGGGCCGGAGATGGCCGCGGGCCGTTTGCAGTGCCCCGCTGCCCGCCCCCTCCCTTAGGAAAGGCGCGTGGGGCCGGGGGGAGGTGCGGGCGATGTCGGTTTTTCGCGTCCCCTGAGCCAGCTCAGTGTGCGAGGTCTCTGTGTCCCGCGGCTTTCCTCTTTGCGCCGCCGTTCCGCTATTTCGGTGGTAAGGTTTGCTTGTGTTTCGGCTCCCCAGTTAATAGAGCTGAAGTGGAATGCCTCATCAGGCTCTTCGACACGGTGATGAGCGAGTCCCACAGCCGCTTTGCCGCTGTTGGCTTCGATCGCAACGTGTTCCGAGACACCCTGCACCGCGCCTTCGGCATGACGGACTATGTGCTCATGGACAGAGGTGAGGTCGGCGGGCTCAGCAGGGCTGAGGGCTTCCTCTGCAACCCTTGGCCAGCCCTTTTAAACAGCGATCTCTACAACAGTTCCCTTGAAGACTTGCCAGGTTACGTGAAAACCTGAAACTAGTTTCTGTCTGTTTTCTTATTCCAGTGAGAATAGTGGATCCCTACTGCCAAGAAAACCCCTTAGACCACTATGAAAGAGGTTGACAAAGCAGAAAAGTTGTATGCGAACAACTGCTACCTCTGTGTGAGGGTGGAAGGGAGGTGGAAGGCTGAAGTGTCCATAGGGGAGGAAAAAAGTACATTGCTGACCCAGTGAGCATTCCTTGACAAAGGATTGTAGTCAGCCATGTAGGGGCTGCCAAAGAAGTCATGCAGGGTGCTGCTGAGTATATTTCTTTACTCAGAATGGTTTTCCCATGGTTTGGGAAGGCTCACGCTCTTGCATGAGGAAGGCCTGGCGGATAAGGAACACCGGGGGTGCTGAGTGTGGGTATGTCGGTCCCAGACACCCTTAGTGCCGTGACAGAAGAGGGCAGCGCAGTGCCACTGTCCTTCCTTCTGTGGCTGCAGGACTTGGTGGCCATTGCAGCTGGTGGAGGGCTCTGTCGTGGACTTGATGAAGGTGTTTCTCTGCTTGAGGAAAAATGTTTTTATCTTTTCATTGAACATAAGGAAATTTTTATTTGTGTTTCTGTATTACATAAATTTAAAATGCATCTCATAACCCTTTCCAGTGTTCCGCACTTTCGATAGAAACAATGATAATTACATCAGTGTGGTGGAATGGGTGGAAGGCTTGTCGGTATTTCTTCGGGGGACACTGGAAGAAAGGATTAAATGTAAGGTTTATCTGCATGCTAGTACTTAGTGGTAATTATAGTATTCAGGAATATTGAATTACACATCACTTTCATTTTAATAGATTAGTTAATCAAAGTGTTTAATAGTTGACAAGTTTTCTTCTGTAGCGTTCAGTGAAAATGATTTCTGAAACCATTTCTCTGAGACAGATTATTGTGTAATTGTGTATTGCTGTGTTGCTGACAGAAAATCTCTTGAACTGAAGCTTGTTCTACTGTATGGTTTTGACAGAATTTATGTTTTTGTATTCCCACACAAAGCTGAGTAAACATGTAGTTTAAGGGGGAGGGGGTGGCTGGATAACAGCCTCCTCAGGCAAACAAGACCTGTGCCAGCATTCATGTACTGGCACAACGGGGACAAGCAGCAGTTACGTTGATTCTAGCAGTTATTCAGCTCAGAAGTATAGATGGAAAATCTAAGTCCATTTTTTAAAATATTCCTAAGAACCTTCAGGGTAATGATGGAGAAAGATGGTAGAGAAAAAAATGCAGGAACTCTAGAATTTTTAAAAGCAGCAAAAGGGGGCAGGGCGGGGAGGAAGAGATTGGGGGTGGAGGGGGAGTATTATAGAAATAGGAGAATGATAGCATGTTGTTTCCATGGTTTCAGCATCAGCCATCCATAATATGCTGTCAAATTTTATCATAAAGCATTACACTGGAACATGGCTTGGGATGTCACACCACTAGGATATGTGCCAGGATGTAACATCAGAAGAACCACAGGCCATAAAATATGCAGCCCTACAGTGAGCACTCTAGGATATACTGGTGTGTGAAGGCACGCAGTGGTGTTTATCATAAGTTTATGCTAGTACGATTTTTCACTGTACAAACCCATTAGCAGGGGAAAAAAAATCTGCCCCCAAAGTAAAAACTTTTGTTTGTTTTTTTAAATAAGTTTTGTGAAGGATACTGAAACGCGTTATAGTCATAGATTTCTGATTTCAGGGAGGCAGAAGAATTTGCAAGATACATTAGTCAGATGCCTGTGCTGAAAATATTCTGTTGCAGATTTACTCTTTGCCTTTAGAGACACTTAAGTTGCTTTTTCCATGCTAGTACAACTCATTCTTTTTCCTCTATTTTTCTAAAGCAGTTTCTGAAGTGACTGGGACATGATTTGTATGTTCAAAGCCCTTCTGATACAGACAGCTGGTCCCAGCCACAAGAAGTTGGGTTGCTAAACTAGAGCCTAATTTATGTTCTAAAAAGCTACTCTCAAGGAAGTTAAGATCTGTAAGCTACTATCGTTTTTATGAACTGAAGAAATAGATTTCAACTATAATGGGTAAATAGGCAATAATTGAGCAGTATCAAAATGTGATAGGTATATTTCATACATAAATAGTACGAAAATCATAGAACATCCTGAGTTGGAAGGGACCCACAAGAGTCATCAGGCCCAACTCCTGGCTCCATACAAAACCACCCAAAATTCAAACCCTGTGTCTAAGAGCAGCGTCCAAATGCTGCTTGAATTTCAGCAGCTTGCGGCCATGGCCACTGCCCTGGGGATTGTGTTCCAGGGCCCAACCACCCACTGGTGAAGAATCTTTTCCCAGTATCTAATTTGAATATGTTAAATTTTGCTCAATACATATGCTGTACAACATATAATTCACCTTTTCTGTCTATAGGCAACAGCTTTATTGATGGGTGATCTAGTTTGTATGAACTTTAAATTTTATCTTTTGAAAAGACTGTTTTGAGGTTTATGACCTGAATGGTGATGGATATATTTCAAGAGAGGAGATGTTTCAAATGCTGCAAAACAGCCTTCTCAAACAACCATCAGAAGAAGATCCTGATGAGGGAATTAAGGACTTGGTAGACATAGCACTGAAGAAAATGGCAAGTACTTTCCTATTGTGACACTTAACATCTCTCAAGCTTGTGCTCCCCATAGGAGGCTGGTCTTCAGGAATTTCAGTTTGGCCCTATGCCTTGAATAATAGTCATAGTGCACCTTTTAAAAAAAATCTATTATTATTGATTTTTACTTAAGGCCTTTACTTTATGAGGATTAAATAAATGCTTACTGTAGCTCAGATCTTGTCTGAGCAGACTGATGGCCCAAGGAAGATTTTTGCATTAAAAAATAAATCCACATGAGTGAAATATCTTTTAAGTAAACAGGCAATTACTACAATACTTTGCTAAGGACTTCTCCTTGTGTAGGACCATGACCATGATGGCAAACTTTCTTTTGCGGACTTTGAAGAAGCCGTCAAAAATGAAAATCTTCTCTTAGAAGCCTTTGGACCATGTTTGCCAGACGTAAAGGTACATCAGCCTTCAGTTAAAAAAAAACTGTCTTCTTACTATTTTTAACTATATGTTCAAATTATGGCATTAACTGTCTTTGTATGAAGTTTGCTGAATTCATCTGGTGCTTCAGTTGTGAGATTTTCCGAGTTCATGTCTGCCTGTCACAGTACACATTTCCTGATACAGTCAAACATTGATACCAGGGAGCATAGGAACATACTGTCGTGCCACTTACCTGTGCGTGGCAGCAATACAATAAATGATTCTCAGTAAGCATCCTCCCAGGCTAAGAAAACGAGATCAGTCTCTTGCAGTTTATCTGAAACTTCTTCAGGAATGCAGTGTCTGTTCTTCCTTCAGTGCCACTGGCTCCACTGCCATTCTTTTGGGAGAAACTGGTAACCTTCTGAGAAAATCCCTTAGAATTGTCATCTCATAATACAGTGCTTCTATTGTTAAATGCCATCCGACCCCAATTCAGAGAGATTTTTTTCCTGAAAGGTGGTCATTTGGGATTGCAGTAATTTCCTCAGTGTTAAATCAAACTGAAGCATAGATGTCTGCTTTGTAATAGTCATTTTTTACTAATCCATCATTATACTCTTTGAGCTGCATTTTGTTTTTAAATGCCAACAATCTTGCCCTCATGGAAACGGAAAAACAAAATTCTGACATACATGCAATAATGCATAGAAACAGAAAAGTTCCCTAAGATTGCTGAAAACAAGGCAAGCATTTATTTCGCTCAGAACCTACATTTCATGCCAGCTCACCTTCCTAGTAGGCTGGAAGACAGAAGGAAGAAGTCTCATAGCTGTGGCTGCAGTCTGGATTATCTCAGGTCACCAAACAGTAGCTGTTTTCAAAACCTGACATTTTAAAAGGCTGTCAGTAGGCTTTCAGTGACCCAGGGTCAGTACTTCTATTTTTCTCTATCAGGGGAAAGTTTTGAAGAGTTTCTTAACAGCATTTACTTTCACTGATCACAGCCCAGAAAAATGATTTGCTTTTTGTCAGAATTGGTGGTAAATCAGGGCTACAATTCCAGCCACTTGTGGCAACAAGTAGGAAACTGAATCAGTTTCTTGATTCCACTGTTTGTGTGTCTGTTCTGCACCCTATCCAATGGTACCTTTTTACGAGGTCTCTAGTTCTTTTTAAAAAGAACTCTGTTTATATACCCTTCCAAATCCCCAAAAATCAATAGATTTCAGCTATGAGCACTTTTGAGCATGAAGAAAGCTCAGAATTCACAAGCTTTCCTAGTGTGGTTATAACTCCAAACGCTGTGATCAGTTTCTTGATGACAGTAATGATACTGGATTTAGCTTTTCCATGCTACAAAGTATTGTTTCACTACTTATACATTTCAGTTGGCCCTCTTTTTCTAACTAAATGTAAATGTTCTAGTTAACTGAGAAAAAAGCTTATATTTTTCTCCTGATTTAACAGAGCAGTATGGCATTTGAAAGGAGGACCTTCCAGGAAAAGCGTAAACAGTAACTCCAACTGGAAGACTGCTCTAAGAATTCTTCATCATTCCTTATAGGACAGTAGAAATAAAAGCAACACAAAATAATTGATATCTTAAATTTCAATATTCCTTTACTGTAAAAGCTGTGGAATAAATAGAATTTGCTTTTATTACTTTAACTAATTGCAGTTCTTTAAATACACAGGACAAGGTTGCTACAGTATTACACTGGTTTAGTTTTTAATACCGGGACTGTTTTTAACAAGGAATTGCTTGGAAATGCAGTATAAAACAATTTTGTTTTTTAAATTAAAAAAGTAGTAAGAATTTTAAATTATATCCTCAATAAAGAACTGTAGAAAGATGCTGCCAGCAGTATCTATATTCTTCTTCTCTGCTTTACTGGTGGCTTGGTGGCACTAGTGCCTGGTTTTTCCACAGGTGTACTCGAAACAGAATCTGCTACCTGAAACAGGGAAAAAAAAATTCTAAGTGAAGCATAACCATTGTTGGGTTTTTTAATGTTAGTTTTAGAATAAGGCTGTTTCTTCAGTCTGTGAGCACTAACAGGCATATATTCTTATAATCACACTTGCATTAATTTTTTCAATAGAAAAGGGAGAGAAGTAACACCAAAGGCAGCATTAAATGTGAGAGCTAAAACTCTTAAGAAATGCAAGTGTGCTAGCTATTCTTTGTTTGTTTTTGAGAAAATTTCAATCATACAAATCAATTTCAGATGCTCCATGATATACACTATTCAATATTTTATCACTTGCTCTCCATAGCAGAGGTGCTTCAAAATAAAGCCTGGTACACTTTTTGGACTTGGTTGGATATTTTGGGAAGGGAAAAACGTGTTTTTGGCAAGCATTTTAGAAATATACTTTTTTTTAAAGGATGTGTGAAAATGAAAATATCAGAACTTTAAGAATCCATACCTCTTTCAGTTTATTTCGAATCAAGGTGGCTGAAGTATTCAGTGAATCATCATCCATATCCACTTTAGGTATTTCTGGTAGCTGTGGACCAATAACAATGTCAGTACTGTCCACATTTGTTTCAATGAGGGCAGATTTGTTACCCTCTTCTCTCTTCCTCCTACGTTCCTGCAGGTGAGTTGTACGAGGCATAAACCTGTCAGTTCCATTATCAACTGGAACTGTTCTTTGCTGAATTAAAGGCAGTGGTGAAGCACATCCTCCTGGATGTGTCTTCAGAGATAGGGATCTCTGACCGAAGTTCCCAGAGACTTCAGCACTGTGGCTGCCACACTGGGGAAAAGTCAATAGGCCCTGACTGTGATTGCCAGAAGAATATTCCGTGTTTTGGGACAACCCGTGAGAATCTGGAAAGCAGGATGGATCCCAGTGACTAGCTGCATACGATGCTGATGTGCTCCACTGACTGTCAGACTTGGTCTTTCTAGGCCCCTCTGTTTTCTTCAACAGAAAGCAATCTTTAAAACAAAGAAGCCAAAAAAAAAAAAAAAAAAAACAACCTTCATTATTTTATGCCATTAGTTCTAACACATAATGAGAGTTCAATACAGTGACAGAAACGCTACCAGCAACACTTCATTCCCGGTTACCTTTCTGTGATTCTGCTTAAGAAGCACCTTAAGAAATAACCTCCTGCAATGAATAATGATATCCAAGTACATAAGCATAAGGAAGGAGAGGCCTGTACTTGGCACTGTACTTATTTTACAGCTTGTCCATCCTTCAGCGCTGCCTGGGAGCTCAGCAGCAAGGCTGCCTGTCAGCCCAATCCATTCTTCACATTCCTTACATAGCCAAATGGCAGGCTGGAAAAGGTTTGGGTTTTTTGATTGGTTCTTTTTATGTGCCTTTTTTTTCCCCCTCTTACAAAACTCTTTTTGGCTATGCCTGAAAGAACTGCAACAAGGGGGAAAAAACTGATCCCCACTTTCCTGGCTGTGCTTAAAATTTCAGATAACATTTTGAAAAGAGAACAAGAGAAGCAAACAGTGAGGTTTTAAAGCTTTAAAGTGCACATTAACTAAAACATTGCTTTCTGAAAGATGCATCTTTAAAAATAACAGAAATGTCCTAATTCTGCATCTTTTAAAACAGCTAAATACAAAATATTTTCTTTAATGGATGCTTTTGGCTTTACCAAGACCCACCAACCGCTGAAATCAAGATTCTACATGAAATTTAGTTACAAACCTCTTTGATTTGTTGCTTTTGCTATATACTTCCTTCTGTCCTGCAGTTTCTCCCTAGTTTCTTGGACTGTTTCAAATTCTGGCGCATAGCACACATGCAGCAAACTCCCAAAGAAACTCCGTTCATCCATTTTTTTCTTGGCCACCCTGAAGGAAACTAAATGGCATTAGCAGAACTGTGGGCTTTACTTCAACTCTCTGGAATGTAGATCATACACAGAGGCCGTGAAGGATTAAAACAGCAAAAGGCAGTTACTGCTCTGTACAATACCTCGCACATTGGAGATTCTGGAATTTTATAAGATAAACTTCAGTAAATTGCTCTGCAGGATATTCATCGAGGGCATGGTACTCTTCTATGGCACCGTACAAGGCAAACTGCTCCACTAATTCCTTCATGACACCTAACGCAGGAACTCCCTGGATCAGTAAATAACGAGATTCCAAGTTGATGGTATACACCTGAAAGAAACAGAGTATTCTCAAACGCGTTCTGGTTTCACTGCAAAAATAGCAGCTCAAAGCACTCGCGTTGCCGCTGCTGCTGAGCCGCTCTCGGGATGGCGGAAGGCCCGCTGCGCTCCGCGCACAGATGGGATCCGCAGCAGGAAGGCGGGAGCCTGGCCGGCAGACAGCGAGGTGCGGCTACCCGGGGCCGCCGCGGGAAAGAACGACCGCAAACCTCCTACTCGTCGCAGAACGTCAGCGAGAGCTGACGCTTCTCCACGGCTCGGAGCGTTTGCAGAGGCCATCTCCGCACGGCACGGCCAGCCCGCCCTCGCTCCGCACCTTGACGGCCCTGGGCCGCCGCCCCTCGCGGTACTTGGCGCGCGACCCGCAGGCGCCCAGCTGCTGGTGGTGCCTGCACGCCTCCCCCAGCGCGCCGCCACCGCCCGCCGCCATCTTCCCAGCCGCCGCCGCTCCCCGCGCAGGCGTCTCTAGCGGCTCACCGAGCAAGCAGCCAATCGGACGGCGCGCGGCACGCCGCCCTTCTCTTATCGGCTCTTCCAGGAGCTGAAGCGGCCCCGTCGAGAGGCCAGGCGGAACGAGCCGCGGCCCCCGATGGAGCGGCCAATCAGAGGACGGGAACGCGTAGATGCCGCGGCCGCATTGGTCGGCAGCGGGTCGTACCATTGTCCCGGGGGCGGCAGGGGGGAGGAGAAGGAATCTCGGGAAGGCCCGGCCGCCCCGAGCGGGCAGTTCGGCGCCAGGGCGGGGCGGCGCGCAGCGGCGGCGGGGCCCGGCTCAGCCCGGCCCAGCCGGCCGCCAGCATGTGGGGCAGCGGCAACCCCGGCGGAGGGGGCGCCGGAGTCGCCGCGGCGACGGTCGTGCTGAGCGGGACCCGGGACTGCTTCCTGCACCTGCCCGCCGTGCTGGCCTCGCACCTCCGCCTGCAGCAGGTACCGGGCCGGGGACGCCCCGTTCGGAGAGCATTGTGGGAGAGCGGGGCCCCCCCACCGCATCCCGTCGCTATGGCGACGCTCGGAGCCCTCCTCTCTCGCCCGACGTCAGCCGCCCCCGCTGTCGCTATGGAGACGGCGAGCGTCCTCCGCGCGGGCCGGAACCCCTCGCCCCCTCCCCGGGAGCTCTGCGCCCGTGACGACGCGCAGCCTATACGGCGCGGCGCGGCTCGGACGGCCCGTCGGGTAGCGCCTCGGGGCCCGGCCTCGCGGGCCGGAGTGCGGCCGGGCGGGGCCGTGCCGAGCGCCGGGCTTCTGGCACGCGTTCTGCTCAGTAATGCGTGCAGCCGGCCGCAATTCGGCCCTGAGCGCGGCGTTACGTTTGCTGCAGGAAATCCGGCGTAAACGTACGTGTTGTGGCAGGCTACTTATTTCGTGTAGTCTGCAAAATGCAGACGGTTGGGCTCTGATACCCTGATGGAAGTAACACGGAATGCGGTCTGCTGAATCACGATGTTCTAAGGGGCTTAAATCACGGAATCGTAGGTAAAGGGACCTCAAGAGATCAGCGAGTCCAACCCCCTGCTAAAGCAGGTACCCTGCAGTAGCTCATACAGGTAGGCAGCCAGATAGGTTTGAATAGCTCCATAGAAGGAGACTCCACAGCCTCTCTGGGCAGTCTGTTCTGGTGCTCTGTCGCCCTTACTGAGAGTTCTTCCACTTATGTTAATTGATGATCCTGAACAAAGTGCAATCTACAGCTGAATCTGATTGCACAAGGCATGGGGTAAGTGGGTGTTAAAACAGCCCTGGGAACTGGGAGTTGTGTGAGGAGTGAGACACGTGGAAGAAAAGCTTTATCCTTGTGAGCGCAGGTGCGTGACATACTCCTGTAAAGCAGTATTGAAACCAGGTGCGTTTCCAAATCTTAACAAAGTATTAAGTAATATTTGAAATTATTAGGAAGTGAATTGTGTGTATTCTGTACAGAAAATGACCTGCATAGAAACACTGCTATCAGTGGCATATTCACAGCACACGTTGTCTTCATCACTTGGTTTTCATCAAGTTATGTCATTTTTGCAAAAACCTTAGGAAGTGAGAATTGAGTGATGCATCATAGAACAGTCTCAATGAGAAAATGGGATGAATGTATCCAGATTCTTAAGTTTGGAATGGAAATAGCTGAGCGGTTCTGAAAGAGATGGATATGATCATTTTGGTATGAGTTGATAAGACTTGTGACTTATTCTAAATGTTGCCCGGCTTGTGACAGCTCTCCTGGGATCTGTGAGAATGTTAGAGTGCATGAGAAATTTAGTCATATGCCCATGTGTTTTCCATACCTAGGAAGTAGGAGCTATGTATTTCTTTAGATACACGGGATAATGTAGAAGAAGGGAAGTACAGAAAGGTTTCCTTACTTAACAGCCTATAAAAGTGAAAGTCTGTATAAAAGAAGTAATCAATCCACAAGAGTTGTACAAATAGGCTACATGAAGAATTCTATGGGAAGTCTCAATTAACAAGAAGTTAACTACTCTGCCAGCATCGCAGATTTTCTGTTCTGGAATCACCCTTTACTAGTGTAACATAACTGTTGCAAGTTGTTGTTACAGAGTAGTAACAGGCGTGTAAAATCCAGAAAACACTTTTAAATCCCTTGCAGCCCTCTATGCAGTTACAGGTTAGTGATCTTTCTTGCCTGGTTTGAAAACGATTCATTTTATTTATCTGAAACTCATAGGGCCAAGCTGTGAAAGTATCCTGTGGTGATGAGCCCATATACTTGAGCTGGATGGAAATAAGGCATCGAGGTCACCGGAGTGAAAATATTGCAGAGATGAACAGGCATTTAGCAGAGAAACTTGGCATTGCAGATGGAGAACAGGTTTGAAATGCCATTTCCTTCTTTCTTTTTTTCTTCATTTTGGGTTTAAATTTTCTTCCCTTATTTTCCGTTCCACTGTATAATCCTACATCCTCTGTCTCTAAATATGCAGTTCAATTTGCCTCTTACTCTTGGGCAGGGTGCTTAACTTGTAAATGATTCTTTCATTGGAGAAAAGTTGGGAAAATTTCCTAGAGGCAGAGAAAGCGTTGTGTCACAGGATGTTAATATCTCAACATCCAGATTATGGGGTTTAAAATTAGTGTGAGTGTAAAGACTATACTGTTCTGCTCTTGTTTTACTCTATGCCTTATTATTGTGTGGTGTATCTATGTATTCACGTTCTCTGGTGAGGTAAATTTTATTTAGCATAATTTTTGGCTCAAAGCAGTGTCTTATCTTAGCTTGTTTACATTCCTAGCATATTCTCCCTAGAAATGATGTATCTCTCTGCAGAACCAGAGAGGTGTTGTAAGATAATATACAATGAAAACTAGTGTTTGTTATCAGCTGCCAAAGCTCTGGATGCTGTGTTTGTTCACTTCCATTCACATATTGTTGAAGTCCCCAAGCTTGTGCAATGTAATCCATCCTTAACACCCTGAACTTCCATCTCCTGCTTATGAATTACCTTGTGTGGTTAAGAGGAACTATGTTCAAGGCAATGAAAACATATAATGAAGATGCCAGTTTTCTAGATGAATTTTCTAGGTAGAGTTTTTATGCATTTAAGGAGTTAAATTATTTTGAAATAATGTTACTTCTGTCAGATATTCCTGGAACCCTGTTTGCACGTCTCCTCCTGTCAGCAAGTAGAAGTGGAACCACTCTCAGCAGATGATTGGGAAATACTGGTAATAAAACCTTTTCCAGTCTTCATGCCATTTTTGTGCAAATGACAGAGAATATAGATACAAGCTGTTGTCACAATCCCCTATTCTTTTCTGCTCCTAAGCAAATACTAAATGTTGTGGGTTTTCATTGTATTTTGTATTTCAAATGATGTGTAAGAAAAATATGTAGAACTTCTATGTTCAAGCATGTTTTAAAGGTGTCCAAGCTTATAATGATACCACATTTTCCCAGGAACTGCACGCTCCCTCTCTTGAAAAGCATCTTCTGGACCAGATCCGAATCGTATTCCCAAAAGCCATCTTTCCTGTATGGGTTGAACACCACACTCACATTTATATCAGAATTGGTAAGCAACAGTGAATGCTTTGGTGGTGCCTCGAGTAAGCTGTCTTGCAAGAGTGGATGCATTCATTCATCTGATTTGTTCATACTCAGGTACACTTGTGCCAGCAGCCCCCTATGGGAGATTAGAACCATGCACAGAGCTGCTGATATGCCCGAAAGCACGTGAGCTTGAGGAAAACATCATAGACATGCCTTCTACAGAAAGTGACATCTTACTCAAGAGTTTTGTGAAAAATAACATGCAGCAAGACGAAACTGTAAAGGAGCCTTTTGCCAGTCAACCTCAGTTAAATCCAGGAGTCCCTGAACAGAGTAAGGCTGATGCAGATGTGACGCTTGGCTCAAATGTTCTCCCAAATATGTGGAATTTCATAGGGAGCATTTTCTCTCGTACAGCTGAACAGAAACAAAAGACTTTGTGTGATAAAGATGAAATGAGCACCTTCAAAGACAAGTTGCTGAACTTAATTCACATGGATTCCATTTTTAGAGTTTGTCAGTCCCAGCCTCCCAGCGTACAGAATGCATCAGCCCTTCATGCATTTCTGAAATACAATGCCGTTCATATTTTTCCATGGAATTTAGAATTTACTGATTTGGATCCAAATGCTGTAGTTTCTTATGGGAAAATAAACGAGCTGCTTTCCCCCAGACAGCGTCATCAAGAAGCAAAGCAAAATCTGCCATCTGAAAAGCAAAAACATTTGCCCGGTACACAAGACAAAAATAATTCCAATAGCATTCAAGCGTCCAGTGAGGGATCTGTTGTTCAGATCGTTTGGAATGGATTTGAAGACCTAAAGAGTGTCATAGAGTATGGCAACGGTGGGGAAGCCCTACATGTTGGAAGAGTTTGGGTCAGTTTGAGCACACTATCTTTTGGGGCTTTTTATTGGATAATATTTGCTATTGGATAACTGGAACTGATGTGCAGTTTGGGGGTAGGCTTTGCAGAAGGTTGTTGAGTAAAGTCAATCAAATAATAATTGCTAGAGCTACGCCTTGCTGATATTAGCATCATGCAGTGTACATTGAGCTTCTGCACCCCTAGCATTTTGGCACCAAATAGGAAAACCCTTCAGTGTTGCTGGAGGTGCATATTTTCTTCAGAATTTCTTGGCAGCCGTACACGAGAACATGAATGTATCTGTTCATGTGCATTCAGTAATGCTTAATGAAGTGTTTCTTCATCAGATATTGCTATAAAATATGCTCTGGACTCTAGGTGTCATCATGCTATAAAGTAATGGCATAATGTATCCTATTGTTACCTGATATTTACAGGTGCTTTTATATACTGTTGAAGTTTTCATTAAAATCTTGCAGCACTATCAAATAATTAGCTTTTATACCTTTTAAAGTCTCTTGGTCTGTTATATATTGTTTTCTGTAGGGTGACACAGTCCCAGTGTGCAGACACTGACACTGCGGGATTCTTCCAAATAAGATTTTCTTTAGACAGGGACTCTTAATATTTCATCCTTAATCTACAAATTTTGTTGCACGTCTAAATAGGTATTTTGTAACATATGCTACACACCACTGAAATGCTGCTCCTAATTGTGTCTTCAGCTTATTCTGGCAGAGCTGTACAGCCTGCTCATGTTCTTTCTTTCCTGGAAACACACGCAGGATCAAGAGAAATAGATCAAATGCACTCCAAATCACTGTTTGACTATTTGGACATGTTACACTTCTCATCATTTGCTGACTCTTTTATCAAGAGTGAGAGCAAAAGCCTGCAGTAATGTTTACCACAAAATCGTTTGATGCGAGCAGTTTTCCAAATGTTAGCAAACATTCAGTCTTTCAGACTTCATAAACATTTCTGAGACACATTTCCAAACTGAAAACATTTAAAACAGTACAGAATATTTGAAAAGTAGTTTCCTTTTTACGGGGCAAACTGGCTGGTACAGCTCAGGAAAACTGGATTTCTGTCTGTACTGAAAATGTGTGCGGCTCTGATCTTTATAACAGCCTGTTTATGCATAACCTGCCCATGTAAAATATATTGCAATCACCAAATGTTGCATTCTTGCAACATTCTAAGAATTAAGAGGAATCCTTTTTCAATCTTCTTGGTTGTTTTTTTTTTTATTATTATTATTTAAAGTTAATAGACAGTCCACTGTAGCAAGTGTTTTCACAAGTAAGATAAAAGACACTCAGAAATGTGAGAACAGGATTTGAATGCTAGCTTTATGGTTTCTTAAATCTGTTGTAAATTGCACTGAATAAACCATCAGTGATCAAATCTGAGGTTCTATTGGTGTTGAAGAAACTGTTATTGTACTCAATATGCAATGTTACAGTGGTTTTATTTTCTGATGTTTCTTTTTTCTTTGCTTTTATTTTAAATATTTCAGATTCCAGATGACCTGAGAAAAAAGCTACGAATTGAAATGCATTCAGCAGTCCAAATTAAGTCACTCGAGTCTATTCCTAAAATTCCTATATCTCTTAGACTGCAACCCAAACAGAACTTAGTGAGTTGATATTCTTGGTCATGTATTTGTTCATAGGTTGGGAAAAAATAATGTTGCTCTGGTCAAAATTGTCTGTGTTGTTTTTTTGTTGTATTGTTGGTTTTTTTTTGTTGTTTTTTTTCTTATTGTTGGATTTGTTTGTGTTACACGATAACTTGGAAGATGTCTGTCATGTATGAGTGCTTTCCCAAGGAATTTGGTTTTTATTTTTCCTTTGTATGTCATCGAAATCATGAAGATGCAGTGATCTAACAAAGCTTATCTAGTAATATTATTCTGTATTTTGTTTGCTGATACCTAAGTTGTTGAACTCTGTCTTGCATTTGGTAAGTACTTCAAATAGTTCTGCATCTTACCTGTAAAATTTTTCTATTTAAAGGGTATGATGGAGTCTTTCTTTGTTTTCAAAGTGTGAAAGTGTCTTGCTTATGAAAAAAGATATTGGCATTGAGGGAGGACACCTGCTAATAAGGAAAAGATGCATGTTCTTTTTAATTGGGTTAGGAATTAGGAAGCAGGATGTACAGGAAAGGTGGATATAGTGCCTAGCCAGAGTTAGTGACAGGCAGTGGTGGTAACCTGGCACTGTTTCAAACCCAGAAGCTGAGTAGTGCTTTTGGATCTTGCAATACAGATAAATAAAAGAATAAAAACTTCTCTGTGCCTTACATCAGTGTTCCAAAGATAAAATTGTTAAGGGCGGTGGAAGAGCCAATTGTTGCTGTAGCAAAGGCAGAGTAGCAAAGCAGCAGGTGCTTTCTACAGAGCAGGTGACAGAAATGGCAGAATTGTTGGCATAGTGTTATTTTCCAAATAAATGAGACTGTTCATCTTCTTCCAGATCTCTGCTACTATAAGAGAATCAAATGCTCTGTGCATGGAAGGAGGACAGTCGTAGTAACACCTTGTTTCAAGTCCCTTTTTGTCTCTGTTTTCCTATGTAGCATAAAGATACATGTGAAGATGATGTTAAATGTGCTTTCAGTGCTTGGCTAAAGGATTCTGCTACTGAGGATCTTCCATGGATAATGACAAGCACAAACTGCATACATCTGCGTATTAAAGAAGGTAAGGACCATGTAGCAATCTTAACTGTCCATTAGGAATTTTATTTAGGCAATATACCTTTTGTGATCTCTCTGTGCACCATTTAATATAACATATCTCTTTATAGTGGAACTGTAAACATAAACTACATTTTAATAATGATTAATTTTAATTATTTCATTTTGGAGTGTATATATAGTATTTCTGAATATATTAAATTTCATCTTGTGAAGAATAAAAGTTGAAATAATTAGGAATCTTAGTGGTTGTACTTCCTGTTTTTACAGGAATGGAGGAGTTTGTCCTTACTGTAGTGGATCACGTGCACACTGAAGAAGATAAGTCTGAGAACACTTTTATACTGAGTCCCAGTTTGCTGCAAAAGACTAATATACAAGTAAATATCCCATAGTATCAGGTATCAAGTAACTTAAATTGTTATATTTGGTTACAAGTAAATTATGTGTAGCATTTTAAATAATTGTTGGTTTGTTCATTAAGTTATACCTGCGTTCTTTGTGTTATTTTACAGCCTGAGGCATTGGTAAGATTCCAGGCATGCCTGGAAATTTATTTGTCATTGACTTTCATAGTCTGCATCAAGCTGTCAGGAAAATCAGAGCAGAGGGAAGTCAGTCTTGCCCAGGTTTGAATATCCCATCCTGATGCATAGTTACTTTTTCTCTTAGTCCCTGAACCACTGTAAAATCACTTTAGGTGAACAGGAGCTGATTCTACAAAGACATAATGCCTATTTAAACTTTATTTCTGCTTTCCCTTTTATATAGCTTGTGCCCTCTTTCCTTTCTCAGAAAATGTAAACAATTGGGATTAGGGTTTCCATTAATAATGCAGGTTTAGCCGATGTCCTTGACTCCTGGGTAATGGTTGTAATAGTAGGATCATTCTTTTTTTTTTTTTTTTTAACTTTTAAACTGGCAGAGAATTAAGATGTCCTGTTTTGGCTGTTCAGAATAGATTTTTTTTTTCTGCAAAGTTTAGAGTTCCTGTTGAGCAAAAGTAGAAGAGCTTGATTTCTATCGGTATTTGAGAAGTAGAAAAGTCTTCTACAAATGATAAGAATGACCAGTGTTAAGATGAAAGGACAGTGTGCATTTGTTAACAGAGTCACCTACCAAGCTGTTCCAGCCTGTGAACCTTGCAATTAGTCCTGTTTGCTAGTTTAGCTTTTCATACTTGCTCCCTGGTAAACTAGACTGTGAAAAAAGCCAGGTGTTTCAACCAGATCGGTTTCCCTGTCTGACTGATCATCTTGCCTCAAGGGTGTCGATGCCAGCACAAGGAGGATACAGTAAAATAAACATTAATGGTGGGGAAAGATATGAGATATGATGGGCTGCATAGCTTGACATAAAAGAGCACTTATCCTAGTGACAGTTTCCATCATTGTAAACACTAGATTATATTTTGGAAATATTTTATCCGTGTCATTTTACCCATACATCTTTCTTTCAGGCAGATTAAGCTTCAGCAAGGCATACTTGCAAATTTTATTTATAAAGATTCCAAAAAAGGGTAGTTACTTCTATACTCTTCTCTTGTAGCTGTATTTAATGTTAAGTACTAACATTTTCCTTTGTTGTAGGTTCTTTTACACCCTGTAACTGCAAAAGCTGATGATGACAGCCAGCTGCCTGTGCGTGAAACAGACAGAAACCTTCCTTACAAAAGACTAAACCATTTAGGGTGAGACATCTTCATAGTAGAAAGTGCATGAGGGAATGGGAATTAATGAAGAAGAATATTAGTGAAAGTGATCTTTTTTTTATTATTATTATTATTTAATTGATGCAGATCTTACAGCATGATTCTGCATCATTTGGTATTTTGGCTTGTGTCAGGCTCAGCCCTTCCTATGATAATGTTACTGTCATTTGTAGAAGGACAAACAGTGGTGCTGTATGGTAAACTTCAAGTAGAGTTGGGGAAGAGGGGACTTGAGAGACTTGTGGTAGCATGCTATTTACTGTGCTATTGGCATTTTGAAAGGCAGCTGAGAAGAGGCAATTAGAGCTGACCAGGGGTTAGCAAGATAGAGTAGGAATGTAAAAAAAACCAGTTGTATTTATTCATTTTGTTTTTCACAGTACAATACAAAATACAAAACAGAGCCTTGCTGTTGGTGAACCTGAAAGGAGCACTGTTGTGTCAAAAGACACAAAGATTTAAGACAGGTGAAGGATAAAGATGTCTGCAAATGAACTACATGCTGCTTTATTTCTGATAGGCTGAGTTATCTGACCCAGATGTGCACCGTTTTTTACCAATTTGTTACATCTCTTAGGAGGTTGTTACTTGGACCTTCAACAAGGTGAAACCCCAAAAACTGAAGTTAGCTCTGTTGTCTGAGGCCCACTTCCTGCTAGGGTGATATACATTGAGTGACTAATTGTTCAACAGCAGGGGTGATCTGCATTGTCTGTGCCCTCTGTGTTTCCTCTACGGAATAAAGATGCTGTCTTTTCAGATTGAGTTATGAAAATATGAATTACTTTGCATAATCAACATCGAACCCTCACTATACTACAATTATTACTGTTTATATCATGTGTGCTGATGCTACTCTAGGCATTTAATGTCTTCTGTGCTGTTCAGGGGAGTGGACAAATTAGGAGCATCTTCTTATGAACATATAAGCCACAGTCTTTTGGGTCGTCCTTTATCTCAAAAGCTGGCTGGTATCGCTGTGGGACTGCGAAGTGGAGGGGTGCTTCTCACAGGAGGAAAGGTACACGTCCTACTGCTCTGCACTTGCAAACTCTCCTCAGTGGTTTTCAATAGTTACAGAACTGTTTTCATTAGTTCTTTGTTACCATGCAAATTCGAGGAACTAAAGAACAAGCTGAAAAACAAGCAGTTGGCTGAACAGAGTTGACACAGTAAAGCATTATGTATGTCATATTATGACTTTATATATTATGATATTATACATTCACATGTAGTGTGTATCATCTATATGCATATATAAATTTGAATATTGATAGCAATAAATTTCAGTTTATTTCCATAGGTCATTAATCTACTTTGTGTTTATATAATAGGTGCTTCTTGTCTCTGAAATATTTGAAAGTAAGAATACAGTATTTGCTCTTATTTTCTAACTAACATAAAACGTCAGTATAGCCAGTGCTCTGATTTTCCTTTTGTCTCTTGTGGTGGCATTTAACACCACGTTCCATCATAATAAAAAACAACACTGGAAAAGTGGAATCACAGCACTGTCTATAGTGGATGTACCCACTCCGAATTTGACTTAGGCTTTTTTCAGCCTATGGCTTCAGTCTCTACGAAGTGATGCAGAGATGGAATAAGTGTATGCTTCTGAGGAGTAAAACCAAAGTGCTCACAGCCTTCCCAGCATAGCTGATGTGTGTTTTGATAGAAATTCCACAGAAACAGAAGCAAATAGTTCTGTTTTAGCTCACTTTTATTTTTACAGGGAAGTGGAAAATCGACATTAGCAAAGGCCATCTGCAAAGAAGCATTTGATAGATTGGATGCTCATGTAGAAGTAATTGATTGCAAAGCTTTAAGAGGTAGGATAATACCTGTTACTTTCTCAAACAATTGCAGTACGACAAAGAACCGTAATTATGAAGTTACTGCATGTAATCTAATTTTTCTGGTTTTTTGTTAAATTTCCTTTTGCAAGGAAGCTTTTTTTCATGTCTGCCAGCTTCTGTCCCTCATACCACCACTACATTCAAACCACTCTTGCCACGTTTATTTTAAAATGTTACAAATGAGGAGAAAGTGGCAGGATCAACAGTGTGTTTCTTCAGCTGTGGTGGCTGGAACAAACATAAATAATTAAGTGCTAGAATGCCTGTGTTAGTGAAAGTAGGCTTTGGATAGAACATGTTGTTTCTGCTTTAAAATAGGTATCTGGATTTATAGAAGCATATGTAAGGTAGCTGAATCCAAGTATTGGAATATTGCTTGAGGAAGATATACAAGTCTGATCTTTTTTTTCCTTTTATGTTTTGTCATTAAAATGCATTTATCCTATAGGAAAAAGATTAGGAAGCATAAGGAAAAATGTGGAAGAAGCTTTTTTAGAGGCGTCATGGAGACAACCATCCGTTATTTTAATGGACGATCTTGATCACATTGTTGGAGTACCTCCTACACCAGAGCATGAGAACAGCCCTGAGTCAGTTCAGAGCAGTAGACTTGCTTATGGTAATGCTCTACTACCTGTATCTGGATAAAAGTGTAATGCAGCCCAGCATTTCTGGCACCTCAGTTGTACTGTCCTAGCTGGACATTCTGTCTCAATCATTATTGCCTCTGAACAGTGTGGTATGTTTTTAGAGTGGAGTTCACAACACAGAAAAATAATGTTTAATATCCTGTGGTAGACATCATCAGTTACTTTGCAAAAATTTAACTTTTAAACAGCACTTTTGATGACATTTGGTAATGGAATGTACTGTCCTAGAAAAAATAATTGTATTGTTTGGTTGGGATGTTTGGGGGATTTTCACTGTTTTAATTTGGCTTGGTTTTGTTATTTTGTTGTTAAAAAAAGAGCATTTAAACATAGCAATAAAGAAATTATTTTAAAATATATTTTTAATGCTTTTTATTTGCACTGTATATAATGGATATAATCAAATATAGAATCTTTTTGTTATTTTGCAATTCCTTCAGCAATGCCTTCTCTGTTTAGTTTTGAAAGATCTGATAAAAGAAGTTATTTCCTTGGGGAGTTTGATTGCATTAATTGCTACAAGTCTGTCTGAACATGCTCTACATCCTTCCCTGGTTTCAGCTCAAGGAACTCATATATTTCAGTGTTTCAAACGTATCCAGTCACCAGATCAGGTAAATTTGGGCATTTATTAATTTGATTACAGTGTTGTTTGCCTTCCCTTCAGCCACAGAGATTGTAGGTTAGTCTGGGGGATGAGGAGAAAGCTGGATATCATAGAAAGTATTTAATAATACTTAGATACCCCAGCACCCCTGTGTGACATTATAAGGCTGGAAAGTAAGCCAGTGAAAATTCCCAATTTGTTTCATTGTCCTCAGTGGAGAGAAAAAAGGTGTATTCAGAAGATGGTTCAGTTCAACCTGAAACAAGTTAGGCTGTCCAAGGTAGGTGAATGTTCCCTTGGTACCCATAAGGGAATTCTAGAGAAGCAACTTTGAGAGAACATGTCAGGTCACTACAGTTAGATAAATGAGATTTAGCTTAAGTGTGTTATTGTTGGGGTTTTTTTTCTGCCTCTCAGAGGAATAAGTATGTGCTAACATATTATTAATGGTAATTACATGTTAAAATGTTATTAAAACTAAATTTTATGAACAGGTTTGGGATTATTTTTCTATATTAATTGTATTTTATTTGAATTTGAATTTTATTTGAAGTCCCTTTTGGAACAGTAAAAAGGAAAGAGGGAAGAATGAACAGTATGACTTAATTGCAGGAGGCAGTGGATGCTACGTGGTTATGGCAACTGATGGGTGTTTAACACAAGTAGTTCCTACTTGCTTGGGTGCTGGTGTTTTGTTGTGGGTTTTTTAATACTAATAAATGAATGAGGAGAAGGCACCAGTGGAAAAGTCAGGTTTTCAAAAGATATCAAATTATGTGTTGTATTTTTATCTAACACTATCTATTTCACATCCAATAAGTTCAGCACAAAGGAAAATATGTTCATTTTTTCTTATGGAACTGAAGCATTGATGTGAAACAGCAGAAAGTTGAGGGTGGGAGTTTGTTTTGTTGTTATTGTTAGATTTAAGATAACTGGCAGTGCAAACCTTTGAATTTGTAAAACTGGTGAATTTCTTGAAGTTCAGCTGAAGAGCTGATTTTAGTTCATTTTTGGGCCTACTCAGATTTTGTCATTTGAAGATTCCATGATAGTGATGTGTGAGATAAGTAATACACATTTGCTTTCTGAATTTCTGAAAGCCACATCAACTGACAACTGAACACACGCTTCCTGCCCAATTCTATTTTCCAGAAGCAAAGGTGTGAAGTGCTCTGTTCTGTAATAAAAAACAAACTGAACTGCGATGTAGAGAAGTTCTCCAATCTTGATCTCCAGTATGTTGCAAAAGAAACAGAAGGTTTTGTTGCTCGAGATTTTACTATGCTGGTTGATCGTGCCATTCATGCCTGTATTTCTAACCAGGATGCATTTCAACACGGCGGTACGTTCACTGTCAAAACCTCTATTTCATATTCTTACTTTTGTTATCCGGAACTTCTTAGAATACACAAATGAAAAGCCAAATTTTGTTTCACATTTAAAATGTCTTTAATTGTTGCATATTGTGAGGAATTTGTTACTCTTGGGTCATATAGGTTTTTTTTTTTGTTTTTCCTTTAAAGCAGAATTGAATCTGTCGACCGTGGATTTTCAGAAAGCTTTAAAAGATTTTACTCCATTAGCTCTGAGAAATGTCAGCCTTCATAAACCTAAGGACATTGGCTGGGATAGGATAGGTGGCTTAAAAGATGTGAAGCAAATACTCATGGATACCATCATGTTACCTGCAAAGGTATGCAGTAGTTTTAAGTCAGTTATGTGAACTTTGTACATTTTGTTAGTAGAACAGTTATAATCTTTAAGAAGCAGCACATATTTGACAGAAGGAAGACAAATATGGTTTTTTGAGCTGCTTTTCTGTCTTCCCAGTCTTCAAGTATTTTCAGCTACCAGAGGACTCTTTCACCGCACCCTTCAAAAATCAAACACTAGTGATTATTCAGTACACTGTAGAATAATTGCATGTTTCATAACATGTCTTGTTTGGTGTTGTTTTCCAGTATCCAGAATTATTTGCAAACCTGCCTATACGACAGAGATCAGGAGTCTTGCTCTATGGAGCACCTGGAACAGGAAAAACACTGTTAGCAGGAGTAGTTGCTCGAGAGAGCAGAATGAATTTCATCAGTGTCAAAGTAAGAAGAAAATTGATTGATTCATTTGATTAACTGAATTAAATAGCTCGGTATAATAGCTGTGAGTAGGTGCTTGTAAAAGCAAATTCCAAAGTTAAAAACTCATCAAAAATAGTTTCTGTGGATAACCAAGCATCTGACTTTCTGGAGCTTCACAGTTTTATGACTGAGCTTGTTTCTTTTTTTAACAATTTTTCATTAAGCAGAATAATAAATTTCAATTGGATTGTCTTAGTTACCCATCTTATTAATAAAAACAAATCCTGAATTTTGGTTCTGTGGGACCAGAAGTTGGGCAATACATTTTAAATGTATTTTCAAAATGCAGTGTAAATTGTTACCTGTGATACAGTAATACATACTGTGCTACATTGGAATATAGTTGGAATGCTGGCATTCTCTTGGTTACAACTTACCTTGCTCCAGTATGTAAAATCAATGTTGGTATTAAATGACAAATTAAAGCCAATAATGTGTAACACAGATGTTCTTTTCCCTCTTTTAGGGACCAGAGCTGCTCAGCAAATATATTGGAGCAAGTGAACAAGCAGTTAGAGATATCTTTAACAGGTTGGCCTTGTAAAGATTTCTGATGTTATGATTCTATTGGTTGAAGCTCTGTGAATTGATTTTGTTCTCAGAGAGATACGGTTATCAGATCATTTGTGCCAAAAAAGGAGTCAATAAGTTGCCAAGATTTTAACATGGTCTTTTAGGAACTTTTCTAAGAACAGTTAAGATCAGGGTGCACTTCTGAATTTTCGTATTTCTCTCCACTTCAGAGTGCTTAGCAATGAACACAGTACATAGAGTCAAACTAGACTTGGTATTGAGATCCTTGGTGCCAGTAGTTTTGTTTTTACAAACATGCTCTAATTTGAGCCTCAATGCTTACTAATGTAAATGTACTCTTCGTAGCCTTTGCTTCTCATGTACGTTGCAGTGTAGACTGTCTTTATATTGTATTTATATATAATCCAAGACCACATCTGAACTTTGAAGCTTTCATGTGTATTAATGCAATTGAATACTTTAGAAAGGGAAAACCGAGGAGAAGATACATCATAAAAATGAGCAGTGATTCCATAGAAAAAAAATTATTTAGAACCTCTAACTTTTACAGGAGACGAGTTTTTTATCCTCTACTTATATTTAACTTAATGTTGTTTGTTTTTAAGAGCTCAGGCAGCCAAACCTTGCATTGTTTTCTTCGATGAGTTTGATTCCATTGCTCCTCGCCGAGGTCATGACAACACTGGAGTTACAGACCGAGTGGTTAATCAGCTGTTGACTCAGTTGGATGGTGTGGAAGGTTTACAAGGTAAAAATTCATCTGTATGCTCTTTCCCTCCTTGCACAGATATTTAGCAGGTGTTAATGGTATTTTCTTGATGTTTTCCAAAGGTGTTTATGTGCTAGCTGCTACTAGTCGCCCAGATTTGATTGATCCTGCTTTGTTAAGACCTGGTCGACTGGATAAGTGCCTGTACTGTCCTCCTCCAGATCTGGTGAGAAAATAAAATGTTTTATGTGACAAAACGGGAAAACTGGGAAACTACTGGGCTTCAGTTAATCTCCATTTCTTTATATTTCAAATCTGGCCAAACTGGGGTCTATTGCACAGCTCCAGTTGTACATAAAAATTCACTCGTGCCAATACATTGGTATAAAACTGAGGCAAAACAAGAATGTTTATCACAGTCTTAAGAATCAAATCATATTCCAGCGATTGTAACCGATCAAAAAAAAAAAGTAATAAAAAATATTCTGTAGCAGTAAACTATTCCGCAGAGATTAGTTGCAGCATCATGTTTATAATCTTTTGCATCTTCCAATGAATTAAAAATCCGATGGATCTGCTGTTTGCTTGAGGTGGTGAACCCATAGGCATTCACAACCCTTGATTATCTGAAATTGTCAGAGTAGTTTTGTTCTGAATTCTTGTTGATTCCACCCTTCGCCCACATTTAATTTTGAGTGTACAAGTTCTTTTAAGTCAGGTGTGTCACTGTCTAGCAAGGGAATTTTTTTTAGTTCATTTTGGATCAGGTCTTTAAGGCTGTACAAGGCATGTCTTTGGTTCCCCATTTTATATTATAGTTGTGCTGTTCATTTTCAGATTAATTGGAAAGCTTAACAAATGCCACATTATGTTATTTTTAAATGTACACAGTGATGTTCCTGCATGCCGAAAATGCAAATTTGTTCTGACTTCTTCCTTTTTAAATTTTGGTTTAGAATATGATCCTTCAAGTAAACGGAAATGCTTACCACTTCCATCGTATTTCTCTGTGCAAAAGGAAATATGACTAGCAGTGTTCAGCTTCATATTTTGTTTATAGGACACATATAAAAATCTCAGATATTAGATGAGTATTTAGAGGAATATATTTCTGTGTTCTATACTGTTTGGTACATCTTCTCTTAAACTCGTTAGGAAAAGGTAACAGAAATCATGCCCGTTTTAAAGTTTGATTATTATTCAGTGTATCCAAGATGTACTATTAATAAGGGAGTATCTTTGAAGAAGGATTTGCTTGTGACAGAGACAAAGCACTCTCTAGGAGAAGAGAAGAAAAATAACAGGTTGCTTTACTGACGGTTGTTTGGTTGTGGGCTTTTTTCCTTTCTTTGCAGAGTTCACGCTGCGAAATCTTAAAAGCTCTCAGTCATTCTCTGTCCTTGGCAGATGATGTGGACCTTGAGTATTTGGCTGCAAAAACAGAGCACTTCACAGGGGCTGACCTAAAAGCTTTATTATACAATGCTCAGTTGGAGGCAATACATAATTTAAGCTCAGGTTTAACGCAGGTAAATAATGCAGATATAAAGGATTGTCTCTTTATATTTCTATGGTGGTATGTTCGAAGGGGTTAATTCTATCCATTGTGTTTTCAGCAAAGCTGTTTAATAAGAATTAAATCTTAATGTGTATGGTATCACATGAGAATAATGTAACAAATTAGTTTAAATTTAAACTTCTTAAAGACAACATTTTTTTCTTTAATTTTTGTGAGAAGCATTTAATATAAAAAAATATTTATTTTAGCCAAATCTCTTTATTGTTGTTGTGAGAAATGACTGATAGACCAACAGGAGGGATCACTCAAAGCCTTCAAAGAGTATCTAGCAAATTCCGTTGTGAAGTGACACAATTGCAGTGACAGAGGAAGCAAAGAACTGGTGGGTTTTATGGGGAACTCTGACAGATTTAATGCGATCTGAGGTTAGGGGAGGTGTGGAAAGAGGATGTTGATAGCTGGACTCTGGAAGACCCCTTCAGATAATACCCATATTTAATATAAGGTACAGGATCCCACTGTAAGTTTTTATCTCTTGTAAATGACAGGTTCCTTTCCTCTTCTAACTTCTGTTCAACTGCCTGCCATCATATTTTTAATGCTTGTCTTGCTCTAGCTGAAAAGGGGCAGGCAAGGCTTCCACTGCTTGGAGATCAAAGGAAATATGGGTTTAGTGGCATGAAAGAGCTCATATTCCAAGAGAAGAATTGCTAGAAACAAATGCAAATCAATACTTTTGTTTGGACTACACTTGAAATATTTTAATGCATTACAGAGTGCAATTAGCTGTGAGTTAACACCTGTAAACGTTCTGCTCTGTTCTTTGTCACAGGATTTTGGTTCTAGTTCTGATAGTGACTTCAGTCTGTCTTCCATGGTTTTTCTAAACCATAGCAGTGGTTCAGATGACTCAGCAATAGATGGAGAAGCAGCACCTGAGCAATCTCTTATTTCTTTGGACATGTCTGAGTTGCTTCCTGAGGATCCAAGGTCCAACATGTATCGTCTTTATTTTGGAAGCTCTTATGAATCAGAACTAGGAAATGGAAGTCCTTCAGACCTGGTAAATCACACTCTCGATATTTTGAGTTCTCTAAAAATTATCGACTGCGAAGTGGGAAAAAAACCACGAGGTTTAATAACTACAGTTATGTCTGCTTTGTCCTTCAAGCTGTCTTCATCCTATGCACTGTGGGTTCAGTATGGGAACCAGGGTGGGAAATTCCATCTGACAGAACAGGATATGGATTTCTCTACAACTTTGAAGAACTTTTAAATCAAAATCCCAAAATACTGCTTAGTGCTTTATTATCAGACCAACTGTATTCACACCAGGTCTTACTATCTGGTCTAATGCCTTGTTGCCTTCCAAAGTTTATTGCTCTTGGCTAGCCAGCACCCGTGTCACAGCGCTGACCAGTCTCACTTGGCTGCTGGGTGAATATAGCAGAACATGCTGGCTGTGAGCTCTTACAGTGGAGAGATGACTTCACAGTTTGCATGTGATCCATTCATTCTGAGGATTTGTTGCAGAATTGTATTTACAGGTAGTTATCAAAGATGTTAGAATCTTGTTTTCAAAACTGTCTTGCATTGATTCCTAAAGCCAAAAATAGCTTCTCTTCACACTGGAGAATTTCTAACTGCTAAGTCTCATAAAGTGCTCTTGTGTTTTATCTTGTATTATACATGACAATGTTCCAGTAATGTATCTTGAGAGATTTAAGTTTTCCTTTAACTCTGGAATTTCTTCACTGAGGCTACAAGGACTTTCACCTTTCAAAACTTTGGAACTTTGAAGTTGCTTGTTTTACCCAGTGCACAGAGAATTTGGAGGTGATAGAAAATGGAATGTCACTCCGAAGCTAACTGTATGAACCTCATATTTCAGAACCACTGATTTTCATACATAAAAAGAGTTATGTATTTACTAGGCATTTGTATTTTTTTTTACATGGGCTGTTGCAAAAATATTGGATTTTTTTCTGAAGGGAAAACACTTCGTTTCCAAACTTGTGCTTTCTTCTATGTCTATACAAAAGGTTGCGTGATGTATTTTTGAAAGTACTCTTTTTTTCTGGTGGGAGCAAGGTGATACTGAATGAAGTTGGTAGGAAAGTTAGCTAAATTGTAATGTTTGAGTTGCTCTTTTGAATCCATAATAAGTTAACGTATTTCTCTTTGTGATCAATTTAGAGCTCTTTGTGTTTGTCTGGACCAAACTCTGTAACTCACGATTTTACCAACATCTCTCAGAGAGACACAGCATCATCACAACCTTCAATGCTTACAACAGTCTCCCAAGAAGACTCACTGGAAAATAACCAGGAGCAGCAAATAGAGCACCTGAGGACAGAAATCAATGCTATCAAAGCCAATTACAAAAGCAAGAATGGAGTATGACAGTTTTTTGTAATATTTAGTCTTAGCACTTCCTTTCATTGTATTCTGATAAATAATTCATTCAATAATATTAAAAATAACAAAGATAAGTGATACCTAGTTTGAGAAAGATAAGCCAGGCATGTGTTACTAATGCAGGGGGAAGCAGTGATTGTAATTACAGGGGGTCCTTTTTCTGTGATAATTTCTGATTGTTTGTTTATGGCTCTGTTTTCCAGGAGGATGGCACCCTTAATCAGTCTGTGCTTGCCAAGAACACTTTAATTATTACCCAGTCCCATTTGATGACTGCTCTTGAGGGTATAAGACCATCCATTAGCCAAGATGACTGGAAGAATTTTACTGAACTGTAAGCATTATATTTTTTATTATTAATTGTGAGCTCAAGTGGAGATTTGGTCTTTCCATATTTCTTATTCATCAGAACCTCAACAGTTATTTAATGATACTCTGTGGTGAATGGCATGGAAATTGAGTGGTTTCTGACAGCAGGTTTTTTTCACCAATACCAAGGTACACAATAGAAAGAAGAAATTATCTTACCGGTGTGAGTGTGGGTGTCTTTTATTGTTTTTATTAGCATTGGACCTAGAAATTCTAATCCCAGACCCAAAACCCCTTTTATTATGTTAAAAGCTATACCAGTACAAAGAGAATTCTGATTCTCTGAAACATAAAGCTAGGTCCTACCTGTTCCCATTGAGTAGCAGTTCACCATGTTTTCAAATTGCTCTGTTATGACTTTCTAGTGACTAGTGCCTCTGTTAACTACTGTATTTGGGAAGAGGTATGATGCTTTGAGTCCTCATTATATATATTCCCAAAGAAAAATAATTTGCAAAAGAGAAGACATACTGAAAATGAGAACATGTCCACTAAACTTGAAAATGACTGGAGTGAAAAAGCTGAAAAGTGGCATCAAAACAGTCCATGATTTTTTTTGGACTTGGGAATTAAGGTGTGATCTGCCTGAGGTGTTACATGGATAAGCAGATCTTAACAGCAGGGATCAGAGAGAAGGAGAAAGAGAGATAATTTCTAGGAATCAGTACCCCCTGTCCACTTTTCTTCATTGCCCTCTAAATAGTAATAATTAAAGTATACATATATGTTAGTTTAGAATAATAGTAATTAAAAAAAAAAAAAAATAGAGAGCTTTGTGCTCTGCTTTGCCTGAATCAGAGTAGTGGATGAAAACTCCTCGAGGCCTGCAGGTCTGAGAAAACAGGTGCTCTTCATTTCAGCCAAAATGTAATTGAACATTGATAGTTCTGTGCTGTATTACTGTGTATTTTGGGGGCATATGCAGACAAAGGGATTTCAGACTAATATGCTGCTGTCTTTTACTGTTTCCAGGTACGATAATTTTCAGAATCCCAAGAGGAAAGGACAAGTTGGGTCAGCATTCAGACCAGGACAAAAAATGACTCTAGCATAGTAACTTCTAATGTGCTTGTAATTACTGAACTGTAAATGAAAATGACAAATGGGAGCTTAATATTTAAGTGATTAGATCAGATTATTTATATTCATATGGGTTTATTAATGCAGCAGTTGAAGAAAATGTCTTTCTAGTTTACATGCTGTAAAATTATTTCACATTTTATTTTGAAGAAAATTGTCTTCCTGGAAATTAATATTAAATTTTTGAGAGAACTTCTGTTATGTTATGTCCAGTTGTTTATCACAAAAAAATTAAATTTTGATTTTATCAATATATAGTTGCCACAAGCTAATAATGATCTCCCTGTTTGAGTAAACTGTACTAAGGCAAGAAATGATGCACTGACATTCTGAACAGCTTTTCTCTAATGGCTTTTGGAGGGCTCAGAGAAGAGTTTTACTTCATATGTTTATTGATGGGCCAACAATACTGGTAAGTAATACTTCTAGAACGACTGTAGCCAAAAAAGAAAAATATTAAGACAAAACTACATAATTTTGTCTTGTCGTTTGCTGCTATTAATTATTCAGAGTAACATCAAGTTGCATTTCATAACAGTCAGATCTTTCTAAGCCTATCTTCTTCTTGGAGACTTGAAAAATCTCTCGTTTGGAAGTTTCCCTACTTTACAGTGAGATTGTTAAAGAGTTGTCTTCCCCAGCCGATAGCTAGATAAAGTCTTACAGCAGGGGAAAGGAAAAGGCCTGGAAAGAAGAAGTACTGGAGCTGTTTGCTGTGAGTCCTTACCACCCTTTCACAACATTCTGCCAATACTGTGCGCTTTTGCTCATTTTTGATGATCATTCTTCCCTACTGCTTACCTCTGTGAGGTAATTAGAAAGCATTGATTTTTCTAGCTGTAGTTACTGTCATGTGCCTTCTCTTACCTGTATCGCTTTGGGGCACTAGGCAGCATCACCCCTTCTGTGATCAGGTGATACGCCGGCTGTTATTGACGTTGCCAGCTGATGCTGACCTTTCCCCAGCAGCCAGCCAGCATTTCCTTGTAGTCGAGGGACTTCTGAAGAGACAAGTGATAAATATAGATACGAGCACTTATCTTGTTTCTAACGTGCAACTGACACTTTCACTTTGCAAACAGGAATTCCATTCCTGCTACTGTCCCAAAATGTTTCTTAAAAAGTGCTTAGGCAGCTTTGACTCCAAAAGTGATTCATATTTGGAAATTTCAACTTACAAGTGTGTAGCTGCTAAATTCTTCAACTACTGCCTTGGAAAGAATGTACCTGTTCTGAAGTGATCCAGAGTTCCAGATTGAGTCTGCTGGTGTCATCTGACAAAAAGCCTGGGGCAGATAGATTCAGCGTGTGCTGACAGGTGGTGGTTGTGACAGCAGAACAGCGAAAGCAAGTCACTGGAAAAAAGTGATGTGAGTGAGTTGGTTCTGCTAAAGGCTGGCTTAGTCAGTGCAATTAGCTCTACAGAAAGGCTCAGGTGTCTGAATACGGAGAGAATTTTGTAATTCCTCATGATCAAAATTGACAGGCTTGCTTTGCCACAAGTCAGGGCGTTAAATACCATCCAGTGTGTCAGGGTTGTTTACTGTTATGCTCTTCTGCCATAAATCGTAATTGTTTTTTGTTGGGAAATAGGATTTTGGCTGTACAACTAAAAAAAATCCACAAGGTATTTACTGTAACTTTCAAACTTCAAGGGAACAAACTTTTTTTTTCTATTTTCAAGTTGAAAAAAAAGTAAGGATTTTCTAGACCATCTGAAATGGAAGTCTGAGCTGAGGCTTAGATTGTGTTAATGTTAATGTTTCATAATAGACATCACCAGCTAGAATTCTCAACAGTTTAAGTGTGGCAGTTAACAGCCTGCATAATGAATCATAGAATGGCCTGGGTTGAAAAGGACCACAATGATCATCCAGTTTCAACCCCCCTGCTATGTGCAGCATTGCCAGCCTCCAGACCAAGCTGCCCAGAGCCACATCCAGCCTGGCCTTGAATGCCTCCAGGGATGGGGCATCCACAGCCTCCTTGGGCAACCTGTTCCAGTGCCTCACCACCCTCTGTGTGAAAAACTTCCTCCTAATATCTGACCTAAACCTCCCCTGTCTCAGTTAAAACCATTTCCCCTTGTCCTGTCACTATCCATCCTCATAAACAGCCGTTCTCCCTCCTGTTTATATGCTGCCTTCAAGTACTGGAAGGCCACAATGAGCTCTCCCTGGAGCCTTCTCTTCTCCACGCTAAACAAGCCCAGTTCCCTCAACCTTTCCTCATAGGAGAGGTGCAAATCATGCAAATGATGGACGTATGTTTTAGATTTAAAACAGATTCTGAATTTCAGTTTGGCCAACGAAGCTTTTGTGTGTAATAATCTACACTTGATGTTGCACGGGGAGTTTCTTCCTCCTCTTGGCATCAGGGAAGCAAAGTATGTTCTTCCAGCCCAAATGCAAATGTTTTAAAATATAATTGCAAACTAAAACTTTCGCGTCACAGGAATTTATTTTTTTCCTAGGTTGTCTTTCTCAGCAGCTGTGTGATTATGTGTGTGTTCATATCATATGAAACCGTACGTAGTTCATCTCTTTCACAGTAAATCTAAGCTATAATTTTACTTGGGGAAAAAGAAATCAATGCTGTATGATTACATGTGGATCTGACTGTCATTTAATATCTTCCATGATCCTGTGGTGTTTGAACAGCAGGGTGGCAGCCTTTCCAGGTAGGCAAGATAGTGATCATAGGATCATAAATAATGCAGGAACTTGACAGAGACCAGAATAAGAAGGAAATGTCCTCCATGGATTACACTGGTATTTGGAGCATTACCTCTGCATGCTGGAGTCAGGAGTCCTGATGCTTTGTACCATTCGGCACGAAGGAATTCACTCTGTGACACATCACTGGGAGCAGTGTGGCAATAGCTGCCACTCAGGCACCTCAGCTGGCAGCTGTGCAGCCGCACACCTCAGAGCAGCTCACTGTGGGGTTTGTAGAGGCTGCTGTGTTTTTACACTGCTCTTAATGTGGGGCATCTGTTAGTATGGCTTTGGCTTGAGAGGTGAGTGTGGGTTATATGACACGATTTGCATTGGGCACAAAGGAGTGACAATGTGCTGGAGGCATCCTGAAGTGAAAATGCACGGAATAACAGTTAGCAGTGTTCTCTAGAACCAGAGGTATGGGATAAAATACCTTCTGATCCGTGGATTGTAGCTGGTAAAGAAGTGCTACGTCATTTCATTCAGGTCACCACTGTGAGCCAGCCCAACAGAAACAGGTGTGAGCAATTCCTCCTCCCTATCCTTCAGCAGCTGGTGGGGCTCTTGTGGGACTCCCAGTCAGTGCCTTCCAGTACCATCGTACAGCAGTGGTGGTACAGCTGCTGCTGATAGATAATAGGGGTGGATTTTGTATCTCTTAGGAGTGGGTCCCACACCACTATCCAAAACTCCTAGCTAGAATCAGCTGAAATGATTCTGTGACAAAGGAATCGCAGGGAGAAGGTAATTCTGGAGTTCCTCTGTGCAGTACAGTGTAAAAACAGTTCCTAAGGGTCTTCAGCAGTGAGCTGGGCAAGGATGCAGCACAGCAGGTGTGTGTTTGTGGGAGGGCCGGCTGAGAAGTGCTTGCTGATGCAGGGGTTTGGTACAAGAAAAATTTTCAGGCCGTGAAGCTGCTGGGTGAGCTCCTTTGCTTTCAGAGAGCGGCAGCTCTCTAGAATGAAGAGCAAACTATTTGAAACCACCCATAAAATGCTGTCAGTGTCTCATTATGCAATTCCAGCATAAGTACAGCAGGATCAGAACCACCCTTAGTGCCAGGGTTGGGGTTCAGGCCAGGGTTGGGGCTTGGTGGCATTTCCTGTTGGAAGGTATTAGGAAGGTACCTCTCTCTCACAAGTGTGTAGCTGTTATTTGACTCTTCCAGACAAACCAGTTAAAATCCAGCGCTGATCTCCATGTCCCCCATGATTGCCAAGTTTCAGGAAATTCAGTACGTTATTCCTTGGTACGTACACATTATCCTGACAGCACATAAGCATTACACTAAAGAGCCTTTAACCAAAATCCTGACTAGAACATCGTGACCTTGGCTTGAGAGCAGAAAGCAGCACCGGGGCGGGGCCATTGGCCGCCGAGCTCCGAGCCCGAGGATGAGCGGCGGCGGCGGCTTCCCGGCGCGTCCCGGCCCGGCGCTGTCTGCCCGCGGCGCCCGCATCGCCGCCGGCGTGCCGGGGCTGCTGGACGGGGGCTTCGCCCTCTACGTCTCCGATGCCTTCGACCGGGAGCGCAACCCCGAGGTGCGGGCGGCTGCCCGGGGGCTGCGGGGAAAAGGCGCTCTGCCGGTGTGGTTCAGTGTCGTCTCTTCCAGGGCATCGTGAACCTGGGGACCAGTGAGAACAAGCTGTGCTTTGATTTGATAGAGGAGAGAGTAAGTGTGGCAGCCTGCCGGCTCCTTTGCTGTTTTCTAACAATTTCAAAGCGTCCGGGTAACAATTTAGCGTGGAGAAAATCGCCCGTAGGGCTGCTTTCACAAGGATGCACATCACACGTACTGTGTGAATGTTGTGTCTGCTAAGTAACATAATGAAAATTTGCCGCAGGTTGCAAACCCCAATTTGGTTTTGCTTCAGCTTCGTAAACAAAGAACTGAAGGTGCTCTATTTTCGCAGACACAGCTGTGCTCCTGCAAGGGCTGTATGGTCGGTGCCCAAACGAGTGTCTGCTGGCAGAGCCACAGCTCAGACCACGGAGTGCTCAGTGTGCAGAATGCAGGCTTGGAGCAGAATTAATGCTACAACTGAGAACGTAAACTGCTGTTTGCAGGGCTGGGCTCTGAGAGCAGCCTTTAAAGAAGTTTTTTTCCCACTCTATTAATTCTAGTTTACCTGCTTGAAAACAAGATGTTCTGGCTCAGGTGCTGGCAAATTGGGACCTTGTGGCCAGACCTTCTGTTGGGAGCACGTTAACTCCTGTGTTCCTTGCATGCTGAGATGATTTGCACCAGTGCAACTGCTGGCAACTTTGTGCTGGTGAGGGAGGACCATGCACAAAGCCAGTGTCCAGCTCAGCTAAGGGGTCAGCAGAGCTGGCAACAGTTGGAGATTTTTATAGGAATGAACCCAAACTGGGGCCACAGTGAATATCAGACAGTTTACACAGGGACACCTGTGCTGAGGGCAGGAAAGCCATTGCTGATAGCACAGCTGCTTTCCTTCTGTAGTACATAGTGTGTTATTTCTGCTGGTTGAGAAGCTCATCAAGGTTGGTATTAACATCTGATGTCAGCAATTTGGAAAGAATTGTTTGGGCTTTGATACATCTCAGCAGCAGTTATGTGAGCAGCTGGCCTGCTTCTCCTCTATGTGGGATTAAGTATATGATGGAGAAAAGCAATAAGTAATTCCTTCATTCTTTTCTTCCTTTGTTTTGATGTCTTAATGCTGTTTCTAGTATCTTAGAGAAGTGCAAATCATAAAACTTTATCTAATATATATTTCTTTAATATTCTCCATTTCCTTATTGTTATTGAACAACTAAAACCAAAAAAGTATGGTGCAGCAGAGTGGAAGATCCCAATTACTCCATGCTCTACATTGTCTCTCTCTCATGTCTCCAGCTCGCACGGCCTGACATGGACTGCCTGCAGCCCGATCTCTTCCAGTACCCTGACACGCAGGGTGCGAGGAGGTAAGAAGTTCATCTTCCCCTTTCTGTCCCCGCTTGAGCTCCATGCTCATGAGTTGCAGTATGTGGCTTCATTCTCCTGCTGAGCCTGAAGGGTGGGTGTGCTAATGGCAGCTGCTCATGGATGTGCTTTTGCTTGCCTGGCTTTTTGTTCTGTCATTTTCTCCATCCTTACAGTGCTAAAAACTGGCAAAGGATCTGGTGTCTGGCTGGGTGCAAGACATGGGCACAGGCAGCTCTTCAGAGCTGAGGGTGGATGACTCCTGGGAGGGCTCATCCCAGACTTAGAGTGGGGTGAATGGGAGCTCTGTGGGCTGCCAGGCCTGAGTACTGCTCCTGGAGAACAGTGGAGCAGCCTTCACCACACATGGGAGCTCGCTTGGAGCCATCATTCACCAGGTCCCACTGCTTCTGGTGCCCACATCCTGGTGCTCCACTTTGGCTCCAATGAGTTTCTTTATTTTCTTGCTTTTCCACTGTGCAGAAATAACAGCTGAGTCACAGCCACTGCTGCTCAAGGCTGCAGATATCTTCTGTGTGCTTTGTATCTCACAAAATGTAGCTCTCTGTGTATCTTAGGAAATTATATTGTTTAAGCTGTAGGAAGTAAAAAATCTTCAAGGCTTTCATAACAGAATGGTGTGTTTGTTCTTTTTGGTTGTTGTTTTTTTTTTTCGTTTTGTAAACTTCATTTTTCTATGCATCTTTTGTGCTTTTTCTTCTGAGAAATATGCAGTTACATCACTGACTCTAATTCTTCTGTATTTTAGCTTCAGAGAAGAAATTGCCAAATTTCTGACTCACTATGCCAGAGCCACAAAAGAACTTAGACCAGAACATGTAAGCAAATTGCCTTATGTCTGCAGTTTATTTTGTCTTGAACTGATAAAAGATAAGTAAACATGAGCACAAATGTCAGCAGGATACTGCAGGACAGATCTATGTCATCCCAGAGCACAGGAGTTGAGCAGGGGCCTTACGGCGGCTGCAGCTCCTCACAGGGAGCGGAGGGGCAGCGCTGAGCTCTGCTCTGTGTGACAGCGACAGGCAACGGCATGGAGCTGCGTCAGGGGAGGGCAGCTGGGGGTCAGGAGAAGGGTCTGCACCAGAGGGTGGTGGTCATGGAACGGGCTGCACAGGGCTGTGGGCGCAGCCCCAGGCTGCTGGAGTTCAAGGAGTGCTTGGACAGTGCTCCCAGATATGAGATCTGATTTTTGGATGTTGCTGTGTGGAGCCAGGAGTTGGATTTGATGACCCTTGTGGGTCCCTTCCAACTTGGGATGTTCTGTGATTCTCTATACATGATCTACAGAAGCATCAGTAGTGCCAATTTTCTATTTGAAAAAGTGGTCAGTGAGTGACAGTCGAGCACTTTGTATGATAGTTGTGGTTGTGCGGCTTCTTCACGCTTCTGTTTTGAATTTAAACCACAGAGGTGGTGGTATCTCAGCTAAGGAGCATTTGTTCTGCTTTTTTCAGATCACTGTCATGAATGGCTGCTGTGCAGTTTTTTCCACTCTGTCAACTGTGCTGTGTGACCCTGGTGGTGAGTAAAAACCTGAATGCTTTTTGCTTGAAAGCATTTATCAGTGCTTCAGGGAGACCTGAGAGTGGTCTGTCAGTATCTGCAGGGCTGTAAGAAAGAAGGGGACAGAAACCTTAGCAGGATCTGTGGTGATAGAACAAGGGGAAATGGTTTCAAACTAAAAGAGGGGAGATTTTGACTGGATAAGAGGAGGAACTTTTTACAATCAGGGTGGTGAGCACTGGAACAGGTTGCCTAGAGAGGTGGTAGATGCCCCATCCCTGGAGACGGTCGAGATCACACTGGATAGGGCTCTGAGCAACCTGTTGTACTTCTTGGTGGCCCTGCTCACTGCAGGAGAGTTGAACTAGATGATCTTTAAAGGGCCCCTTGCAACTCAGATGATTCTGTGATTCTGTTTACAAGTTAAAAGTGAACATGATAGCATTGTGTCTAAATGACAGCTTGCTTTCCTTATAACTGGATGAAGCATAGCATGGACTTAGCGTTTCTTTGTTTCTAGCAAAATATCTTTGAACTAATGCCTCCGATTATTTCTATAAGGTTGGAAAACATTTGCGGTACCAGCAGGCCAGCCACTTTCTGGAACATAATCTATAGGGTTTTGGGGAGGAGCAGTATAGGAAGAGTGTAAAGATAACACAAAGTGAACTTTGAAGAGTGATGAGAAAAAAAGATGGGAACTACATAGAATCTGAAGAGAGCAGCACACAGAGAGAAAGTGGACTGGGGAAGGAAAGCATCCATAAGGAATTTGGGAAAAGGGAGTAGATCTGTAGCAATAGAGGGATTTTCAGCCAAGAGAATTCCTGGAGTAGGTGTGAACAACATCCATGGGCACCCATCAGAGTGGGAAGGTGAGCAGGATGACTTCAGCACATGGTGGTAAAGAGGCTGTGAAATCAGTTTTGCTTAAAATGGTAAAGAAAATGTTTACTCAAGGTTACTCATATTCATGTCCTACTTTAATATGTTCAGATTATTTGCATTTACAAAGCTTTAACAGAAACTCTTTTGCCTGAAGACTGACAAACTCCTTTCTCCCCTTCTTTAATAGGAGGAAAGGAAGTACACTGTCCTCTCTGAAACCCTGTCACATGGGGTATTGGCAGGGAAGCACCAACCTGGGGCTTCTCACAGAAATAAAAAAGCAGGAGGGAAAGAAGTTCCATGATGCTGCAGGATTCCATGCTGCAGTTTAGCACTTTAGCAGCCAGGGAGAAGTACTTAAGGTTTGCAGTAGTTCCTGATGAAAAATTAAGAGCACATTGACAAAATGTTGTGAGCAAGATAGTTATTTGTCACTATTTTATTAGAATAAGTCACACAGCAAGTTGACCAGGTCCATACCCTTTTACTCATATGACTTGATACACATCTACTATTGAAAATGCTAGGGAAGAGGACTGGGTAGAATTCAGGTTGACTGACAAGTACAAAATTTTCAACTTAGTTTGAATATTGGTTTAGGCTGCAGTGAATCCTTTGAGTTGAAATCATGTCAAATTCCTCGACTGGTAGTTCAATTTACTAGTGTCTTAGCAAAGTGATTCCTCATGAGAAACCTTAACTTTCCTAACTTTTTCCTTTTTCTAAATACTTTCAGATGGATATCTTATTCCAGCTCCTCACTATGGTGGCATAAATTCAAAAATGTGGCTATATGGTGGACTGCAGCCCGTGCATGTGCCCTTGTCCAGTGAGGTAAAGACAGGTTCATATGCTTTAGCAGTATTCTTCCCTCCTTGAAGCAGTGCCATCAGAAACTGTAGTTCGTTTAGCTTATTTAAGAGCCAGTATTGAGTATGTTTTTCACTGGGTGGGAGTGTTTCCTCCTTTGTTCTTGCTGATAGTTTTTCTCCCGTAGGTGACTAACGAAGAAACTCACCCTTTCCAGTTAACAGCTGAAAAATTAGAAGCTGCACTACAGAGAGCGAAAAAGCAGGTAGCAATAGCAGTGTCTTCTGATTTTTCAGATTTTCCTTATGTTTTTTTTAAGTTGCATATGCTCTTGGTATCAAACCGTTTGTGAATCTTCATCCATGCAGATATTCTGGAGAAGAGGAGGGGGAGTCCAACTCTAGCAACAGGGATTGCATTTGTTTCTGTAATCTGTAGCAAAATGCAGAGAAACTCCTCACTGTGTTTTATGAATAGATCTTAATTTGTCTTTCAAGACTAAGTCTCTTGCTTGGTAATGGAACTCAAAGTATAGTAAAGAAGCTGTTGTTCAGATCCTAAAAAGAGAGAATATGTTACTGTAATAATGTGTGTAGTTAAGTAAAGGAATTTGTTGAATGTGCTTCTGAGGAGGGCTCTTCTGGAGCACAGAGGACAGAATCTGCTGTACCACAACGTCACTGGGAGCTTGGTGGGGTCAGGAGGTTTGGCACAGGATGTTTCTTCCACTAGGATGGTTCCTCAGAAAATATGTAATTTTCACAGGATTTAGGAAATGTCATTAGACCAAAAGTCTTAGCATTTTGAGTTGTTTTATTCTGATCAGGTTTGTGTAAATGAGGATATTATTTCTCATATTGTTAAATGTATTTTTTTCCCTCTTTGTCTTTGGAACTTTTTTTTTTTTTTTTTTGTAGAAATGCTTGGTTTTGTGAGTGCCCACAAAGCAGTGCTCACCAGTGTTTCAAGATCAAATGCTTCCTGTTCTTAGTGTCTTGGTGTTTATGGTCCACAAACTTCTTGGAAAACTACAAATGCACTCAGCCTTTGTGCTCTTCCTTGATAGAATCCAGCAGGGGAAGCATAGGATGAGTAGTAACACATTTTATCAAAGATGTGGTGAGGGTAGTGGTGTTACAGAAGACTAACACAGATTTGTTATGTCCTTTTCTAGGATAGAAAATAAGGTTTAACAACAGATACCACAGATAGGCACAAGTAGGGTCACTTGTAGTAAGGTCACATATAAAAAAGTGGATATTTTGTATACACATGGATGTGTGTATAGTTTTTATTTTAATGTAAGACATGTCAAAGCTCTCCTATTTACCCAACTGCTTCGTCAGCACAGTGCCTATGTTTAGACACCATCTGTATGTCTGTGTCATCAGCCAGTGCCTCTGCCAGTCTGTGTGAGACTGAATGTGCAGCTGCCCACCAACCCTCCTTGCTGGGCAGGGTGTGAGGGCCATGCTCGTGTGATGTGGACTGCCCAGACAAGGTGTGGGGTCACAGGGCAAGGTGTGTGATCCTAGAGCTGAAACTGATCTCGTGGGTAACATTGCAAACATCTGTTTGGATACGTGCAAGGTAGTAAGCAGACTAGAAGTGCAGTTGTGAATCTGCCATCCCTCAGCAGCTGTTCCTGTGAGCATGAATGCCTCAGCATCTTCTGCTTAATGTGTGTCAGCTGTCAGATATGCCAAGCACACTTTGGGTTTAGTATCTGCATCGTTCCCCATTAATTTTTTACTGTTTGGACTCCAAGGCCATAAGCTGAAAGCTCCTACTGTGAGCAAGAGCTGAACAAGAAACCATTAAATTTCAGACAAATTGCATATGGAGGGGAAAGCAAGTATTGGTGCTTCCACCTAATTTAATTTCCTGGAGTTGCTCTGGAGATGCTTAACACAAATGATCTCCTTCAGAGAAGGCCAGGATGGACTGAGAATATGCAGTGTGTCCGTTTTTCTGAAACTTAAATGTGCTGAAACAAAAAGTACTGATTTAAGTTTATTCCAAACATGAAGGAATGAGGTAATGCCTCATGCTGGTGCATTTAAAGTCTTGAAAGTTTTTGTTGCAGCCATTAACTGTTTGCCTGCTTGCAATCAAATCTGTTTGGAAGTGTATCTTAGGACCACTGTTCATCCCCCCCCCCATCGTGATCTTGCCTGTTGGGGTCAGCGGATGCTTCAAATGAGCATTAACCTGAGTTTCATTCACTAACAAACCTTTTGTGTGTGATCTTGGCATTTCACAGGGTGAATACTGAAACAAAACCTGCAGTTTAATCTGCATGCTAATGTATACCAGCTATAATTCAGTGATTTCTAAAAGCCAACTTTCCATGGAAGGGAACGGTCTGCTCTTGCTGCATCCTCCAGTTTCAGTTTGGTGTCACTGCTGTCTCCCACTGCTGGCTTTTCTTTTTTTCAGGGCATCAGAGTGAGAGCATTAGTCCTCATCAACCCTAACAACCCCTTAGGGGACATTTACCCAGCGCAGTTACTGAAGGAATGCCTTGACTTTGCACACAGGTTTGAGCCCTGGCACTATTTGTTTGGTATTCAGTTTTCCATTATGCAATACAGCGATGAAGAAAAATTACCTTTGTTACCTCTTGTTCTTTGTTCCTGTTCTGAGGAGGTGGCATGCATGGACTTGAGCTTGGCTTCTGTGTACCCTTTGTGCTTGGCTTTTCTGGGAGCACAAAAATAAAATGGGATCTCTCGAGATCCAACAGTTTGTTTTGAAATGAAATACTATTGGGATTATTTAAAAAAAAAAATCGTGTGATTTCTATGTGTGAAATCAATGTGGTGAATGTAATAGCAAATAGGCATGCTATTATGGATACTTTGCCATGTCAGTAGTTAAGATTATATAGAAATATATATATGTGGAAATAAATTCATTTTAAATACATTAAAATGCCTGTATTTTTTATACACAGACATGAACTGCATGTAATAATGGATGAAATCTACATGCTGTCTGTTTATGATGATACCACCTTCACAAGTGTTCTTAGCTTAGATAGGTAAGTGTGATTTCTTAGCATGGGTCAAGATATTTAATCCAAAATGGAAACTATGCCTTTTTAAAAAAACTTTCTGCTCAGCTAGTATAACTGTGTATTTCTAACTAATTCATATTCAGGTCTTTGCATCTGTGGGAATTGTTAATACAAGAGATGCTTCTAGAGTGACATGAACAGATCTCTTGGTTGTAGCTAATGTGCATGGCATAGTAATAGTAATCAAAAATTGACAGAGCCCTTCATCTTTCTCAAGTGACCTGCTGCCATGAGTCTCTTTCCTGACTAGTGTGCTGTTGGGCACTTAGTGTTCTCTAGCAGGAGATGGAAAGAGTAATTCTTCAGGAATGCTTAAACCTATTGGTATCTGACTAATAGAACTTCTTTCTCCGGAAGTATGGTCTTAACTGTATAATTATCTCACTGATAGGAAATTTCCAAGTCCATCCAAGTATAACCAAGTAGTCAGCTACTGGTTGTTGTCTCAACCACATAAGATCATAAGCTATAAATAATGCCCGAAAAAATGCTGTTATTGCTGTGAAAGTTCACCTAGCTTTATTAAGCTGAAGAAGGAAATTTCCAGGCTTAGCCCTATTAACTCAGAGTTAGACAAAGGAGAAAATAGCATCTTCTTCAGTAGTCTACAATGGAGTATTCTGTTTGATTGTACCAAATCATGTAAATACATGACCTGAAATGTTCACCTCTCCTTTCCCCGGCTTGAAACACAGCAGAGTGGAGCAGAGTTGTTCTCTGTTGAGCACAAGACCCGTTTTGCATCCCTTATGGAAATACTGCTTTTGTTCTAATATAGGTGTGAGCGCTGACTGTGCAGCAGGAATCTGGGAAATATAACTGGTCTGTTACATCTTACTAGAAGTCCTTTTCTGTTATTTCATGTCTGTGCCTCCTAGAATACTACATGCGTTTTGTTACAAGTTCTCTGAAAACATCCATGCCACTTGAAAAGTTTAAATGCTAATTTCACTGAAAATGAATTATAATTTTACATATTTAATCATTTTTGTATGCCTGCACAACTTGTTCATCTACAGCAACAATTCTTATCTTCTTTTCTCATTCAGTTTACCAGATCTTGAACGAACACATTTCATGTGGGGTTTTAGCAAGGTAAGTCAAAATATTATCTTTGTGTTTTAAGATATTTCACCACAAAACTTATTTGAACTATTCTGACATAATTTGTATTACATATAACAAACTGAGCTTCTCTTTATTCATTACTTTCTCCCTTGGTGGTCTAGAATTTATTAATTTTAGCAGTTTAATTAAGGATCTACTTAACAGAAACAGTTAATGCTTATTTATACAGCCACCGTTGCTATATTTTCTGGGGAAAATTACAGTGGAAGCATGCATATAAGCACCTTCTGATCTGTAGCATTTTGTCTTTTCTTCTCTTGGAGGGAACACTGAACTGATGGCTGATTGGAACAGGGGTTTAATGGGGTATTATGGAGACTGCCAAGGGCTTGAGTCAAGCCTCTTTCAGTTGTTGGCCTTGAAAGCAATCTTGGTAAAGCCAGTGGTCTGTCTTTCATTATTCTTGCCTATAACTAAAGGTACACAAAATATTTATCTGAGAAACACGAAAGGCTTCAAAACTGAGTTAATGAAGAGCAGTGTAGGGCTTTTAACCAAGTTGTGTTATTTTATGCTGCTTTGCCAGTGTTGCCTTCACATTCTCCTTCACCATCTCCTTCTCCCTCTGCCTCTCCTGTCTCACAGTTGTTTGGATGTTACTGATTGTTTCCTGCTGTTCTTGGGACTGCATTTGTCCAAGTGTGCTCCAGAAGATAAGTTAGATGTTTCCAGTTAATGTAATGAGCAGAAATTTCCATAGCCACTTGTTTGTTCTGCAGTCCTGTCAGGCTTGGGTAAATGAGACCTCCAATTTGGCATGGGGAATGTTTGCAAAGATTTCATGATGCAGGCGACATAATCTTACACCTCCTGTTGCAGACAGGGATTAATTTGGTACTTTATTCAGTGGACATTATACTATCTGTTTGTGTTTGTTTGTTTGGGGATGGAGCAGTCCCTGCATTGTACATAAAATGACCCTAGGAATGGCAGTAGGTCAGTATTTTTAACTTTGATGTTACTCTATACTTTTTATCCAAAATTTCTTGGTCATGGTCTTTCATTCTTTGCTTGGCTAATGACTTCCTTGCTGTTAATGCTCAATGAGGAGCTAAAGGCTGTTTTCATTAATATTAAGAATTCTTTCATCAGTAATAACGCAAGAGATATGCTGATAATAACTACATTGATAGATGTTGCTTGCCATCGAGTTGGTGGCTTGCAGTAATAGAACTTAGGATTTCATGTCTTGTGCACTGAACCCATATGGCTTTCTGCATAGGGACTCAGTGAAATTTGACTTTAATATGTATATGCTATTGCATACTTACGTAGCTTTTGGAAATACTTCTGAACCGTGACTGTTGCAGAATACGTACTTCAGTAGGCTCTGATGACAATGCCAAACTTAATTTTTGTAGTTACTCATCTGTTCTCAATATTTTTTTATTCTTCATCATAGAATCACCGACTTTGGAAAAGACCTCCAGTATCATCCAGTCCAACCATCCACCTACTACCAATATTTCCCACTAAACCATGTCCCTCAGTACAACATCTAAATGTTCCTTGAACACCTCCAGGGACAGTGACTCCACCACATCTCTGGGCAGCCCACTCCAATGCCTGCTGTGTTATCAAATGTTTTATTGTGTTATCAAAGCTTATTTTTGCAGAGCAGGAACATTTATTTGATCAAACAGCTGATGTGGTAACATGATGGGGACTATGTGGAGCTTGCTGGGGGTCCATCCCTGTGGGGATCCACAGTTAGCCTGACTCCTATGAGGCCATGGGCATCACAGGCCTAAATGGCAAAAGCAAGGTCTGCTTAGTTACTACGTTTGTTGCTTCTGCTGTGCTGAGGTGGTGGTCACGGGTGGTGATCTTTTACAATAGGGAACTGTACACTTTGATCAAGAACAAACACTGGACGTAGAAACAAGATGCAATGTAGATATGGTTGCTTAGGGAGGCCTTGAAACTGTTGAGACTTGTATGCAAGAAATACACAATCATCTATATATTTATATATATGTGTATGCTGGTGTGTTGGATATAGAAGAGTAATAATACAGGACTTTCTTAAGAACATGACAGAGGCCTCTGGTTGCTGAACTGCGACAGTAATGTACCTTTTCTTGAGATTTATTTTCCTTTACATCAGAATGATTCTAAACTCGGTGGCTTGATAAAGAACAAGCATAAAGTAAAAATTGCTTCTCTCCATCTTCTTCTTGTCCTCTCAGGATTTTGGTATGAGCGGAATCAGAGTTGGGGTACTGTACACCAGAAATCATGAAATACAGAAAGCTGTGAATCAACTAGCTGTCTTCCACAGCTGTCCTGGGCCCGTTCAGCATGTTCTCACTCAATTCCTTAAGGACAGAGGTTAGCCCCACTAGAAATGTTCCATTGAGCTGGTTGTGGTTTTTTTTTTTGCTTTGTTTTTTTATTATTATTATTATTTTTTTATTATTATTATTATTACAGGTGCAAATAAATAGAATTTTGTTTGTCTTGATTTTATAGATTGGTTGGATAATGTGTTTTTTCCCACCAACAAGAAGAGACTTAAGGAAGCACAGAATCTTCTTGTGGATGGACTTGCAGACATTGGAATACCTGTGCTGAAAAGTTCAGGAGGACTCTATGTGTGGGCAGACTTCAGAAAAGTATGTAAGAGCTTCGAAATAGTGGGAATGTAGAAGCTGAAAATATGAAATTGTGCATGTTGTTAAGTGCTTTAATATCTGGTCATAGAAAGCTCTTTCAGTCAGTGTATTTGTTCAATCTTTAATAATAATTTATTTTCTTTTTTTTTTTTTTTTTTTAGTTCTTAAAATCACAGACATTTGAAGCTGAACTCGAACTATGGCAGAAGCTCCTTGATAAGAAACTCCTGATTAGTCCTGGAAAAGCTTTTTATTGTTATGAACCTGGATGGTTTCGACTAGTTTTCTCTGATTCTGTGACTAAGATTTATTTATGTAAGTTGGTTTTACTTTTAATACATCATGTAGTAGCATGCAAGCCTTGGGAAACATTAGCATTATTCAAATCTGCTTATCCCCTCTCAGCTTGTGAGGGCATTATTAGCCCTTGTATGAAACTGAGAAATACTAGAATAGCCCAGAACGTTGGTTACTGAGCACTACTCTTGGGTTATGTCAAACCTTTCCAGTTTGTGGAATTGCATCTTAAGAATTGTTTTTTCTATATTGGAAGTCGCTGCTGCTTCTTGAAAATTATCCATTATATCATGCTGGCATTCCACAGCACCCCTAATCTGTACGTGCTTCATAGGTGAGATATGAAAAATTTACCCATTCTTTATGCACTAAAATACATAATCTTGAACAATTGCTATATATTATTGGCAAAAGGGATTTCTGTGAAGTAAAGGAAGTGTATGGGGTAACAAAAAAAAATGTAGGTTGGGAGGGAAATCTACTACTTCAACTTCCTGCTGAGAGTGGGGCCAGGTGCTAAGTCAGAGCTCAGAGCCTTCTTTAATCAAGTTTCAGGACTATCTAAAAACAGATTACACAGCATCTCTGAGCAATCTGTGTCCAGTCAACTTTTCCCTTCTATTTTCACCATTTCTACTGGATAAGAAAAGCTTGAACTGAGTTATGTTTCCCTTTGATAGGTATTGAGAGACTTCAGCAAATGCTGCATGCTGATGATGCCAAACTAGTTGTAAACAACACATCTTCTACTGCAGACTCTTCATGCAGCCCAGAAAAAGATTCTTCTGGCATACCATCAAATACACCACGAGATGATGCCTCCCAGCTAAAAAATATATTTGTTTTTTAAATTTATCTGTGTGTTTAATTACTGATGAAATTTAGCATGCTTATGTTTACTAAAGGATTACATTACTTAGGTATTTTTGGCTGTAACATTGCATAACAGTCTCACTTCACTGTGACTTGGCATTTCTAGTCATGCCTGTTGAATGGAATTTGAAGAAATTGAACCTTTTAGATATTCTGAAATTTGCCCTTGTTGAGCACTGCCTCCAGCTTTATTCAATTTAAAGTGTATTAAGCATCAGTGAAAAGCAAGAAGTCTTACATATGTACCTGGGTGGCAGATTATAAAATTTTGAACATACTGGTAAAAAGTATGCAGATAGCTATATGTAGTGGGCTGCATATTTTAATCAGAAGACTGCAAATACTAAATCAGGTCATATTTAAGTTCTAAATTTTTGTAGCTGTCAAAAATAAGAGATACTGTCAATAATTTCAAATGCCTGTAATGCTCCAAAACCAGCAGTGTAGTGCAATACAGGGTTAAATATCAAGTTTTTAAGTAGCTCACTACGTGCACATGAGATGTGTGCCCATGTTCAGCATGTTGCAGCAGTTAATCCTAAGATCATGTCACTCCTGAGTTTTGCTCTCCTTCTCACTTTGTTGAGCTTCCTGTTTGCTGCTCTATCAAATTACCAAGCATCCAGAAGTACAAATGATAGTCCTTAAAAAAGATATTCACAGTAACCATCACCATCCCCTCAAACATCTCCCATCTTCTCTGTAGTCCGTAACTTTTCACTGGGGTTCAATTCTGACAATAAATGCAACATAATTCATTGATCAAGGGGCCATCCCATCAGTGAGGAAAATATTTCACTGATGAGTCGGTATGTTGTGTTCACTCTCTCATTAATACACTTCTACAATATCTTAAGATTTTTTCCATCCGTAGAAATACTATTACATGAAAATACATTCCACAGCCACCTTGCCAGAATGCCTCAAGGAGCAGTCCTGTACTTTCCTCTAGGTAAAAGTGGCACTTTGCTGATAGTTGAGGGCAGTCAAAATATTTGGCTTTGCTGTGTGTTCAACCAACTAATAGCAAAGTAAAGAAGAAGATCATAGCAATGGGTATGAAAAGTCCTTGTGCTGCCTCGGTATGGTCTGCAGAGTGCTGCACTTCCATGGGCTGACTTTGGAGCTCAGTCACTGTCTTTGTTAGATCCTTGTAAGAAGAGGGAAGAAAACAGCACATATGTTCAGTTTTGCATTTTGGAATTTCTGCAACTTACATTAAAAGAGAAGTACTCACCATCTGTTTTATTTGGCAAGAAATTGCTATGTAAAAGGGACAATATAGAGAACTGTCACAGAATCACAGAATCGCAAGGTTGGAAACGACCTGCAAGATCATCTAGTCCAACCACCCTCCCATTCCTATTAGTACCACAAGCTACTAAACCATATCACAGCACATCACCCAGGCGCCTCTGAACACTGCCAGGGACGGCGACTCCACCACCTCCCTGGGCAGCCATTCCAGTGCCTGACCACTCTCTGAGAGAAAAAGTTTCTCCTAATGTCCAACCTAAACCTCCTCTGGTATAACTTCTGGCAGTTTCCTTGGGTCCTACTATTTGCCTGGGAGAAGAAGCCAGACCCTTTTGCACTACAACCTCCCTTCAGGAAGTTGTACAGTGCAATGAGGTCTCCCCTGAGCCTCCTCTACTCCAGACTGAACAATCCCAGCTCCCTCAGCCGCTCCTCATAAGCCCTGTGCTCCAGACCCCTCACCAGTTTCATTGCCCTTCTCTGGACAAGCTCCAGGGTCTCAATGTCTTTCTTGTATTGAGGGGCCCAAAACTGAATGCAGTACTCGAGGTGTGGCCTCACCAGTGCCGAGTACAGGGGGATGATCACCTCCCTGCTCCTGCTGGCCACACTATTTCTAATGCAGGCCAGGATGCCGTTGGCCCTCTTAGCCACCTGGGCACACTGTGGGCTCATGTTCAGCCAAGCATCAACCAACACCCCCAGGTCCCTTTCCTCTTCACAGTCATCCAACCGCTCATCCCCAAGCCTGTAACGCTGCATGGGGTTGTTGTGGCCAAAGTGCAGAACCCGACAATTGCCCTTGTTAAACCTCATCCCATTCACCTCAGCCCAGCAATCCAGCTTATCCAGATCCCTCTGCAGGGCCTCCCTGCCCTCAGGCAGATCTACGCCACCTCCCAACTTGGTGTCATCTGCAAACTTACTCAGGGTACACTCAATCCCTTCATCTAAGTCATCAATGAAGATATTAAACAGGATGGGCCCCAGCACCGACCCCTGGGGGACACCACTTGAAACAGGTCTCCAGCTGGACTTCACTCCATTGACCACAACCCGTTGAGCACGGCCCTCCAGCCAGTTCCTCATCCAACAGAGGGTAAAACTGTCCAAGCCACAGGCAGCCAGTTTCTGCAGAAGGATACTGTGAGAGACTATGTCAAAGGCTTTGCTGAAGTCTAGGTAGACTACATCAACAGCCTTTCCCTCATCTACCAGTCTGGTCACCCAGTTGTAGAAAGAGAAAGAGATGAGGTTGGGTCGTAGAAGGAGATGAGGTTGGGTGTCAATGTCTGATTTACAGCAAGAGGATTCTTCCAGAAAATGATTGCAATCCCCTGTTAATGATAAGAAGTCTTAACTCCTTTCCAGCAGGGACAGAGGGCTGTTCAACCCTCAGGACTGCAAAATTATTTGTAGACAGTGGACACTTGGAACCCAAAGTAGAGAAAAACATTGGGAAGACATGCATTCCTATCACCGCAGCCAAGAAGCAAACTGCTTCTTCAGCTCCTGTATATAGAAATGTTACTTGGCCATCTCACTGGCAGCAGGGAGATACAAGTAGTCCAGAGATCACTTGTATGCTTCAGCAGCTAAGCCAAATATTTCCTGATTCTGGAAGGTAAGAAGTGCAGCTTGCTATTTGTCTCACCCAGTTTGTTGGAGAAAGGGTTTGTCTTTCTCAGGCCAGCCCTAAGAAGCAGCCAATCTGCAGGCCACAGCTCTCAGCACCCCCATGTCACGCAGCGTGCACAGAGAGGGGACAAACTGCAGCACAGGGGAGTGGGATTTGAGAGCTTCACCAAGAGCTTGTAGCAAAGCAATGACTTACTGATGAAAAAAGCAGGATTAATGTCATACTTACAGTAGCAAAGAACAGAATTCCAAACAGAGCATACAATGCCTGGAACTTCTGTGAGGAAGAACAAAAAACTTGAGTCAGAATCACGTAGAAATAATTTCATCATTGCATTTGCACCTCCAGCTGAATCCAAGAAAGGCCACACAATGAAAACAACAGGATGGAGCAGTTAACCTGAAACAGGCAAGATTCTACTTCTGTCACATGCCTACCTATGCTTGTTACAGGATTTGGAAGAAGCAAAACTCATTAGTTTATTATATGGGATAACGTACAGCCCATGTCTACTCATCAGATGATTAAAGGTTAACTTTTCCTAAAAAGTGGCTGACATACCCCAGCCAGACCAAATGGCCTCAAATTGTGCCAGGGAATATTCAGGTTGGATGTTAGGAAGAATTACATCTCTGAAAGAGTGGTCAGGTGCTGGAATGGACTGCCCTGCGAAGAGGTGGTGGAGTCACCGACCCTGGAGGTGTTCAAGAAACATTCAGATGTTGTACTGGGGGATGTGGTTTAGTGGGGAAATATTGGCAATAGATGAATAGTTGGACCTTAGAGGTCCAACTATTCTTGGAGGTCTTTTCCAACCTTGGTGATTTAATGGTTCTATGAAGTGGTTACAGGTACTGCAGGACACAGACTGACTCATGCCAGTGCATCCAACAAGCACACATCCAGTAAGGTACTTACGTATGAGTTTATAATGACACAGGCAATTGCCCCAGCAACCCACAGGATGCTCAAAGTGCTCGTTATGGTGAAGTTCATTGGAGGTTTCTGGGGACAAAAAACACAGTGACGCTATTTTTGCTGCAATTAGCCAGCACATCTTTGAATCAAAACAATACACGATGTGCAGGGATGTTGATTAATGAACTAACATAAGTGACATGCATAAAGACAAACCCAGAGACTACTGCTGCTGACTTGACTTAAGCTTTTGCTCCTCTTACTCAGTTTATTAATAGACCAGTATTTCCATAAACCAGATTCTTGTCCTGCTTCTCCCTCCTCTCCCCCCACAGAATCATAGGGGTTGGAAGGGACCTCCAGAGATCGAGTCCAACCCCTCTGCCAAAGCAGGCTCCCTACACCAGGTCACATAGGTAGGCATCCAGGCAGGTCTTGAACATCTCCAGAGAAGGAGACTCCACCACCTCCCTGGGCAGCCTGTTCCAGTGCTCCGTCACCTCACTGTAAAGAAGTTCTTGCACACATTCGTGCAGAACTTCCTATGCTGCAGTTTCTGGCCATTTCCCCTTGTCCTGTCTCTACACACTGCTGAAAAGATTCTGGCCTCGCCACTTGGCCCCCCACACCTTAGATATTTATAGACCTGGATCAAGTCCCCTCTTGGTCTTCTTTTCTTAAGGTAAACAGACCCAGTTCACTCAGTCTTTCCTCATAGGAGAGATGCTCCAGGCCCTTCACCATCTTTGTGGCCCTCCGCTGGACTCTTTCCAAGAGATCCCTGTCTTTTTTGTACTGGGGAGCCCAGAACTGGACGCAGTGCTCCAGATGAGGCCTCACCAGGGCAGAGTAGAGGGGGAGGATCACCTCCCTCGACCTGCTGGACACGCTCTTTTTAATGCATCCCAGAATGCCACTGGCCCTCTTGGCCACAAGGGCACACTGCTGGCTCATGGACAACCTGTTGTCCATCAGGACACCCAGGTCCCTCTCCGCAGAGCTCCTCTCCAGCAGCCTGTACCTCATCCCCCAGCCTGTACTGGTGCATGCAATTATTTCTCCCCAGATGCAAGCCTCCACTCTTGCTTTTGTTAAACCTCATCCAGTTTTTTTCTGCCCAGCTCTCCAGCCTGTCCAGGTTTTGCTGAATGGCAGCACAGCCTTCAGGTGTGTCAGCCAATCCTCCCAACTTCGTATCATCAGCAAACTTGCTGAGGGTGGCCACTATTCCCTCATCAAGGTCATTGATGAAGATGTTGAACAAGACTGGACCCAACACCGACCCCTGAGGAACAGGCCTCCAACCAGACTCTGCATCGCCAGTGACGACCCTCTGTGCTCTGCCAGTCAGCCAGTTCTCAACCCACCTCACTATCCACTCATCTATCCCACACTTCCTCAGCTTTGTTATAAGAATGTCATGGGAGGCATTTTCATGTTTTGTTAATCCTTTAACCTGACTTTCAGCTCCTGCTGCCTTCCCATTGATGCTCATCAGCATTTCTGATTTCATTTCCAAGAAACAGATAAGTGGTGATATAATCATGAGTAAAACCCCATAAATACAGCACGTTCTGTGGTATAAATTCTGAATTCTCTCACATTAAGTGTAGGGAACCTTTGGACAGAAGAGAAAAGCTGGGACAGAAAGAGGGAGATTGGTCCTATGAGTGTCAGCCTCCAGCACAAACTGTTCAGTTCTGTTTCTTTCTACTTTGCTAGTTTTTGAGCGGCATACAAAGTCTGCAGAAATTGAGCAACTCTAATAGTCAAAACAGATATAAAACTGTCATTAATATCACAACAACTTAGATTACTTGAAGTTACCTAGAATGTTGTTAATACTTACATTTGTCTTCTGAGCAAATAAATATAATAACAGGGTTGCAGCTGCAGTTATTCCTCCAGCTAACATCACTGTCTCTGACTCATAGGAGCTAGGACACAAGAGACAACCTGTTATCTCACACTGTGCTTTGTGCTCAAGCAGAAGGTAAGGCAGTGAAAGAAAAATGGTTGAAGGACTTACTCTGAAATAATTCCAAGTATTGCACTTCCAATTGCTGTCTACAAAAAAAAAAAAAAAAATCAAAAAAATCACTCATCACAGAGAAAATAATCCTTTTGATGATTGTTGGAAATCAGTGTTATCCAGAACATTTGCCTCACAGAATGGGAAAAAAAATTCCATGATGGATATAATGCAGGCAGATTTTTTTAGATGACATTTCTCGCTGAGGAGAATTTTAAATGTTGTATCAGTTGATGATATGTGAAAGCACTTGAAGAATCGTGGAGTTCAGCAATAGGCTTACCACTGTCAAGCTGTAAAAGGCATTCACGGAACCCATTTGGCTGGCTGCAGAGCTCAGGAGGATAAGAGCAATGCACATCCTAGTTAAAGAGAAAAAAAAAGCAAAGAAAACATTTTTAATGAGTGATAGTTCCAATAAAGACAGCGCAAAAACTGCTAACAGTTTTAATACTGAAAGCAAAGCGTTCAGATTTCCATGTGCTCATCCGTCCAAGAAATATTCAGTGATTTATTCCAAAGTATTTTTGCATTACTGAAATGGAGTCTCAATTACACAGGCTGTACTGGTTGAAACAGAGCAGCATTACATACTTGCAAGTGAAGTAAATAAACTTTTTTTTCCCTGAAATATTTGTCATATATTTGTGTGGATATCAGAAAAGACTTTTTTTTTTTTTTTTTTTTTTTACCTCTAACTCACCTAAGTGAGCATCTCTGAAGATCTGCAACCTTGTATCAGAAGGCTGCACCCAAGAGAGAACAGAAAGGCCATACTGTTCATCATGTAATTCATGCCTAGCAACTTTTTGGTAAGCAGTATATCAGCATGCCCAGAGGCTTTACTTTCTGCTTTTTCTAGGTCCTTTCAGCCCCTGAGCATGGTGAGCAGAGATTGTTCATACAAATCATTTGAGATTTAGAATGGATACTGAGATATAGGCTGGATAGAAGGAAAAGGTCCCTTACAATAAGGGTGGTGAGGCACCGGCATAGGCTGCCCAAGAGGTGGTTGACGCCCCATCCCTGAAGGTCACGGGGAGATCAGGATCTGAGCATTCTGATCAAGCTGTAGGTGTCCCTGTTTATCGAGGGGAATTGAATTAGATGATCTTTAAAGGTCCCTTCCAATTCAGAAAGTCCTGAGATTCTATGACCATAGCATTTACCTGAACTTGAAGCCTGGTATGTCATTCTGGGTACTTACACAAAAGTGAGGGATATCCAGTAATAGTTCCCCAGCTGGAGCCGTAGCCTGGACCTGCAAAGACACAGCAGAAGTTAGAACATCCTATGAGACTGCAAAGCACGTTGCAGCCTATCCATGGGGTTGCTGAAGCCTCAGGGATAAGGTCATCCCAGCAGGTGGGCTTCCATTACATTTGGGCATAAAGCAACTTCTCCTACTTTCCATTTTTAACCACTGAGCGTAATCTTGCAACAACTTGGACCTCTGGGTTTCCATCTTTTAGCTACAGAGTCACTCCAAACCCCAGAGCAGGCTCTGGAGAAGGCATGCTCTGATGAAGAGCTGAGGGATCATGGAATCATTTAAATGCATCAGGGCTGAGTTGTATTCACAGCTGTAGAGAATCTCATTACCTGCAACTTCTCTCGTTAGCACCTAGGGAGGAGCACCTTCCAGACCCAGGCAGCCAATCAGCTTAACCACAGAGACGTTGCTGTGAGAGTGACTGAACAGAGCCTGAACTTACCAGCCCAGAAATCCCACTGCTACTGTGAGATAAGTGGCTGCCAGCCCATAGACCTTCTTGCTGAAATCTGGAGAGACCACATAGACAATGTTATTTCAATCATTTCACCAATGCAACAGAACTTGAGAGTAAAACTATGCTACCCCAAGAATATGTGGTGAAAGAGTGAAATGTTCCTGCTTCACTTGTTTGTCAAGAATTTCCCCTGGGAAGCCATCAAAAGTCCAGTGGGAGCTGTGGGAGGCCAAGGGGCATGGCCGCTGGTGGCTGTTTCACTCCATGGCTACAGCTGCAGGGTGCACTGCCACTTCCTATTTCTTTTGTTGGTTAACCAACAGCTCTGTAACAGCCTTATAGGCCTCTTGTTTACTTTCACTGTATACCCAGTGCTGACTGGTCACTCAGAAATGGGCTGCTTCTATGCTGCATCTGCATTCCCCTGCACAGCCTGGACACAGCCTGGGTGCAGGCATCAGCCCAGCAGCGCAGGGATCCACTGCTCACCATGCTTTGAGGTAATGCAGACTTTAGTCTCCATCTTTACTGGGTATGTTCTATATGGAACAAAGATCACATTTATTGTGGTTGCTGATATTGTAAATATAATGATTAACAAAGGGCCTTACTGGCCCTACGGTACTGAGAACAAAAATCTGTATAAACATGATTTTGTTCTGCCTGCTGTTAACTGTTCTGGATTAGAAAGATGATACAACCAAGTTCAATCTGTTATTTATACAGGTGGAATCGATACATGTCTTAGCTCCCCATACACATCTCCACAGAATTATGGAAGTGACTCAGACCAGTAACAACAGAACATTATATTCTGTGATTCTCTCATTCTTACCCATGCAGTTCCACTTACCATCAGGGGGAAGACCCAAATCCTTCAGTTCCCTTTGGTCCCTCGGAGCTGGAGGCTGTGACCATGGCCTGCCTTGTGGAGGCTCCCCAAGGTCTGTGCTATGGGATCCTGGGCAGTCTCTGCTTCCTGCTTCTACCCTGTGCTCTTCCATTACGGTTGCAGCTTTGCTGAGGTTCTTTGGTGATGTTTGTTTGCAAACATCAGTGTCTTCACTCACAATAACAACTTCTTCTTTGGTAACAACAGCTCCATGGGGCTCGTACTTCCTGATGAACTTCTGAAGCACCTGGATGTCTGTTTAATGAAAAGTAAATATAATTGGAACCAAGCTGCGGACAAAGAGGTGGCTTTCATCCGAAATCTAAAAAAAATCACGCGGTCCTGGGCACCAGCTCTCTGTCGACTCAGAACAGTCAACCCAAGCATCTGTTTCTTTCCATAGGAAAAAAAGGGTTGCTTCAAGAGCTTCTGAAGCTTTTTTGAGGGAGAAAACAGAGGCCGTATTGCGCTCAGGATTTCTCTGGGGACAAAGCTGTGTCAGAGGTTCCAGCTGCCTCCCTGCACCACGTGTGTTCATGGTCCTTGTGCCCATCTCTTTACTGAAGAGCATCACTCCCTCCTGTTCAGTATCACTGATTGATTTCTTAACACAAATCATTCAGCTGACTCTAATAGAAATAATTTTCCATGCAAGTAATATCCAACACAGTCAACAATCCCTTTCTTTCTGATAAATGTCTCACTCTGATAAACTCATGCCGCAAGGCAGTCTGTGGCAATGAATCCGAAATATATAAGCAGAATTTGGGAACCTCTTCTTCCCAAGCCTAGATTTCAGCAGGCCACTATGAAAGAGAGTAAAGATACCTTGTCCTGCTGGTCAGCAATGCATTCCTTGAGAACACTTCTCTCTCACATTACAATGCATACAGCATTTTCCAATTACCTCTCCTTATAGCGTCAGAACACGGCAGAGTAAAAATGTTGCTTTGGTGGCATGCACAAGGACTTCTTAGTGCATCCTGATGACGCAGGTAGAATGTCAGGAGGTCTTCATTCCTTCGTTTGTGGGTGATTTGTTCTGTCCTGTTGCATCTCTTTGACTCAAACCTTTCATTCCCACTGCCCATTGTTGGTGCTGGGTTCTTCTCTCCTGCAATTTCCCACCTTCCAAAACAATGAGTGACTATTAGCTCCAAAAGGAGAACCAACTGCAGACAGCATGGTGAATGACCAAGGGAAAGCTTTCACCACTTCCCAAAGACACGTCCTCTACCGGTGAGATCTGGATGATCTCTATGCACCTGTCAGTGCAGCACTGGGTCTATCGGCCGGCTGCAAAGTCTGACTGTGCACAGTATTCCTGGCACTGCCCTTTAAAAATTAAATGCGCATTCAGTAGGAGATCAGCAGAGGTGGTAAACTAGAAAAACTCACCTGTGTTGATCTCTTGCTTATAACCAAGGAAGGGGCGGTAGTACGGGCTGTGCAGCAAGCACTGGGTGTTGGCCGGACAGAGCCTGTCCTTCCCTATAAGAAACCAACCACAGACTGTGGAGGAAATGGGAGTAGATCCTGCAGATAGAGTTGGCCAAAACAAAACCAAAAGCAACTGCTTTGTGCCTACCTGTGAAGTCTGCATATCTCAGCTGTGACTTGAACACTCCCATGCTGAGATAAGCAGAGGTGGCATGTTGAAAACGTATCCATATAAGGCTACAGCTTGTGACGAGTTCTGTGGGATAGATATGGGAATGCGTATTGCAAAGTCCTTCCTCTGTAGGCTCTTGTCAGGCTCAGCCTACGCATAATGCCCCACGGCTCACCTTGAGCAAGCAAAGACTTTGAGAAGAGGATCTGCACGTTAACTTTGGTTTTTGGTGGCTAACAATATCTGCCAGTTCAAGTGCTGGTTTTGAACTCTTCGCAAAACTTTGATGTAGAAACAATGAAGGGTTGAGCTTGGAAGAAACCTCTGGAGGTCACCTGCTCCAAGCCCACTGCTGAGAAGATCTGTTGGCTTGCTGTAACCCTCCTCCTTTCAGAGCAGGTCCTATCTTGAGAGCCCTCTGTGCTATGTGCTCTCTTTCTCTAATGTCTCTCTCTTTCTAATCTCTATTCCCTCTTTTGCCAGCACTCAGAAGCATCGTTTTAGATCAACACAAGAACAGCACTGTGTTATAGCTTGACTCTTCAGACCTCCAACAATGGCCAAAAGCCAGAACATGCAGGAGAAGGGTATTAAGAACTGTGCAGTCACTGTAAGACTTCCTGAAACACCCAAGCAGTCCAAAGGTGAGTGTTGAGGATTCCTCACCATTGAACTGACTTTTCCAGTTCTACTGCATCTTTTTTATGTAAGCAGTCATTCAACAGAACACACATGGCGACACCACAGATGTCTATGACAGAATAATTTGTCAAGCTTTCCCTTGTTATCCTCTACCAATTTCCAGCACTTAGTTTTTGTACAGCAGAAAGCTGGTGTTTTCATGGGCCTGGCTATCAAAGACGGGTTTTGATGTCTGATTAGCAATGATCACTAGGTGCAGAGCCTATCAAATTGCTTTTCTTATTCCTATCCATTTATCTATTCAATTATTACATTTCAGTTGCAAAGTGCACTCAGCAAGTTTTGTGAAGGTCTTCAGTAGTATTTTATCATCAACTTTTTTGCAGGCCTGGAAAAGTTAATTGTTAGTTGTGGTTGTTGTTACTATTTCACTCTCCAGTCCCTGTCACAATCATTTTCAAGTCTGTGAAACAGCATGTGACCAGGGAGCAAGTCCTTGCAGGACCATCTACGGTCATTTAGAAATAGTCTTAACTCATTTGTTTTTCTTTCTCTGAAACACTTTCTCAGGTCAGCTCTTTCTCTTTTTGGCAGTGATGGCTGTTTGCACAAAACAGAACAACATGTGATAAGTCCCCCACAAAGACCTGTTCTGGCATAAATATCTCCTTAGGTTTCCAAGCGTTGGAACTCATTTGGCACCTCTGCTACAATAGCTTTATCACCTTTTACACATAGCGTGCCTGTACAGCTCCTACAACAACTCTGTTGTGGCTCTTCTTGATTGTGAAGTTTCATAATTATCATGCAGCTTACTCACTTGAACCTGAAGGCCACGATGATTTCCTTCAGAACACAGGTGGAGACCTCAGATCTCTTCAGTGCTCACACTGCAGGCATTGAATGGCATGGAGAGGAATGGTTGATCATTGTGTTGCCATTCAGTGCAACATGAGTAGGCTGGAGAAATGAGCCAGCATGAATCTCATGAAGCTCAACCAAAGGAATTGCCAAGTCTTGCCTCTGGGGAGGCCCCCTATGTTCTCTGTCCCTCACAAGCAACAGGAAGCAGCAAGCTCAGGGATTCCTAAGCACATCACAATGCTCTGAGCTGACTGGCTTGTAGAACAGTTTGTGCAGAAAGCTCTTAAAGCTCTTCAGTATTTGGTACTTTTCCGCTTCAGCTGCTTAAGTGTTTTCATTACTCCACTGAGACTATCAGTATATAAAATCGGTCTTTATTTCCTTTTCCTGAGCAAATGTTTAATTTGAATTCAGGATTATTTTTCATATCATTGTTAACTGCAAAGACTGAAAAAATGCACACAAATTTATAACAATGTACAGTTCATACTGTATGTCAGTGTTGCCTTACTCAAGAAATAAGGATATATTCCAACAGGAGGAAGCAAGGTGATAAACCCAAATAACAGGCTTGAAATCTGCATTCAGCTTTGTAAGAAGGGTATCCTCATACATAAACAACATTTAGCAGAAAGTTACTTAGGCCCATGGGGCTGAAAAACACTCCCTTAGAAGGTGACAGCTAAGAATACAGCCAAGTGACTGATAGGCTTAAGCCTGAAGAAAAAAATGAGTGCAATAGAAAATTAGTTACTGCATCACTGATCAAGTTTGCATCCACAAGCGTTTGTTTATGAATTTATTTTGGATATTTATGAGTTTATTTAAGAAATAAAGAAAAATTGCTGTCACAATTAACCAAATTAAGCTTGGTTGACAGCAAGCTGAAAATGAGCCAGCAGTGTGCCCAGCAGCCAGGAGGGCCAACCATAGCCTGGGTGCTGCAGGCCCAGCACTGCCACTGGGCAAAGGGAGAGGTTGTGCTGCTCTGCCCTGAGCTGTGCGGCCTCTCCTCCAGCACTGGGCACAGTTTGGGTGCCACAGCATAAGGAAACTGTTTAAGTGTCCAAAGAAGGGGTACAAAGAGGCCTACATGGAGTCCAGAAGGCAAGATGTATGAGGAGCAGCTGAGGTCCCCGGGTTTGCTCAGCCCAGAGCAGAGGAGCTGAGGGGTCCTCACAGCAGCTGCAGCTCCTCACAGGGAGTGGAGGGGCAGCGCTGAGCTCTGCTCTGTGTGACAGCAACAGGACCCAAGGGAACGGCATGGAGCTGCGTCAGGGGAGGGCAGCTGGGGGTCAGGGAAAGGTCTGCACCAGAGGGTGGTGGGCAGGGAACGGGCTGCACAGGCAGTGGGCGCAGCCCCAGGCTGCTGGAGTTCAAGGAGTGCTTGGACAGAGCTCCCAGATACGTGATTTGATTTTTGGGTGGTGCTGTGTGGAGCCAGGAGTTGGATTTGATGACCCTTGTGGGTCCCTTCCAACTTGGGATGTTCTGTGATTCCATGAAAAAGGCATCTAAGGGGCTGCACAATTTGAAGTACACCCTGTAACTCATTTTCTGCGAAACTGGAAAATAAGAATGCTAAAGTCAATGTTCAGAAGTCAATTGATTTGCTCATCCAAGTAGAAGCGGATATGAACTGTGGGTTTTCCCAAAATGATCAGCAATGACTACAAAATATAACATGGGGAAAAGGAAACAACTTCAGTTTTAAAGATGAGATGTATTTTAAAATAAATACATAAATCCATGAAGTAAACAGAACATTTTATCCTTTTTTTTTTTTTTAACCTTTTTTTAAAACTTTTTTTAAACATATGGGATATGCAGACCTGAGGATATATTGAAAGTAACTGGTCCAAAGTGTTCCTTTAAAAAATTATAAATTATTGGTAACAGTTTCTTTAATGGAGATTGCAGGGGTAGGTCCTACATGAGTCCATATATATCCCTTCTCTGGCCTTGTAGGAACAGTAGGGAAGGGAGATGATCGAGATTTGAAATATTCTGAAGGTGCGTGACAAACAAATTCCAAATATTCCATTTTCCTTGGGAGATCTTCTTCTGGTCCTATTGAAAAAAAGAATAATGTTTTTCAAATACAAATTTTAAAAGGCATAAAAGTGGAGAGTCCAAGACGATATAATACACAACAACAGTCAACATCTGCCCCACCAAAAAAAAATACCTTGCATAGTATTTGAGGCTAAAGCACCAGTGAAAAACCTCCTTATTTCTGTCGGGTTGATTTTTTTCCCCATTTGAAGAACATGTTCTTAATAGATCCTATTTGTGCCTGCTGTCAGAAGGATTTACTCAATTTATTACTACTTCTTAATCAGCTGCAGAACACACTCTACGCCAGTGCTCTCAATGTACTTTATATATCCAAGATTAAAAGCAGCTAATTCTGGTCACTTCAGAAGAAACAGCTTGGACTGGCACATCTAGTTTATGTCATAATAACTTTAATTCTATCTGTGGAGTAGTAATTTGATCCTTAAAGTTGTAAGACTGTAGTTGTGTGTGCCTGTGAGCACAAGAAATAAACAACCCCACTCACTGCAGCAGTGCTGCTCACATATATGAATTTTAAAAAGTATTCAAGTAAACTAAATGCTTACAGGATTAGGGTCTAAAATGTGGGAATCACATAAAAGACTACAACAAACCAAAGAAGTTTACTTAAAAGTTACAACTCTGCATTAGTTTGGGAACATGTAAGCAGTCATATGAAACGAAGGCTTAGAGATTACCTATGATATAGGATGCGGGGTCAAAGCAGTCTTTGGGGCTGGCTTGCGTAGGAATGAGCCATGTTAGCGCAGCACTCTTTTCACAGTATTGGTCCTGAATAAACCCACGGATCTGGGCATAGTATGTTTTACCATCCTGCTCATCAACTACCGAAACAACATCTCCAATTTGGTAGTACACACCCTAGAAGGCACACAAATGAAAGTCAAATCAATCTGATCTCAAAAGCTTCACTCTGATTCACATGCTAAATATTATGACCTTACACTACCTCAAATTACCCCATTCTCAATACAGCCATAGCTTTCCCACATGCAATGAAAGGTGGCATGAACCAGAGCACCGTCACACCTGAGCAGTCACCAGCATGACCTGTGTACAACCACCTAATGTCTAGAACTTTGAGTTCAGTCCCTGAACTGTTTTTGAGGCTCTACAGGTCAGCATCTCTGCCTGCCAAATGCCACAGAAGCAGCCTAGCCTCACCCACCTTCACAGAACCAGCTCTCAGTTGCTCTGCATCCCCCCTTCCCACTACCGCTGCACCTCCCATCTGCACAGCAGTGATGGTTTTGTTCTGTCAGTAAATGAGTGATACCACCTTCCATAGAAAGTAATAGCAGCAATCACCTTGTACATGCAGGGAAAGCAGCTTTCTGCACACAAAGTTCACCTATCAGTGTGCAAAGCAGGCCCAAAACACAGAGTCACCTCCTGCTAAGGCCAGATGTTACACAGTGCTCAGTCAGTGCATAACACTGCACAGCAAGCGCGACATCACTTGGTGTCATAACAACATTCTGCAACATGGCACAGTGTCTGCACTATCAAGACTGGACTACTGCAAGGGGACCCAAGGCGATTGCGCAGTTCACCTGCTGGCTCCAGACAGGGCCACCCAAATTTCAAACCCTATTTCAAGAGCACAGTCCAAACACTGCCTAAACACCTCGCTACCAGGGTGTGTGGGACCGCTCACACACAGCCCAGGCGGGAGCCGGGCCGGCTGCCATCTCTCTGATGAACACAACATGACAAGTGTGACTACATGGGCTCCTGTGGGACCTCAGCAGATGCAGCACCGTGAGGCAGAGCAGAACCCTGCACACTGCTGGGCAGGGAAGCACAGCTCTGTGAACACCTCCTGCTGCCTCCCTGGTAACTTTTGAAACTGAAAGCACCAGGAAGGTCCTTTCGGTGGGCAGATCTGCACGTGCCATACCTTATAGAAGATCGAGTCTGCGGTAATGATGGTGGATACGGATTCAGGGGCCTTGATGGGCTAGGGAAACAACACAGATGGAAGAGGAAACGCATTAAAGCAGAGCAAGAGAACTGCAGGGTGGGTTTTCTCGCCCTTTTACGACGACGCCACACTGACGGAGAATCGCAGAGAACGTGGAAACACGGGAAACGAGCGGCAGACGTCCGTACTTTACAAACGCACAGCGGGGCAGGGCCGCCAGCCTCGGGCAGCACCCCGCAGGGCCCGCCCGCCCCGCCCGAGCGGACAGCCCCGGCAGCGCCTTACGTTCTTCAGCTTGAAGATGTGCCTCCTGCCTTTGCCCTTCGTGGAAACCTTCTTCTCGGCGGCGGGCGCGGACTTGTACTTGGTGTTCCTCAGCCGCGCGGACCGCCGGTGGATCTCCTGCTTGCTCTGGGGGCGGAGGGAACGGAACGGGGCTGTAAATAAACGCGGCGGGAACGCCGGGGAGCCGCCCCGCGCGCAGCCCGGCGCTCACCTGCTTCCCGCCGCCGCCGCCCCCGCCGCTGCCGTTGCTGTGCTGCGCGGCGGTCGAGGTGGTGGCGAAGGCGGCGGGCCCCGGCGGGGCGGAGCGGGCCGTGCAGTTGTTGCACAGGATCTCGCCCTGCCCGCCCTTCTTCCACATGGAGGAGGACGTGCTGCGGCACACGCTGCACGTGGGCTTCAGCCCCAGCGGCATCCTGCGGCCGGCGGCGGGGCCCGCGGCCCCCGGCAGCGACACGGGGGAACGCGGCGCCACCGCCGGGCCCACCTTGGTCCCGGCCCCTCCCCAGCGGCGGCGGATGTCGCTGCGTGGCGGCGCGGCGGGAGGAGCGCGGCCGGGCCCTGCCCTCTGCTGCGTGCGGGGCCGCCGCTCCGTACCGCCGCTGGGGGGCGGTGCGGCACGGCGGAGGACGGGAGGAAGGGCAGCGGGTTCTTAAGGGCGAGGGGAGATGGCCTGAAGTTGTGGCTGTTAGAGTTAGGGTGGTATAGTTAGGTTGAGGTAGGACTTGATGATCTTTAAGGTCTTTTCCAGCCTGAGCAATTATGTGATTCTATGATTATGTGGCAGGCTTGGTTCTGGAGTGCGGGAGCTGCTAGGTTTCGTTTAAACCTGCCTTGATGCAAATTAAATTGATTTTGCCTCATACTCAGCAGATGTGAACTATTTTCTGCAACACTTTTTTTATTGTTGAGGGAAAGGATCCTGCTTAAACCCCATCACTCTTTCATGTAAAACAGGGGATTTCACTCTGTGTGCTATCGGAACAACTCTGTAGTTGATGGGCACAACTCACAGGGATCTGCCTGCATAGAATGACACCCTGAGGTGGGGCTTGGGATCACCATTCTGCTCGTGGCCTCTGAAAGGCCCTCAGAACCACCGGCATGGAGAGTTGGGGCTGCCCTGGCTGTCCCACCGCCCCCTGCCTGGGCTGAGGGAGGTTGGAAAGGCAATGGCTGAAATGTGATGGGAGAATTGCTGAGTGCCCAGTAGGTACAGGGGGAATGACTCAGGACTTCTTAAAAGCCCTCTCCCTCTGTTCCCCTTGCTAGGATCCAAATTTGGCAAAGTTGATGCTAATCTTTGAGCATCTTTATTTGTTTCTAGATTCCCCTTAGTAGAACCAGGCTTTCTGAAGCTGAAGTGGGTTGTGTTGGGATGTGGCTTCAAAAGTTGGAAATGCCTAATGTAGGTGGCTGGATTTTGCGCGGTGTAAATTTAGCTGAAGCTGGGGATTACATTCATTTTATCACATTATTGCATACTTTCACCTTATTTTACTTTATTTTAGCCTCAGCAAAAGAGGCTAAAAGAGCAAAAGCTCTCTTGACTGATCTCAGAACCCATCCCTGTGCCAAGGAGCTTCACCTGAGGGCAAAGAACCTGGAGCAAAATGTGAGCTCCACCTGGAGTTGGCTGAGTGCACCCTGACCACCTGTGCAGAATCGTTTATTCCTGAGAGCTTTCAGATGGTGATGATTAATTATTAGAAGTGCTGCATATCCACATATGCTCCATGCATCCCTTGCTTGCATAGTTTAATTATTCTGCAATAATTTAATTGCACTGCTTCCTTTTAGCTTCCTGTATCTGCTGGCCCCTATCTGAAGAATCCTTTATTACAACATTGTATCACTCTGCGCAGGATGCACCTGGAGGGCTGGTCTGGAAATATTTGTGCTGTGAATGCATGTAATTGGGCATGACTGCCCGACTGGTGCAGTCTGTGTTTCCGCATGGTGCTGTGCTAAGGTCCGTATGCTCCTTAGCTCTCTTATGAGGGCCTTTTTTCTCTTAATTACCTTAGCTATAAGGGATGCTATTCTTTAAATGTATTGGAGAATTATTGCTAACATGAATAGCCTGCATATATCTTAGCAACATGTAGGTCTTCATTCCTCATTCAAAAGCATGGTGGAGCCAAGAACCAGCCCCACTTTCTGAGGTCTCTGAGTTCTGGCCCAAGGCATGTCGCAGTGGCAGAGTTAAGACTTGGACACATGCCTCGTTCTTGAAGAGTATGGTAAGTCTGACTCTCAAACTGCTATAATTCTTGAGAATGCTTCTGTGACACAAGAACGGAGAAAATGCACCTCTTAACAGAAGTATTTCTGCAGTTGTCTTCAGGCCCTTAGGACTTATTTTTGGAACAGAGGGCTACCTTTTCACTACTGAGTCTTCTTGGAAATGGGAATCCTGTAGTACAGGTTTCCCGCTTAACTGGTTGTCTTTACATGTCGCTGTTTCTGCTTCATCTGAACAGCTGGGATCTTTGAACAGAACTTGAATTGGTTAGGTTGAATTGTGGCTCCAGTAGCAATTCTCTGGTCTTGGTTTTTAGCCTTTACACTGCTGGTGGAATAACGTGATCCTTGGGTGCAGCCTCAGTTGGGACTTTTATTATTCTTTGCACTGTGAGAAGTAGGTGCTACTGGTAGGGAAGTTCATTGTCTTTATGCAATTTTGGTGTTAAGGAATACTTCCATGCCTTCATTATAAGCCAGTACAACAGCTGCAAGTCAACACCGATTCCTAAAGGCACATTTCTATTGTGCATGTAAATTATCTTAATTATAAAGACTTCCTCTTTAATTTGTTAGTGGAAAAATATAAAGGAGATGGGGCAGTGGGATAAGATCTCATACTAAATGTAAAGCAGATCCAGTTATTTACCATTACTTGTTTATTACACTTACAGATTTCAAAAATAAGATACCTGTCTGTGCTGTTCCATCAGTTGCACTGAACAGGTTACTTGTGGTTATCGCTGCATGTGTTTTTTGATGAACTTTTTCTCTGGGATAGGCACCCACTCCACTGCCCCCATTTCTTTGCATCCTCATCTGCACTTTTTTGTTGTTTGCTACACTGCCCAGGGCTGTATTCTTGAAGCCTGCTCTAGTAGTTTCCCTAGGAAAGGCTTTCAGAGCACAAACACTAAGAAAAACCAATTCCAGGGCCAATCAAAGGCTGCAAATGCTGAGTCCTTCAATGCTCTGTGACCCAGTCTGCCCATGTGAATGTCCAAAACTGCTTCACATAGTTTTGTGCTATCTCCAGCTTAAGCCTCCGTGCATCTGTATGACACAGAATGGAAACTCAGCATTACAATCCAAGATAGCCCTGTGACCAAAGAAATGTCTGGGGGACATGGAAAATCTGGGTTTCAAACCCTTACTCAAAAACTTTCCAGTTGAGAACTCGTGGTCCCATGTGAGTTTTTGACTTCTTGATGATTACCAGGCTGTAAGAGTCAAGTGCGTGCAAACTGTGCTGTCACACCAAAGCATGCTGCTTTCTGTGTTAGCTCTGTCAGGAAGTGTGCTGGAGGAACGCAGCCTGCTAGGTTTTAGGTAGAGCCACTTGCTGAATTATTGCTGGGTCCCACAAATTCACATGGGTGTTCTGGCCAAACTTACCGAGGATTTGGGATGTAGCAGTGCTTGAAAGGTTAAAGCTGTGCTGAAGTCCTCCCAAGGCTCTAGTTTTTTATGCACAGCATGGAACTATGCACAGCAACCTGTTTCTGAGAAGCTGTGCAGTTGCAGCCTCTCTGCTGCCCTGGAAGGTGGTGGGCTCACGGTATCATTTTGTGACTGTTTGTCTCATCTCCCTGCAGATAAACATTCCATGTATCTGTATGTCCATGCAAATGATTTAAAAAGAAAAGAAAACGTGCAAAATTCTTCTGAATTTTGTACATCACTGCAGAAAGGAGTTTTGTAAAGATGAAGACCTGCTTAATTTTAAAATGACACCGTCCTGTCAACAACGGCCTTGGTGAGCCGCAACCCTGTGTATCTATGAAAACTTGGGAGGAAAAAGGCTTTGCAGTTTACTGGAAATATTTTTTTTACTTCATTGTTCTATTTTCAGTAAATCTTTTATGAATGGCTTGAAGTGTTTCATGTTGTTATATATTTGGAGAACAATACAAATTCTATTATTGCATAGTTTTGAATTGGAATGCACACAAACCACTGCAGAAAGTTAAGTTTTCATTCCTTGTACAAAGACTGGCAGAAACATCTCATGCAGTGCTAACAGGGGATCTACCTCCTCCTTTTTGTGCACATCTTGTGCTTTATTCTTCAGTTAAAAGGAACAAAGGTTAGAAATGACACTCGACTTTGCATTACCACTGGCTTCCCTATGGTTTTCAAGTGTCCAGATCTGTCTGATATGCAGAAGAGTAATAAGGACAGTAATCACTACATTCTGCAATATCAAGTAGATTGCGTAGATAATTTTCGGTGAAGAAACTAGCTGTATCTGTGTTTGGATTCCATCCTTATCAGCCCCTGTGAGTACTACAGTGGGATGACGTGTGCTGGGAGAGAAGAGGAGGAAAATGCAATTGTGAAGTCAGCCTTGATAAAGAGAGCTCTGAAGCTGGGCTGTAGGGGTGTCTGGTTTTGAAGCATTTGTGATTTTTAACACCTCTGAAACTATGTCTTAAGTTTGAATACTAGTACGTTATAGCTGCTATTAGGAAAAAAAAACACTCACTGTCTTAGTAAAACTCATTTTCTTTTGCTAATTGCAGCATATTGAGCAACACCACAGCAGCAGGTGATGAGAAGTGCCTTGCAATGACTAATCCAACTTTGTGCACTGGATTTTAGAAGCTCTCCTGTATCATGGCACGATTGTTTCAAGAAGCAAATCATTGTAACAATGAACAGAATAGTTTAGTGTTTGTTTGGACAGTTTGGAATTTCCTGCTAACAACAGAAATGGATATGACACAATTCAGGAGCACTATTCAGACCACCAAGTTTTCCTTGATCAAACTGACCAGTTTTAACATTTTGTGTTCTGTGCAGCATTCAGGCTTCAGCATCATAAGCTGTCAGTTCCACTAATTCATGGTATGTTCCTCAAGGATCAGTACCACCCCTCCACATTGTTCAGCACCACTATTTTTACTGACAGGGCATTACAGCTTACAAAAACATAGGTGCACAAAATGGCTGTGGCAAGCAAAGTGAAACTGTCTGCTTTAGGTTTTCAAAGCTTAATGAATGTAATTGGTACCTTATACTTTCAAATCAAAACCTTCATCTTACTGTTATGGTCCCCTGCTATTCAGGCTTGGGACCAAACATATCCTAAAAACTTCTATCATCAGTCTTCAGAATCTGCTACAGTAAGTCTAAGATGAGATAAGACAGAACAGAATTAGTTTAAGTAATAAATGTTTAATCAAAGAATTTTACATATTATTAACAGCATTCATTTGGCCAAACATCTACATGGTTGTAGTATCCTACTTGTATATAAAGTGGGAATGTATCAAGTATAGACTATGAAAGTGCAAATAACAATTCAAGGTTAGAGTAATTTTTTACATTATAAAATTAACAGGTTTACAAAATAGTCTTGCCAAACTTTATTTTTGAATTGTAAAGTCAATGACTATGGTGTTAAAATAAGTACCAAGAAAATACAAATTTAATAGGCTAATTTCATGCTCGTAAGAGTAACACGGAAACAATGAATATACTGCACAACCTAACCAAATTACAAAAAACCAGAACCCACAAACTTCACTATCTTCACAGAGAGCACTCTTAACGTATCTTACTGTAGCTTTGCAAGACATCTCAATGCAATACACACGATCTTTGTGAGAATCTTCCTATCCAGACATTCAAGGAAGCTATGTGAGCTAAACAACTTTCAGGCCAATTCATGTTGACAGTTCACAAAGAACCGCTTTAGTTGAAGGATTTTATACCGTACAACAATTTTAAATAGGCATTTTGCAAAGATGTCCAAAAGTTCATGATTATGTCAGGAAAGGGGCAGCTAGAGGGAAAGCTGGTAAACGAGTTGAGACTACTCTATTCCATTATCGCTAAAGATGCTTGCAAAATGATCTAGGTTCTTAAGGGGTAAGGCTAAAATATTCTTACTTCAGTTTTTACTAATACGAACCTTGTGACTCCAAGGTTCAAAAGCAGGATTTGCATGAATTCAAAACACTCACTTGAACTCACAGTAATCAATACATAAACTTTGCTATCATGACACTTGCCTATACACACTCAGTAGTAATAAACTTTTATATCATATCAAGAAATTTCTGGTAACAGTTAAGCAAAACTTAAAATGGAGTGTATGTAATTTGCTTGTGTTATGAAAAGGTTTGATTATATGTAATTAAAACAGCCATTTCAACAACTTACTCTAGTTGTAATTACATACTGTACCATTGTATCTCACTAACTGTAGATTGATGCTTTTAAGCAAATCTAAAACCAGTATTTTTTTTATTTTCACGGTACAACGACTAGGAAGGGGTTTTTTTTGTGTGTGTGTTTTTTTTTAAACACTAAACAGTAATCACACAGCAAATGAATATTGTGCAATTGAACAAATACCTAGCAGTGTTTTGTTTATGCGAAAACACTGATTCAACACTTAGTTATTTACTGTAAAGGCAAGGCCATGGGTGGTTGTATGGAGGTCTTTGCAATTAATAGCATAGTTACTCCAGAACAGACACTGAAATTGAATTACTTGTTTAACTGTGGCAACTATCCAGTTGGGTTTGGCAAAGGCACCGTAACATGTTGAGCAGAATCTGTTATCTGAACTTTAACTGTGGGACTGGCTAATGTATGAAAATCCTGTATTCCTATATTTTTATAAAATGTTATCATTAAAAGTAATTGCACTATCAGTGCATAGAATGCTTTGTAGAATTATGAAAACAAAGAACTATGATTGCACTTCCATTAAAGTGTCTCTTAAAATACAGCATAGCTGTTGCTAATTGACTGTATTTTAATGTTTAAAATAACTGTTTAACAGCAGCATTAGGTTTTATTAACTTAAGATACAGGCTACATTTGATTAAATGCAGTCACCATGGCAACACATGCCAGTTAAATTTAGAGAAGCAATGCTACCCAGTGGTTTCTTTCACTGCTAAGAATTGTGGGATTAGTTTGATAGAGTAACACCGCCCTGTTTGATCAGGCTACTGCCAGCTAACTATTCACAGTTTGGCACGTTTGGACTGTAAATAGACATGAAAAAATCTTTGATTTTAATGTGAAGGAATATCCCCTAAAACTTGTTCCTGGAGCAGTAATAAAGAGAAGCATTAAATACCTCAGATCACTCTGCTAACAAAAATGACAAATGAGTAAGGAAAGGTTATGGAAAACAAAACAAAAACCCCAAATAAATTGCTAAATGTTGTTTTGGTGAAAGAATGAGTTCCAAAAAAAAAAAAAAAAAGAAAAAAAAAAAAAAAAGAAAAAAGAAAAAAAGGAATAAACTATTTATTAGAAAAAACAACCAAAATAATCAGTGTAAGCCTTTAATCCAAACTTTAAAGTTAAGGATCATCAACCTAAGGCTAAACAGATGCTGCCTTGTATTAGGAATGTGGAATACAACCTACTTATTCAATTTTCTTGAGAGCAAAGAGGCAAGTACTACCAAATTAAATGGAAAGGATATTCCTTGAAAGTTTCACATTATTACAAAGAACTACAATTCAAGAGAGCCTCTAAATATCCGTTGTTACGTCAGTGGTTACAACTGAGCTGTAGTTATGTGGATCAAAGCCTCCATAATGCTTACTCCACATACTGTACCATCTGTCACTGCCATTTGCTTACTTCGGATTTAGTTTTTGTTCATACCAGATGCACACGTTCAATCCATTCACTTGAGGTTTGAGGAGTCTGATTTGAAGCATCTCCTGAAGCATCCAGGGTGCTTGTTACTTCCCTGGTATTATCACCACCTTGCGAAACTGTTTCACCTGGAATAATGTTTTCTTCAGAAGTGCCTTCCTCTGTTTGCGTTCCTCTGCCTTCGTTTTTGAGTGCATCCTCAAATAGCGCATGCTCTTCCTGAAGCTCCAACCCTGTGTCTCTAACATTTACCCGCCCTGCTGACCCATCTTCAGTACTGGGTTGCTGCGAATCCTCATCTGTTTCTGTACTTGTTGAAGGGATCAGAGCAATACTCTGTGGATTCATGTCATGAAACCAGGCCATAATATTTCCAAGAAGATTTTCATTGGTATTGGGATCTTGACTACTGGAATCAGCATCACTAGATGTTGAGTATAATCCACCTCTTGTATCGCTGCAGGCGTGTGAATGAAGTCGATCGACCGAGAACGGATCGCTGCCTGCCCCTAGTCTCATCAGGCTGTCACCGAGTTCTAACAGCTCAGAGCTGCTCAAGGCGGCTCTTGGGTTATCTATACTTATGGGAGCAGAGTCCAATCTTGTAGGTAGAGACGTACCTATTGCTCCTAAAGATGCCTCGTTATTCAGAAAGTCTCTAGTTTCTTCGTCTATGGCTAAGCCAGATTCTTGTAGTGACAACTGAATAGCTAGCAGGATGTTCGGGTCGTCTTCATCCAAAGAACTCAGGGCCTGTGGAAGTATATAGGGTTGCTTTTAGAATAGAACTTTCATCTTGTAACACATTTTGGACTGAAAGCCATTTGGTCTCAAATCTATGACTAACTGACACGTGATTTATCAGAATCATTTTTACTGACACAGTTGCCAACAAATTAAAAGCAAATTATTGTTACAATAACAATCATTCAACAATTCTTACCGGTGAGAATGTACAAGTTGTCCTAGATTCCCCCTTTCTCATCGAAGAATTAAGAAAATTTGCAGAGACAAAACGACACAGAAAAGCAGAGCAGAAGGTGGCAAGCAAAACAGAGGGAATGGAGAAGAGATTAGGGGAGATACCTGCAGAGAATCCTGGTTTTCAGAGCGACTGACAGGGGTATAGTCATGAAGTGAAGAGCTGTGCAGAATACCCATAGAAGCTGAACTCACCATGGAAGTGCCATGTCTTCTGCTACTGCCACCTTCCTGAGTGTCTGTACGGGCAATTCAAACAAATACATTTGAAGAACAAGCAAGAATGCTTTCTTATATAAATAAGAATATAAATAAATACCATTATTTACTGACACAATCTCTTGCCTTCCTTTTGGGTTCTAGCTGTGTAATTCCAGTCTTTTATTCACTCTTAAGTGAATTATCCAAAACCACTCATTTTACACCAACTCTTCTATGGAGACAAAACAATGCTGTCTGTTTCATTTGTGCCTTTCTACTCTCAGTAGCATTCTTTCACCCTCTGAAAGAATGTGCTATGTTGTCAGCAGCATAAGCTCACTGGCAGGGGGAGCAAAATGCTTCCAAAGCATGTACATGAATTATGGAAAGTCCTGAAAAATACTGCACATTGCCTCTCTGTCCAACCTGTATTCTATATTCTCTCAATCTGCCATCCATCATGATCTGTCTCTACAGTTCCTTTTGGAAATTTTTGCCAGCATGCACTCAATCTCAAGTATATGGGTTTGGTTTTATCCTTTTGCCTCTTTGTTTGACACTCTGCATGTCTTCACTAATACCCTATTTTCAGAGCCTTTATGCTATTAGTTAGACACTGGCCTGAAAGACACTATGGAAATTTAGCGTGATTTAGAGCTTACAATTTATTTTAAGCAAAGGACACAGCATGGAATTCATCTGCAGGGAGCTTAAAACTGGTGTTGTCCCATTTCTGTTCTTGCAGAGACAACAACTCATCTGTAATGCTAACACTACATCAATTTATACTGCAACGCTGCAGCACAGTTAAGAGCAGAGCTGTTAGTGTATATGTCAGCAATCTAACAAACTAACATCTCTGTCCTCTTAAAGCGACCAACAAAAAATAGGAATAAAATACTGTTTCAAAAAAAAATTTCTGTAATGAAAATAACTACTCTCAATTTGAAAAATGGAATTTTCCACTTCAAAACACAAAGGGAAACACAGTGCACACTGTCACTAAATATCCAAGTGTTCAGTCAAATTCTAGTTCTCAAACTAGTAAGATGCTTTTGCATTTTACTTGCAATAGCGAAAGACCAAAGTTCACCATACTTTTTCTAGTTTCTAAAATAAAGAATGTATTTGTTATTTTTTCTCTTTGTTAATAAAACACAAGCTATAGGGCTTAAATTCATAAGGACATAGAGATGAGAATTTTGCAGCCTGGCTTAGAAGTGAAGCACACACCTGGAAGCTCTGAAGAATGAGAATCAGAAGACTATTTGGATTGGAGCTATTTTTGTACCTTTGCAAAGGCTCCTGGCAGGACACAGACAGCACAGAGAGCCAAGTGACAGTGACCTTACTTCACTGCTAGCATAGCTCAGCCTGGGAGAGCAGCGTGCTGGCAGTCATAGCTCATGCCAACTTGTCTCCAGTACTTGGCCAATGCAGGAGTTTCTGAGCAGGGTTCTGTAATACAGTCTTATGGCTATCATCCAGCAGTCCCGTAGCAGAGGGAATCTTGTCTAGACTCTAGGCACAACTGGTTTTTTTAATTTGCATTAAAAAAGCTGGTATGTAGATAAGACTAGCATATGAAATATGCATTTTTTAAAATTTCTTCAGGAAAGCAAACCTGCTCTAAATAGCTATGGACTTGTTACTGGGAATATCAATGCATAACTCTTTAAAAAGTGTAACAGCCACAATCAGTGGCTCACAAGTCAGCAGCTCTTCTAAAATCACATACAAAAGTGCAAGAATAAGGTTTAACACTGCATTCTGTAAAATATAATAATATATTTGAAACTCATTTGAAGTGCATCCAAAGAACGAACACTGTGGTTGCTACTAGCAACTTCTGAAGCAGCAAGAGAGAATAAACAGCCCCAGGCAGGAGCGTACCTAATGTACTCTCACTGGGGTCATCAGGATCTGGAGTATTACTCAGCAGACTGTGCATGTCTCCACGTCGACGCTGCCTGTGCCTCCTCCGATACTGAAATTCAGCATATTCCTGCATAAACCAAAGGTTACAAAACACAGGGCAGCATGCAGTAATATTTTCTGACGCAACAAGCAACACATTTTTTTTATTTTTTATAAAAAAAAATGTGTGATTTTATAGTTTCATTATAAAATCACCTGTTTTTAGAAAAGTAAATTGCAGGTTGTATCATGCATCATACTTCAACAAAAAGAAACAAATCCAAAAAGCAATCACCAGGTAATCCTAAATTATAAAATAACAGATTAGCAAATAAAAATACTTGAGGCATTACCAACGTTTTAATACTTGCAATCTTCCTTTTTAAAGAATTCCAGGTACGCTTTTTGTGTTTCAAAACTTTGATGCCAAACTTTACACACATACACACACATTTTTTGTAGACATGTATCTAAAGATTTTAGAACATTAAGGCAATTAATGCGAGTTAGACAAATAGGTCATGTCTGGGTTCTGTTGCCAGCAATGGCCAATCCAAAGATTCTAATCTTTGGAAAAATATAGAGCCAGCTGATACATACTGGTACTTGTTATTTTTTTCCCAGGCTCTAGGCTCAGGAACAGCCATAGTTGATACTCTTGTATTGAGCAACTGTCATGGTTTTATTGATAGGTTTTTATCCCACGAATTACAAATTTCCTACTGTTGCCTAATCTGAGCTGATAATAAGCCCCACCCCACAGATCTGAACTCCTGCAGACTATAATTTCTCATGCTGTATGTGTTTACCAATGACAGTTTGCGTAATATCTATGGGATAGATTCATTTCTGACTATATTACACTAAGATCCCAAGAGTTACTTATCTTTATTATAATTTCCATGTAAATTCATCTGCTAATATTGAGAGACTAATTTTCTGCTTGAATGCAAATTTTCAGACTTTTTTTGGCTAGTACCTGACTGTGTAGTTAGTGTTTCATTAATGACAGTAATTTATTTACACAAGGGAATAAAATCAGGCACACTGGTAGTAGTTTTCTTATCAGAAAGGAATACTCCTTTCTTCCCTAAGATCCATCTTGGGAAATCTGCAATCCAGTGGTTTCCTTTGACCAGACAATTTCTTAAAGACAGCATTACCATTAATGTTGCTTTCTTTCATTTAGTCTGCATCCTAGAACATCTCAATATCTAAGGCATCTAAATCAACAAGTGTCAGTTCTCTTACACAAAGACCTTATTAATTTTGATGGTGTTGTAATGTTATGTTGTCTTTCCATTAAGTGATCTAGGCCAAGCTCTTATTTATGATGACATACACAAGCTAAAAAGAAGCATCATGAAATGACCAGCATCGGAAGATTTTTATCTATTTAAGAAATTGTTCCATGAAAATTTTAAGAACATACAAATAACTGTAACTGACCACATGAAAGGTCCATTTAGCCCAATAATCTGAGCAGTGGTTAATAGTAGGTACTTATTATGGGACAGAATAAAAAACAGGGCAAGCATGAAGTCATCAGTTGTCCTTCCAGTTCCTAAGGAGTCCTGCATTTCCTGTAATGGAAGGCAGACCCCCAGAGAACAGGAAATGAAATTTTGATGTCAAGTAATATAAATGAATTATATATAAACATACATCACAGTATCACTGTGAATCAGATAAGGAATAACGTGAAGTGATCACAGAACACTAAAGTTTATTAGTCATATTAGATCTTATCTTTCATCTGCTTTCAAAAGATTTTACCAATAGCCTCTTAACTATAATTTTGCTTGTTTTCTTTTTTCAATGTATGAAATATGCAACTCAATTACTGCAGCTAAAATTTTACTTCTGTTTACTTGCAACAATTTTTAAAATGTGTACTAAGGAACTTTTATTTTGTTGGATAGGAACATCATTGTTTCACACAAGGACATTCAACAATCAGCATTCTTTGCTAAACCCACTAAGATTTTATTTTCTGTGATAACATTATGCACAGATCTTCTTGTGAAAGTACAGCTCTACATCAAAAACTGTGTATTGAAAAAAATCACTAAAACAAACAATGACCAATATTAATTCTACAAAATTCATTTAGCATAGGTGGTTGCAAGTATCCTTCCTCTCTACATAGCAAAGAAGCCAACTTGCATTATGCAGTGCCACATTTAGGCAAATCATAAAAACTTACAAGCTATCATCTAAGCTGCAATGGCACCTGCTGCTAAACAGCTCATCAACATACTGCTTATCAGCTTCTCATAACCAGTTCCACTAACAATAAAATACCATCACAAATATTTTAGAACACGGAATTATTTCAAAGGAAAGGACTAAAGGAACTAGACAAGAGAAGCAAGTTGATGTTTTGTAGAGAAGCAAGCTATTTTCTCACCAGCATGATGCTCACCAACAACAATAGCAAAGGAAATATATAGAAAAAAGTACATGGAGTTTTCCAGGATGCTTTAAAATGACTAGCTAGAAAGAAAACAGCAGCAAGGAAATGTTGAGATGAAGCTTCCTTCCTAACTTAATGCTTTAATCTAATGTTCTCAAAATACAAAATAAAGTTAAGATAATAAAGGCAAGCTTTATAGGAAGCTTCTTGTTTTACTGCAGTCTTGAAAATTATATACTCTTTTCCCATATGTGGGTAGAGAAATATTCATTTAAAATTGTTGTTTTCATTCTCGGTTAAATCTCGTTTAAGTAAGCAATTTCCATCCTGCTTTAATATATAAAAATGAAAAGAAACACTTCAAATGTTTAACAATATTTGGGTATATGCCTGTAAGTTTTTGTTGAGTTGTTAAAGAAAGACAGGAATTTCTTAGGCTTTGCCAAATTCTGCTGAAATAATGTTGCATTGAAAAGTAATCTACGTACGTATTATTTATTTAGTCTTTTAAGGCTCCCCAGCACATAGAAACCAGTTTATTCTAAATCTGGTTACGTACTTGGAAAACTATGTAATGTTAAGTAACTATAGTCATGTTAGTGTCACTGCAGTTAGGTATTCATATATATATTTCCTTCTATTGTGAAATAAATACAATGGTAAGCTTAAACCAGCTTGAGATGCTTTGTATAAGGAAGCTCTTCATGCAGACCACAATCATACCTGTGTTTCTAGAATATGCAGAACTAATTTAAATATGTAAGAAGAAATAGTTTACCTCAGGGGATGCAAATCCCAAATACTCCCAATCCCATGTTCCACCAGCAAAGCTATAAAGTTAAGAGAAATTAAGTTTAGAGTCAGAACAAAGTATGAACAACATAAATAGCTTCAAAACCTATCAACATATAAACAGTGCAACTCTACTGCTCTTAAATCTTCTCCTTTAATGCTTATCTTGCAACTCATTTAGAAAACCATGAAATTGCAATATAAATACTAAAGAAGTGAAAGAAAACCCCACCAATTATCGCAATCACAGTACTCAAGGATATTTACTGCACTTAGCTTTTGAAGCAATTTTAAAAGCCAGCAGAGGTTTCTCATTTGCAGTTTCATCCACAGAGTCTGATTAACAGCATATGTGCATTTGAATTCGTGAAAAGCTGCAATTCCACAGTGATCAAATGACAAAGAAAATGTAACTATCTGGTGATCTACGACCACCAATTTTATCGGCTCCACTTCACCTCACTTTGATCATTACCAAATGAACTTTTTTGAGTTGCACAGTATTTTGTTCGGTTTACCTGCGCCTGGGAGCTTCTGGTGAGTCTGCAGGGGCAACACCACGGGCCACAGAGGCTAAGAATTCCTGCCGCTTTTGCTGCACAAGACAAGCTGCACGGATGATTTTATGGCGAGGAGTCCGAAGGTAAGGCCTGTTTACTTTCTGTGCAAGGTCTTCAGTGACCATTTCCAGGTCTGTCTGCAATGGTTAATAAACACAGAATAAATTTGTGTTCAGTTTTGGGCCCCTCACTACAGGAAAGATGTTGAGGCCCTGGAGCGTGTCCAAAGAAGGGCAACGAAACTGGTGAGGGGTCTGGAGCACAGGGCTTATGAGGAGCAGCTGAGGGAGCTGGGATTGTTCAGTCTGGAGTAGAGGAGGCTCAGGGGAGACCTCACTGCACTCTACAACCTCCTGAAGGGAGGCTGTGGCGAAGAGGGATTTGGCCTCTTCTCCCAAGCAACGAGCAGGACATGGGGTAGTGGCCGCAAGTTGTATCAGAGGAGGTTTAGGTTGGACATAAGGAAGAACTTTTTCTCTCAGAGAGTGGTCAGGCACTGGAATGGCTGCCCAGGGAGGTGGTGGAGTTGCCATCCCTGGCAGTGTTCAAGAGGCGTCTGGACAATGTGCTGCGTGATATGGTTTAGTGCTTGTGGTGGCAGTGGTGATGAGGAGATGGTTGGACTAGATGATCTTATAGGTCGTTTCCAACCTTGTGATTTTGTGATTCTATGAAATCAGGCGGAGCTCTACGCCATAAACACTGAACGGAGTGATTTCCTTTCTTCTGAAAATAACATCCAGAAAGGAGTCTCATCAGCTCTCATATAATTATTAAAGCTATAGAAATTACAGCTTATTTAGCAAGATGACCTGTGTTGTTTTTTTCTGGCAGTCTGTTCTTTCTTCTTTTATTTAAACTTACCAGAGACAAGAGTCATTTTTTAATTTGGTGTTCACTATCTTGTTTGAAACAACAGTTTTGATTCATCACTAAAGACTCTGAGGTGGAGGATGACTAAGCAAGACCAAAGTCGTCAGTGCATGCCTGGAAGCCTGCTCTGTAAGAACTGAATTTTATCACCTGCCTCAGCTTGTCCACAGTCATTTGTGTCCTGGCTCCAACACTAACTCATACGTGCAGCCACTCAAACTCCTGCTCTCTGAATTTCAGTTGCCTAGTTATTCCAAGTGTAACAAGCCATTTGCGGTCTCCAAATATCTTGCCTATGCTTTTATTGACCTAAATGTTCCTTTCCTCCAGCTTGCCGTAGGGCTTCCCTGCACACATATACACACTGACCATCTTTGGGGATCCTAAAGGAAAGGAAAGCAGCAGCAGCCCCTGCAGCTGATGTCACTACTACCCATGTACTCTCCCAGCTGTGCCTGCACCCACTCATCAGACACATCATCACGCGAGACAGGAAATAGGAGCTACATAAGGAGAAAAAACAACTTAATAGAAGTTCCACCCCACCACCACCAATTAATCCCTTCTCCTTGTCCAAGCCTCCTCTGCAGTATGGAAAGCACTGATGCAAGTGTTTCTATTTGCTGCTTTTTGGAGAGGGCTGCTTCCAGATTTGGGTTACAAAATTACAACTTAGCTAAAAGAAGGTTGGTTAGCAGCAATAATTTTCTTTTTTTTTTTTTTTTTTTCCCTTTCCACCTGTCCTTACTCTTTGGTTCTGCAGTAAAGTGTTGTTTTTCATTCATTCTAAAATTGAACTAAATGCTATTGTGCCATAGTGTTAAAAATCCATGTCTTACTCAGACTTGGTTACAAATATGAAGTATCAGTTTTGCACTACAAAAGTAGACACACGACACTGATAACTAATACTACAAAAAATGTAATATTAGAAAAGCAAGCTATATGCATGTATTACCTGCATAAGTTCAAATATTTCTTTCTTTGTGCTTTTAGGCTCCAAAAAGAATCCATATGGATAAGAACACTTGAGAATGCGTCGAGTTTTCAGAAGCTCCTGTACTGCATCTTCAATGAATGTGGTATCAGGACAGCCTCCCTCAGCTGTAAGATAATAAAACACTGTGAAGATATTCTCCTGCTGATGTCAGCATTTCTTTTAGTGTAAGAGTTTTCCACCAAAAATGTGCACATCAGCTAAACTGCAGCAGCACAGCAGCAGGTTCTCAGTGAGTATACAGTCTTCTTACTATAAGAAGTGAACACAGAATATTAGCTTCTCTCTTATTAGTGCCATTTCCTCTGTGTGAAATATGTAAGATTTTACTGTACTTTCATCCACTGCTTATGAATTCTAGTACCGGAGGGATCACATCACACAACAGACTGATGTGAGCTCTATTCAAAATAAAAGGTTTAGCCATAACACATTTGATTTCAAATCAAATTCACAGTTCATAGCAAATACTAACAAGTTCTACTTACTTCCACTGAGAGCTTTACTCAGCTGCTCCATCTTTTCTTTGGCTGTTTTTAGAAGGCGCTGTTCTAACTAGAACAAGACAACAAATAAAATACAATATGCTTTTTTTTTTTTTAATGAATGAAATGTAAACAAGAATGAATAAATATGATTTGTTCCATACCTGGTAGCTAAGTTCATGGTTCTTAAACCTTGTGTAATAATGCATAAACCTATCCAGTTCTTGAAATCTCCTATGCTTCTTTTCAGCCTGGAAAAGAAGAATACAAACCAGGACAAATTTAATGGTTTAATTTAACAATTATTGTTGGCTACAATCTCATAACTGTTTATATTCCCACCAAATGTGAAGCATTATACACAATGCTGACAAGTGCTATGCACAAAAAGACAAATGTAAGTTTTGAATGTCCAAGCCTGAAAATACTCTAGCTAGAGTTAATGTACTGTGTGCATACTATTTTTAAGCAGACTTTCCAAATGCCAAAATTAAAACATGTCTTCTGAAATGCACAGAGAGTACCACCACACCCATTTCAGAAAAGGAAACCATGACATAGGAAAGTAAATCAACTAGTCTAAGTCAACCAGTGGCTGTCAGCAAAGACAGATGAAGAACTAAATCTTATGCTTCTATCCACAAATAAGCATGTTTTCTTTCTGTCCTTTGCTTATTTTTAAAGTTATATTTTCTCTTTTAAAACTTCGGTTGGGAAGAATTTTGATTGAACTTACCCTAAACACCAAATTGCAGCCTTAGTACTACTATGCAAGCAGACATTTTTGTTACCTCTACTGTCATCTCTTTGGACTGTTCCTCTACATGCTGAATAACCTCATAGCGAGTACATCTGTAGTATCCTCCTGTAGAAGAGCTGTGCTTTTTCCATTCTTCTAAGCATATCCAGCAAAAATCATACTTGCACTTCAGAGAAAACACAAAAAAACAAGACAAAAAGAAAGAAGCTGATACATTGTAGGTATGCAGTTAAGAAAAACTAGCACCATTCTGAGACCATCATACTTGTGGTCTAAACAGAACTGTTGTGGAGCCTTTTTCCTATTTCATGCATTATAGAAGATCATGGTTATCAAATCATGAGAGTCAGAATTTTTGTTCACCGAATCAAAAGGTCATGTATAAGCTACAAGCTAAGCTGTAAGTGTATGAAATAAATCAAATGATAGAGCTCATTAGATCTGCTTTGTTTGTTTGTTTGTTTGCTTTTTTAAACAGTAACACTGAAACTGCTAATGAGAAAGGGTGAATTTTAACGAAACTTAAAAAGTGGAATTATCAGAAAGCTTAATTAATTTCTCAGTCAATAAAATGAAACTAATAGTTTACGCATGAGCGTGACTTATCTGTAAAGCACTCAAAACATTTCAGTTTTGTAAATGCAATTCTACTGATCTTATCTGCATTTTTTGTTGTTGCTTTTTCCAGTTTGGAAAAGTGTTTTTCAGTATCCTGAATATTCTCTTGATGGAGAAGAACAGTTTCTCACTCAATCCTAGTATGTTTGCACAATGACCATTACTAGTAATTCAAGAGATGTGCTTCTGAAATCTGTTCCCAGCTGCAACCCTGCTGGGATCATTGTAGTGGAATGAATGTGAAAGAAATACTATGACTTAATATTTGCTGTAATGTAGAAAGAGCATGCAAAACCTTTGAAGTGCCCAACTAATTGCACCTAAGAAATAACAAAAAACATAAGCCTAAAGAAAACAGAAGGCTTAAGTGAAAGCTGTGTCTTCACTGATTGTACAATCATTGAACCGTTTGAGTTGGAAGGGAGCTTTAAAGGTCATCTGGTCCAACTCTCCTGCAATGAACAGGGACACCTACAGCTAGATCAGGTGCTCAGTGCCCTGTCCTGCCTGACCTTGAATGTCTCCATGAAGACATGGGGGCATCCACCACCTCTCTGGGCATCCTGCTTCAGTGCTTCACCACCCTTATTATAAAAAGCTTCTTCCTTATATCCAGTCTAAATCTCCCCTCTTTTAGTTCGAAATTATTTCCTCTTGTCCTATCACAAGGACAGTGCTGAGCGGGCGGAACGGCTCAGCAATACGCGTTTACTCTCTTGTTTCCTAATAGCAATTAAAAAAATGTGATTACCAATATTTTGGTCATGTGGTGTTCCTAATGCAAAACAGTAATAGTATTAGCAACTACTAAAGCAAGCAAGTAAAAACAGTACTTTCAATAATGATTTCAAGTTAGGCCTCTTCTGCGTTTACTGAGCAGAAAGCTTTTAAAACAGGTAACAGGTTACAAGGAGACCTGTCATATCCAGACTTCTTTTCAACAGAGAAGATTGAACTATTATTCTCAACTCAGCACTGAATTCTCAGCTGGGTTATTTCAAAATAACCGGAAGCTGTCTAGAAATGGATGGGCAGAAGACTACGACTTGGTCATCCTATTCATTTAATCTGTTTTACTGATGAACAAAGAAAAATCCTGAAAAACTGAAGCAAAAATTAATGTGAAGTAGTAAGAAGCCATTAATATTATTACTGGAATTCAATAAATTAAACCACATTTTTCTTCTCTTTTGTAAATTTAACCTTTCCAGAAATACCTAGTCCATACCAGATGTGTTCATAAGTAGTGACTCCATTCAATTACATATATTACAATTTCTGCATTACACTTTTGCTAATTTTGTCTCACATGTGACATTGACTTTCTTCTAAAAAGCAATGCAGACAAAGGTATTTCTGCTATTGTGCTGCACTTTCTCTGTTCTTAAATTTTTTTTGAAGGTGCTTGCTTTTACAAAATGGTAAGATGAGTGCTGAGAATTAAGTAGAAGAGTAGCTGTGCACAAAAGCCTTAAGAGTCTATCACTGAATTGTCTATTATTCAGAAATGCTCAAAACATAATAAAAAGTTGCATTATATAAAAAAAGATTATGAAATAAGTTGCAAGCAACACAACTACTAAAGTTTAATTTCCTATTAATTTATGTATATATGTTCCCACTGCAATAATACCACCTTTCCCAAATTATCTCCCTTCATTATCACTTCACCATATGCATCCTCTAATCTTGCACATCTCGAAAAGCTTCCTCAATAAATCAAGACTCACCCACTGTTCCAAGACCCTTCTCTAATAACTTACTCTCATTAAATATTCAAAAACATGTCCATCTGTTTGAAGTTTAGTTACATCTCCAAAAACCTGAAGACTCTGCTTTACTTGCCTTTATGGTGAGCTATCTGTGATGCTGTACAGGCTAGGCTTTACAAACGACATGTTTGCTGCCTGAACCAAGCAGGAGAGGCAATAGCTGAGCAGGTAACTGCTGAGTAGGTATTTTAGCCTCTCCCTTGGTGGCAGTACAAATTAAGTCTCTGCACAATACAACTACCCAATGTCATGAAATCTGCAGTAAACTAGTATCCATGAACTCTTTCCTGTATCTAGTTCAAAGTACCCAGAAGGTAAGAAAACTACTAGAATTAGGGGAGTGAGAGACAGGGGGAATGCATGAGCCTTGTTGCCTTAGAAACCAAGCTCGTAAAACACAACAGTGCCTGCTTAAATACAGAAATGTGATTCTATGACTAAAGTGCATCCTCTACACCCAGGTACATGCTAGCTGACAAGAAGCACTTGCAATTCTCTACTCACTACACAGTAGGCTTCAGCAGAACTTACTGCAGCAAAGGCTGAAGCTTTGTAACACATCCTTACTTTAGGAAGGGACAAGCGAGGTGTCCTCTGTACCTTGCATCTGAGCCCTGTGATGATCCTGAGGATACCATTCTTTTCCCTCCTCACAAGGCTGAGGAGAGGCAGCTTCTGTTTGCAGAGGTTTCTCCATCACAAAAGGAAGCTGACTGTTTTAGGGACAGTTTAAGCTGTTTATAAGGAACAACATCAAAGAGGAATAGAACTGTGGTTGTCAGCCAGCACTGCAGAATGGTACTAAATTAAATTATCTATACTCTTCAGAAGTTAGTGGCTGAAGCCTCCTCAAGCCCTAAACCATACTTTGATTCTATTGAGGTTAGCTCAGTGACACAACAGCTGTCAAATAACTGAAGAGGTTTTGTTACATCCTGAACATTTTGTTACATTGGCTGAACATGAGCTGGCAGCATGCCCAAGTGGCTGACAAAGACAATAGCATCCTGGTTTTTATCAGTGGTGTGGTTAGCAGGACCAGGGAAGGGGTTGGCCCTTCCTGCTCAGCTCTAGTGAGACTCAGCCCGAGTACCGCGTTCAGTTTTGGGCCTGTGGCCCTAAGTACAAGGAGAACATTGATTTGCTGGAACACATTGAGAGAAAAGTGATTAAACTAGTGAAGGGACTAGCTGAGAACTGTTTAAACTAGAGAAGAGGATATTGAGGGGCGACTTCACTGCTCTCCACTACTACCAGAAAGGATGTTGCAGTGAGAAGAGTGGTGACAAGTGACTGGACACATGACAACAGACTCGAGCTGAGCAAGGGGAGGTATAGATTGGACATTAGGAAGAATTTCTTCATGGAAAGGGGGGTTAGGTATTGGAACAGACTGTACAGGGAAGTGGTGGCATCCATACTCCTGGAGATATTTAAGAAAGGTGTAGATGTGGCATGTAGGCAGATAGTGAATGTCATAGCTTTATGCAATGGTTGGACTTGATAATAAGGATCTTTTCCAACCCAAATGATCCATGATTCTACATCCCATATATGAATTGTTTCCACACTGTCACCAATATAATTATTCTGCAAATAACTATTTCAAATGCTCTTAACTCTGTTTACAGTCTGGAAATTTTCAAATTGTGCTGAACAGCAAATCTTATTACATTTCTTATCACTATGGAATTTATGAACTCCTTTAAAAATCATTTAAAAAGGAAAAAAAGAACAGCAAAACTGGCATAAACTGAAGTGGAAGAGAATCTGCTCTTGGTTGCCAAACTACTTCCGAACAAACAAACAAACACACACCACCAAAAAAATCAATGACCCAATCTTCACAAACAGAATACATAATCATAATATAAAGAAAATAAGATCTGGATATCAATGTAGATTGAGACATATCCAGAAGAATGTACTAGTCTCCACTGCTAAACCTCTCAGTTTTTTATTGGAAGATAATTATGTTATATATGTGCAACTTTCTCATTTTTAATGATCCTCTCAAAGAGACATAAGTACGCTAAATATGCCATTTTTAACTAGTTTGAAAGTGTTCTCAAATGCTACTGAACTGCTGGCAAGAAATATTCTAATTTAGTAGCATAGTGCAAACTCATGACTAATTTTTTGGCTTCTGTCACTAATTAGTTTGTTTTGGAATTACTGTTTCCTGTCTTTTCATTCCTACTGTTTAATTAATGTTTACAGTTTCCCATTCAAATTTCTCTGTTTTGTTGCTATATAGAGAAATAACGCAAAAGAAAAATGCAATACGGCAAAGCATTCATTAAACCTTACAAATCCTTAAAAAGTACTATCTTCTGGTAACTGAAAATGTTATAGAATCATAGAATCACCAAGGTGGAAAATCATCCTGTCCAACTGTCCACCTATCATCAATGTTTCCTATGAAACCATGTCCCTCAGTATAATATCTGAACATTTCTTGAACACCTCCAGGGATGGTGACTCCACCACCTCTCTGGGCAGCCCGTTCCAGCACCTGACCATTCTTGGGGAAGAAGTATTCCCTAACATCCAACCTGAATCTCCCCTGGTGCAATTTGAGGCCATTCCCTCTAGTCCTGTTGCCAGTTACACGGGAGAAGAAGCTGACTCCTACCACACCACAACCTCCCTTTGGGTAGCTGTAGAGAGTGATAAGGTCACTCCTGAACCTCTTCTTCTCCAGAGTGAGCAATCCCAGTTCCCTCAGCAGTTCCCCATAAGACTTGTGCTCCAGACCCATCACCAGCTTTGTTGTCCTTGGCCACCTGGGCTCGGGTCATGTTCAGCCAAGCATCAACCAATATCCCCCAGGTCTGTTTCCTCTACAGTCTTCCAGACATTTTGCCCCAAGCCTGTAGCATTGCCTGGGGTCGTTGTGGCACCTGGACTTGTTGAACCCAGCTATCCAGCCTGTCCAGGTCCCTCTGCAGGGCCTTCCTACCCCTAAGCAGATCAACACTTCCTCCCAACTTAGTGTCATCTACAAACTTAGTGAAGGGTGCACTGAATACTCTCATTCAGATAATCAGTAAAGATATTGAACAGGACAGGCCCCAGTACTGACCCTCTGTTCATTCTCTTCTACATTATTAATGATGGTTAAACTACCAAGGATTTCTGTTCCCTTAAATTTCATAGTGTATTGCCAAGAACTGTCAGCTGTTTAGGAAATCTTGATAATTACACTGTACACTTACCAGCCAAATAAACTTCACTAAATACGAAACATCTTCTATATACATGTAACCCATTATTTGCAGATTACCTAATTTTTGAAACAGATTCCATTAGATCTTAGGCCTGGCATTTCAAAACATTTGGACTTCTGTGCTCCTGAAATGTACATATGACACAACCTAAATTACGCTACCTGAATTCACAACAAATTGTATGAAAGGTCTTTCTTACCTTCGCACATTGCATGTGGTTGCAGCCCTCATTCTTCTGAATTGGAGATTTGCAGTTGGCGCATGGTTTGGAGTTAGTTAGTAACCACAGGCAGTTGGCAGCATCCTCATATGCCTCACTAACTCCCACAACTTCATGAATGTGACAGGAGGATGTCGACCATGTAGAAACAGAGAAGTTGAAATTTTACTTGTTTAATCTTTTGTGAAAATCAGATTAGGAAAGATACGTGTTTACCTATTTCTTGACAGAATATTGTAATTCTTCATTATACGTACTTAATATACTATATGTATATGTACACATATACAAATACCTATAAAGTACACAAATTACTTCTGTATATTGTAGTCTATGGCATACATAATACACAGATTATTAAAATATATATTTAAAAATTGATGTTTGACTCAGCATGGTGCATTTTGAGTCTACAACATTTTCTAGAATAATCTATGACATAATGGAAAGGCTCTGAATTGTTGTAACCAAGTTAAGTTAGTGTTTATTTGAGTAAACGTTTTTTTTGTTTGTTTGTTTGTTTCTGTCTGTCCTATGTAAACCCACATATTGTTAGTTGACCTCTAGGAGTTATTTACCAGGAAGCTATTCTCCATAATTCTCTTGCAATTTACAGTCAACATTACTATTATTATTACCTGTTGCTTTTAAACATTTCTAAAGTACACAAACAACTGTATGAATACAATTAAACAGAAGTGCAGACTAGGACAAGGATTTTAAGATTTAAATATTTAAGATTAAGATTTTTTGCCTAGAAAACGTAAGTTATCTTCAGGAATAAATGAAAAAAAAAATGAAGGAAGGCTGTAAAAGGAAGGGAGAAGAGTTTCATCTCTCTGAACCATATGCAGATTTATGAGGGAACCGGTAGGAATGGTTTCAGGATAAAAGTCTACCATTACCACATATGTCTACCATAACTACATATGCAATTAAACATGAAGTTGCTCATCACTCAGTGGTTTGTTTTTCTTCCTCTTCTTTATTTTTCAACCAATGTAAAGTTTTAATTAATGCAACTAAAAATTCCCTTTAAAAATAAAAGATGACAATGAAATAATAAAACAAAAAGTATGACTTACGTTCTTCTGGCTTCATTTCAGATATTTTCTGTAGCCAATCCTTCCAGGTTTGGCAGTCACAAGGTTCATGTGCTTCACCAAGACATTCCCTGAACATTAAGATATATACACAATAACTACTTATCTAGAGTTAAAATTGAATTGTTGCTTTGAAATTGCTTCACACTACAAGACATGGAAACATATCACATCAAATCAAAAAGATAAAAAGTAATACTACTATTTTAAAATATTCTTAGATCTCTTACTAAAGTTTCTGTGATAAAACTAAATTTAAACTTCTTGTAAAACAAAAACTAGGTAGTTTGCTATACCTGAAATGCATTTTATGTATAATTAAATGTACCAATTCAATCTAGAACAAGATCCAATCCATTTCGTTTTTTAAGAGTTAATGAATTTTTACTCTTTCCATCAGTCTCCAAATGAAATGGAAGGTACTTTCCATGACACAGTAGAGAAATGAGCTTCTCTTGAGGTTACTACTAGCTTTAAAGATATGTCACTACATAACAATGGCCTCAGCTCTGTACAACACTGCTTAGCAACAATTATAAACGTAACTGTGTTATCAAGCTTGTTATTCTCCTAGAATCAAAACATAGCATCATACCACACACTCTGAAGAAAACATTTCCATCCTAGCTGAAACTAAGACAGTCTGCTATAATACAAGCTTAAACTCACTACAGAAGGAGACAATAAGATACTAAGCTCCCTGGTGTAATTCAGTCTTTTTGGCAATATTTCTGAGTTTCTGAGAATATAAAAGGCAGATTTGTGTCTCTGAGAGGCAGTTCCCATTGTGCTGAGCCTTTTTTCTTTCCCACTAGAACCTGCAGAAACAGATCTCAGAAGGCTTCACTCTTGCTGTTTTCAGTATGAACCAGAATGGGATTTTTAAAGACGCATACACATGAATATACATACATTGTACTCACAGAAGGAAGTTAGAACAACTTCTTTCAAAAAGTCTTTCCTCAGCTTATCCCAGACCAAGAGTTCTTATTTGAGGATGCCATTTTACTGAGTAAGAATGATGAGCCTATTGATCCTACAACTTTTTAAGAAAAAAAGTTGTATTTCGGATGGACTCCATGATAGCACAGACTGAAAGGAAGTAACACCAAATGGTTGTGACAACTAACAGTTCAGCCTCCCCAGACTGCCTTCCTCAACAGTAAGAAGGATGATTTATTTGAGGGTATGGCACATATTTAATGAACTCGCAGCAAGTTTCAACAAGAGAAAATTCAGGGAAGGACTGAAAGCATTGTCCAAGAAGCATTTCTTGATTTATTTTTTTCTCCTGATAATGTTTATATCATATAATGAAATTGATACGAATCAAAACAGCAAAATAGTTGCAGCTTAGAATCAGCTTTCCCAGTGTACCTCAAAAGATATCTCTCCTACAAAATACACTTTGCCCCTTGTTTCCATCCAGGATAAAATGAAAGAGGACTGATGATGCAAAACTAAGTCTGCAGTGCTTACTAGTTTCCATACGTGTCCCCTTGCTACAATTTCATATGCTTCTTGTACAGCATTAAGAGGTTCTAATATACAGGATCTGCTAATACACAGATGTAGTATTTGTGTACTATCTTCATCTGAACGACATTTAAAAATCTCAGAATGATTTTTTGAAAAGGAATGGAATTTTCTGTTTGTCAGAGCTGATTAGATTCTGTCGAAGGTGCTATTAAGTAGTGGGTAATGAAAAATTAGTACATTCTAAGGAACCCTGTGTTTACTAGAAACATTCCTACATCTACAATGCCTTACTTTAATGAGCAGAAAAGACAGAGATCCTAAAAATGGAAATTCCATGCTGACAAAACCTCATAACTTGCTCTTAGTACATGACAGCGAATGGTTATCTACAGCTTAGTTGGGATTTTCCAATATAGAGATTCTGAAGAATCTCTTACTAAAGCCATATCAGTTGATACAATAATGTCTAAACTATAGATTACTTTTGAAAAACTTGCAGAACTGACAGAAGTATGAAATGTGGGATGTGTTGATTGAACTTTAAAGATATAAATCAATATCCCTTCAAGAATATGGTGATAATGAAGACACACTCAACTAAGAATGCATTTTCTTTTTCTCCAGAGGAAGTAGAGCTGTGCCAGGGTGATTTCAGAGTAGACAATAGGAGAAATTTGTGTACAGGAAGATGATCAAACACTGGAACAGACAGTGAGGTGGTTGACTCGTTGTCTGTCAGTGTTCAACAAGCATTTGTACAACGGCCTCAATAACATGCCTTAACTTTTGGTTAGCCCTGAAGTGGTTTGGCAGTGTTACTAGATGATGTTTAAAAGTCCCTTCCAACTGAACTGTTCTAATTCTGTCATATAGGATTTTGTACTATGAGACTAATATGGCTGCCTTCTGCAAAAGGTTCTCATTCCTAATATTGCAGAATGCTTCAGTTGTTGTTGAAACTTTCTTGCCACTGATGAAAATCTTCCTTCACGTGGAGGAAAAAAAGGCCTTGTAAATGCCTTCTTGGACATTTTACTAACAGAATGAGGTCTTTTTTCAAGACTTCAGGAAATTTTACCAGGAACTGTTAAAAGAAAAAAAAAAGGGTATTTCTCATAAAAATTATGCACTTGGAGAGCATTGTCACATTCAAGGGGCATTCTAGAGAGAGGGTGAATTTAGCCCGTGTAAAGGAAGCAGAATCTGACAATATCTGAAGGACTGCAACAGTATGACACAAAGTGGTTTCAAGCTCTGACCTTCAGGCTATTATAACATTTTGTCAGGACAACAGTTGTCAGAAACAAGGATGAGAGGGTAATACCTTCTTTCGGAATATCCCTGAGGTTTGTTTTACGTTCACTGATAAAAACATTTTCTGCTTTGTTTTCACAAAATTTGTTTCTTTCCCAGTTCTCCACCAATTGTGAACAATTTTCTCCAAAGAGGTTATGTTTTACAACTTTCCTGGTTGGTTCCTCATGTCTACTTTCCTCTTGTCCCTCCACCCTTTCCATTCATATGGGGAAAGGGCTAAAATCTGAAGTCACTAAAATCACTGCAGTAGTCTGACAGGCTCAAGGAACAAGGATAGTGTTTGCCCCAGACTTCAGAGAAGTATCCTATCACTTTTTTTGCTTTTGTTGATACTGTTTTTGTCCTTTCCCCGGAACTGCTGAATATTGACAGCTTAAAGGATGATCTTTTAAATATATCAAGGTTTTCACTTCTTGAGCTTGTATTCATCTTAAGACTTAACAGAAAACAATATAAAGCAAAACTACTGAAAAAGTGAAACGATTGGAGTGATCCAGCAAACAGAAATAATTATGTATGTAGCAAAAAATCCTTCAAAGTTCTATTTCAGCTCAAACTTTTCTGATGTAATTCCACCAAAATTCTGAATGAGCAAAAGCCTGCTGTCTTCTGTCTATAATTCAGAGTATGCCTATGTATCTATCCAGAACAGACACAAAAATCCCTCCGCTGATGCTCCAGCCTCCTCAGATGATAAAATCACAGCAGTTCATGTTACGGTTCTACATTTAACAGAACTAATAATTAATAAGACAATATAAGAAAGTTTTGGTGTGCCTCAGAATACTGAAATATTTGTGCATATAAAGCTAATAAATAAATCCAAGAATAGTAAAGTCAAATACCATCCCATCTAAAATTTTGCTGCACGTTTGGTGCTAAGTAGAACTTTTAATTTTTTATTAATCCCTGGAATAGCAGCGATTATGCATTTGTGTCAACATAGATACTTTCTAGCACTAACCAGCAGAAAAGATGTCCCTTTCCACAGTCTACAGCAGGAGCTTTTAGCATAGGGAAGCTAAGCGTATCTGATCCTGTTGAATTCGATCCTTGTCTTGTTAGCCTTACTGCTCTTTCACAGCCTGGGATAGGACACCATTTAATAGCAGGATTATTTTCAACAAAGGCCTAAAGAAAAAGAAAAAAAGAAAGAAAGAAAGAAAATATTTTAACACAGAAGATCATATTTAATCATTGATATAAAACAATCTGTCATTATAATCTTTCTTTGAGGGAGCAAAGCCAAAAAGCATAATGACAACTGTAGCTATTTAGATAGGCTTTTAAAAATAGTTATTAAACGGGAATAATTTAATCTCCATTAAAAACAAAACAAAACAAAAAATAGCATTAAAGGCATTCAAACAGTACTCCAGACTAAGGCTAAGATCCAAATGATTTATATCCCACACAAAAAATTAATGTGTGCAATTCAACTCCTTTGTGATATGGCTTACTCTGTACTTCCACTATATATGCACTAGCAATGCTCATTAACAGAACTGACTCTTGCTGAAAACAATTAAAATCTTACTGATTAACACAAAATCCACAATATAATCATCTGCAATAAACCTGAAATCAGAACTAGACTATCTCTGGACATTACCTATAAACTTTTGTAATTAACGTAGCAGGACTTCTTTCATAAAACTTTTATTAAAAAATTGAGGTGGAAAACTTCAAAGAACTTTCAATACTTCTCTTCAAAACGGTGCCGTTAACCACTCACTTTGAAGATGAAGATGTGAAAGGCTAATCAGACCTAGATACTTCATTTTTACCACATCGTGTAAGACTTTATTAAAGAGACTTGTTATACACAAAAATATTGCATTGTAAAAGGAAAAAAAAAACCTTCTTGCTTTCTCTTGCTCTGCCACCACTGATAACATAACGTAACACGTTATCTAGTTCATTACTACATATAGTACAAAAGAAAAAAAGTGAATTATAAGATTGTTAATGGAAATAAACAAATAAAAAGTCAAACGGGAGAATCAAAACAAGGTTTCCCTTTATACATACATACACACATAAACATACATACACATATAAATATATATCAATTGTATGAAGCATTGAATGGAAAAAAAATTAAGTAATTCACTTGCATTAATATTTTTAGATGGAAATAGGCACTACTTACAAATGGAATTAGACTCTCAGTAATAAAAAAAAAACATTTAAAAACTGTTAACAATTTTAGACCTCCAACACAAACAAATCTAGCAGATTAAAAGATTCAAATAATCTTTTACAAACATTAGATTGATCAAATAATGTTACTAATACTGCATTAGTTAATACATTTTGAAAACACCATATCTGTGTTTCGGGAATAGTACAACATCATTTCTTATTTTTCTCAGTGGTAACCAAACATCCATATTGTGGCAAACAAGACAGCCAGTAATTCTTTGTACATAAAGTCCTACAGGGAAGGTTACAGATAGACAGCAGCATTTCACATGGAAGCTGTATAGTACTTTTAATAAAAAGAAATACATCTTAAGAGTACAAGAACAGTTTGACAATTTACCTTAATGTCAAATTGAAGATATCTTTTGTCCATCTCCTTGGAAACCACACTTTCTATGATGTCTACAGGCACAAGCTGGAAACAATCATATGCTGGGCAAAAAATGTTGTGAGCTTCACCTTCTTGAATTTTCAGATTCAAAAATCTGCCAGAATTATGTCAGTCAGTATTTGTGAATAAAAAAAGTAAAAATCAAAATGCTCCTTAATACTTTATACCATGCTCATATATATTCAAATTAATCAATTTCTAAACAAGGAATAGGAAGTATCCCTGTCACCTCAAAGGACAACAGATGAATAGCATAATTAAGAAAAGAGAGAACACTACTGTGGTTCAGAAGTAAGTGCCATCATCTACGCATAGCCCTGTGTGTTTGTAGTTTCTATCCTTGCCATTTCTCAGAGGCTCCTATGAAATGTTTAATTAAACTCAGCATTACTTCTAAGTTAAATAAGAAATGGAATGTATAGCTTAATTAATCTAGGAATGATATGCAATTAATGTTTCATCTGTGCTAGTCAAAGCAGTTCTGCTTTCAGAAACAAATTTCTAAATGGAGACCTTTGCAGTCCCCAACTCCTAGAAATGCAGGACACAAGAAGCTCAGAAACCTGCTGAAAACTGAACTATAATGCACAGCACTGTTTAGTTTAATTAATACTCGAGGATACTCATCTCAGGTATTATACAATACTCAGGTATTTGTAAGTTAGTCATCTGGAGTCCTTACACAGTTAAGACAGAAAGACTTGTATGTCTTAAAATTTATCTTAAAATGGGATAACTCAGTTCTGCCTACTCCCCATGTAACAGAAATGCCTGGCTCAGAAAGACGAACCACTCTCCACAATGCCATCACAAACACCTGGCTGACACTGCACTATAATTTTGAGTGTAGGTCAGTATTCAAGTTAGAAGCACTATATCTCGCCAGGGATCTCTTCATAACTTCTAAATTACTGCATAACTACATACAAAACAACTGGAGCAAGACAATTAATTCTCTGAATATTGAAAAAACTTGCCTTCTAAAACATCGTGAAGAGAAACTGTTCCTCTGTACCACAGGAGAATGGGTTCATATAAATTGGGCTAATCTGCAGTAGGGCATGTGCTGAAACGTCTGTGTAACAAGACCCTGTAGTGGTACAGCCTAGCACAACCTCTTGAGCGAGGAAATGAATAAAAAGGCACTGCATGCAGCTATCATTATTCCTAAGTTGTTTCTTTTTACTAGCACGATAGTTTGGATTTAAATTGCGTAGTAATGAGAGCATTACACCAACTGAGCAATTAAGATAAAGTCAGTCCAACTATTAACTCTCAATGAAAGAAAGTATTTTAATAACTTTTCTGACTGGAAACGGATTTACGATGCCTCAAATCAGTGTGCTGAACTAAGAAATGGAATTAAGCACATGCTTAACATAGTAGATATGTAGCTCATTGCCACCACCACACACACAGTGAGCAAATCAAGAGCAGTCCGAGTCATTCACGCGAAGGCCTAAAACAGCTGATGGTCATTTTGAATTACAAATAAAATATTCAATAGCATCAAAACAGCAGCTCCTTGAAGCCCAGGCAGTTTAATGTCTCCATCTTTACCTGCTCAAAACAGGAAAGATGAGTTTCCCAAAATACGTAGAAGTGTATATACTTACGCCTCCCAGCATGCTCTGCAGAAGTCATGGCCACAAGGCATATCCACTGGGTCTTCAAACACAGATATATTACACATACAAATGTCACACTGCAGATGAAAAAATACTTCAGATTAAGAAATACCCTAAAGCTTTTCACATTATTCACAGGACACACTGGGCTGGAAAACCTCACCAAAACTTTAAAGCGCACAATAGGGAGAAAAATCTAACTGCAGCCAGAAAGAAGAAAAAGTAATTTAAGTTATAAAAATAGCTTAGAAATAGAAATGAGAAAGATTCCATATCTCTTTTTCTGTTCTTCCCCATCCAAACACCGCATTTTGGGGTGCCTTATGTCATGTCTTCCAGCTCAGCATGTGCTTCATTGCAGATTGCTAAGATCTCAGTTCTTGAGGAAAATGAGCCTTGAAGTTTTCATGAGATTCATAGGCAGCCATTAATGGAGTCTGGAAATCCTAAGTGCTTCTTGTAGCCTCTGTCATCTCAGACAGTTGGTTCCAAATCACAAGGGAACAATTTAGTTGTGCAAGAGCACCAGCAAATACTTTTAAGTATTAAAACCAGATGAATATGGAAAGCATTACACTAAGGCTTACAATCAAAATAAATAGATGCAACAATAAACATTCCAACGGTACACACCTCTGCTTAATTTTATACCACTAAGTACTGTAGAAAAAATAATATACGGAATATTGAGGCCCTTACTCTGAAAATATTTTAAAAATAGAGGTGACATTACTTATTGCTTATAGTTAGACATGAAGATTTCATGTTCTTGAAAGACTATAATCAGATTTTCTTTCCACTGGAACAGATTCAATTAAAATTTACTTCAACTTTCAATACATTAGATACTACAATACAGGAAAGCATTTCAAGAAAATTAACCTGTAGTTACTCTTAAAATATAGTTGTCTTAAAGACAAAACCAAATCAAGCCAAATAAGGCTGCCCTGAAAATAGAAGACTTGGTGAAGGAATGTATTATTGTTCCAGTCACATCATCTTACTGTCTTGACAAAATTCAGTATTTTAGAAGTTGACTGTACATCAAAACTGTTGTCTACTAATTTTTATGTCTTTCAATTATGTTTAAAACATATCTTTAAAATAGGGAAATTAATGAAGATGAGTTCAGAATATCAAGTGTAGAACATGTACTGGAACAGTTTTAATAGGATGTAAATGCAAAAGCTGAAAGGAGCATTATAATGTGTTTTCATTTTGCCTACTTTTATTTTTCATTTGTCTGCCAGTATGTGCAACTTTAGAGAAATAAGTATCATTTCATAAACAGCATTTTCAAAATACTATTTTGAAAGCTTCTTGCAAGATTTTTAACAATTGGAATTACTGAATGTATAAATCTGGATTTGGATTTAGATATATAAGACCTAGAACTGCAGTCTCTATCCAGCCTGCACTGCTGGACCATAAACGACAATAAAAAACAACACAACGTATGACTGAACACATGCAGTCTTTAGTTACACATTTTAATTAGGGAAATGTTCCTGCACAACATTTCACTGCTAATATAAGTAAGTGTAGGATAACATTACTCCAGACAGTTCCTTTGTCAACATTTTACAATTAAAGAAATAGAATGTTTACATGCAGGAACACAATTTTTTATTTTATTATGAGATCCAGCGATGGTCCATTTGCAAGGCTTCCTATAATATTCTAGAAAAAAATGCTCAGATCATGGAACAAAGGTTTTATAATGTTGCAGCTGTGGATTATTAAAAAGAGAACTCTGTCTTTCAAAAGAACCACACTGACTTTAGTGAAAGGCACTTTCATATTTCGAATTTGCAATAGCCTTCTAAACTGCTTGATGCAGCCCACACATAGTAAAAGTAATTATAAGCTTACAGTACACTTGTGGGGGCTGACATTTCAAAATGCAGACAAAGAGAATTTTGTTTTCCAAAGAAAAAAATTTCAGAAGGCAGGGCTTGCAGCATTGGGTATATTCAGGAAAATGGATACAATGAAAGCGAATATCTTGAGAAGTATGAGATGTGAAGCTTGAAAGAGCTAAATGTAGTGACGTGACTGTATCTGGATAAAATCCTACTTTGTCAAGCTAGGTGAAAAAAGTGTCCTTACATTAGCCACGTGCTCAATTGTATACAGAATGTTTAAAGTGCAAATTTCTTTGCTCACACTTTTGGAAAGAAAAAGGCTTTGTATCTTTGCAAACTTATTTTCCAAACGAGAGAACAATGTGGCTTGCCTGTCCCATGTAGGTGTTTATGTTTAGACCCAGGCTGTTCTATCCTGACAGTTTCCGATCTATTTATACACCTACCACAGCTGTCTCAATGTCTCCTGGTGACGGGCTGATTTCATCAGGGGAAGTTACAGAGGAGCGAGTAGTGCGGGGAGTTCGTGGCGAAGGCAGCGTATCCCACGCGTTGTACCCACTTGGAGGGGGAGTGGGCATCTGAACCCCCGAGCGCTGGCAGCAGTTCTCTGGATTAGACATCCATGCCTCGAGCAACTTCTCCCTGTCCCAGTCTTCAATAAATATACAGACACAGGAAATTATGCAGCTGATGATGCTTGAAATCTATTCTGTAACTGCATCCATAAAAGAATATGTATGCGCTACACTAAAAAAATTAGAAACAAGTAAATACAATTAAGTAAATGTAAATGCGAATTTTCCCACTTAAGTTACAAAAAAGGAACCAGTGAAAGAAACATTACCTTAAAACTAATACAGATCTTTCATAATTATTGTTTGAAATATTTTTAGTCTCTTGTTCCTAAGATTTATACCAAGTTATCTTATAAACAGTATTTTTTTCCTATGAAAAATAATTAAAAGTTCTCATTTTAATATAAATATATAAAATGTCTAAATTGATTTGAATTTTAAGCCACATACAATACTCACAGATCTGATGAAATAGAATTTAAAGAGGAAACAGATTTTCCATTTTTTCCTATCACTTAAATAAATCTTTTAAAGTTGGTTTTGTTTGTTCATTTTTTTTAATCTTAAGTACTCATATAGGAAACTAATCTTTATTAACCAAAGGATCTACGTTGCTTTTATTGAATTCTGTCATATACACAGGAGAAAATAAATAGTATTTCTATGCTGTTAAAATTGAAATAACATACATGTATTCTTAGCACTGACCTTAGTAAAAATATCACCCCTGTGAAATAATGATTGCTCCCTCCTTCCTAATACGAAAATACCCTTGATCTGGATAGGACATACAGATCAGATGCTAACTTATGTAAGCTAAACCACACCCTGAGTTAATTTCATTTAATTTGTTTGAAGCCATGGTGCCTCAACATATACAAATTTGAGCCATTACAAATGTTAGCATTTTGTATGTTATCTTGGCTATATATATAGAGGGAAGCATGCTGATGCTAACATATAGATGAAATTTGCCACAAGTTTTCTTGTGTTCCTTTGTAGTGTGTTGTTAAAATTAGCCAGGGGTAAGACATGCTACTAAATGGTTCCCACTGTTTTCTTTACTAAATTATGACTGTAAGCAAAATATTATGTATTTGTATATAAATATATACTTAAATATATACTTAATAAAATATTAAGTAAAATAGTTATATTTGCTGAATTGCCTCTCTTTTATCCTGAAATCAATTACTTTAGTATGAAATAGAAGAGAAACAGGAACAATGTTGAAAAAACACATACTGAAAAATTGAAAAGTTCTTAAACCTTCCAAAATACACACTTAATTCCTAAATTGATACAGTTATATGACAAAGGACAGCAAGTTAGATGGATTGAATATTACATCTTTAATCTACTAAATGTAGTACATAAGAATAATCTTCCCAAAAATTTAAAAAATGCTTTTCACACCTTAGGTGTGAATTAAGACATCATGTTATTCCTCTATGAAGTTCAAGATAAAATGCAAAAACATTGCAGTTTGGTATTTGGTGTTTCCCAATTGTCTCATGCCTTGTAAATAGTACAATTATTCCTTTTACTAGGCTGAACCACTTCTCCATTTTCAAAAAAAAGAAATTTTGTTTGAATAATTTCCAGCATATGACCACAGCTACAGGCAAAATAGCTGACATTCTCATGACTTGCAGAAGTCTGTGTGTTCTTCACCACACCGGTCAATTGCATTAAATTACAGCTACCTCATGGAGGCAACATCAGTGGAATGACCTTTGCAATGTAAAGTGATTTCTTCTCAACTTTCAATTTCTGCTCACCAGATGCTGGCAGACATTTCTGAACACTTCACATCAACCTCACTGCTTCTGGACTCACTATGAACTGTGCTGCCAATTCGAACAGTTGTGTCATCATTCCCTTCTGAGTGCGCAGGGCACAAAACATGCCTGCTCGCTTAGTTCAGCATTTAGTAATATTTAGCACTAATGACATTTTCTGAGAACCCAAAGTAACACCCAAATATTGTATATATAAATACCCAGAAGAATTAACACTAAAAAACGCATTTGCAAAGATTGCCTTAAAAAAATGATCACACTGGCAATGAAAATCACTGGCACAAGTTCACGCTGGCATTAATGCTACGGTAAAAGGAACGTAAACTATCGAAAATAATTTAACAGAGTTAAGTGTAAGGTACCATGCCTACTCATAAAAGTCAGCCATATTTTGTGGGTTTGCAAGAGTATTTTCTTATTTCATTTTTTCCACTCTTCTATTTTTACAGAGAACACTCAAAAATAACAGGGCTCAAAAACTTAATCCAGCAATACAGCGATAAGCATGGAAACCATTAACTGCCTGAGTAGTCTCTTTGGCATACAGTAACAATGTGGATGCTTCAGTAAGCGTAAGTTTTGAATGGCTGAATCAAAGCCTGAAGCTTCCACTGCAGAGAAATGCTTTTGTCTGGAGTCAGCTCCCTGAATTCTGACAACCCCCGCTTCAGTCACACAAGACCACAGACTGATTTCATTGACATTAAAGCAGTTACAATATACAAGAGGAAACTATGCCCTGCACTTAAAGAGTAGCTATTCAAATCCTAAAAAGGACATACACTCCAATGCATTAAAATTCAAGGCCATTTCCAAATACTGTTAACAGTCACGCTTCTTTTACTGTGATAAAAAACAAAGAAAAATACTTTGTCATCCAGTTTTATACACAAGTATGTAATGATAGACAACTAATGGTCTAATAAAAATAAGAAAAATGAATTTTTTGAACTTTTTTTTTAATATATAAAGCCTTGGAAGTTCTACTTCTATGTCTCTCACTAAAGTAGAAGAGCTGTATTTCTTCACACTGCTGAAGTTAAAACATTTTCCCCTATATTCCTAGTTTGAATCACTTCCCTATCAACTTTCCTGTCTGCCTCAATGCTGTAGATGTACTTCTTTCTGAAACACTGTGTGGATGACATCCTGTTATTCGATTAACTATTACTTATCTTTTTCTTGGGAATAAAAAGTGAACACACTCACAACTGTAATTTTGATTTTGCTGAAAGCAGTTTTTTCTCAATCTTAAAGGTTCTGTATTACCATGTGCCCGGAGAAGAGCTTCTGCAGTAAAGAGTGGTGCTTGAAGCATGTCAGCAGTTTCCACTATCAGCATATCCTTAAGCCTCCGCAGATCCTGAAGTCTAAGCCCCTCGTATGGCTTTGAGAAGAAGGAGAAAGATAATTTACATCTAGCAGTGTTTCCTCTAATTCTACATTAAAATGAAAACATTCAAAACACTATTACTGATATAATTATCTCAACTGTGCCGCAAGTTACGACAAAATTTATTTATTGTGCAAACCAAAGACCACACAAAGCTATATAGAAACGCTTCATTTTGCGGTACTGTAGGATGATTTTTCTATAATCCAAAATCCAAAAGACAGTATTTCCAGAGTACTCCATTATAACTGGACGTCACATTCAAATGATGAACTAGTCTAATATTAACTCTCTCATTCTCCTTTTCCCTTCCCATTCCCCTTTCAAAAAAGCTGGATTTCCATCGAATACTACTGAATTTGGAAGTAATTAAAATTCAAATATTGAGACATGCACAAGAATGCATGACTAGATTTCAAATAAGGACTTCAAGGAAGACAGTTTATCAGGATGGTATATGTTGCACACAGATTCTCTGACTTTATGCACAAACTGAGTGAGATGCATTAACTTTGCATTCATCAGGAGGAGGATATATTGAGACACTGGAGAGTAAGAAGAGGTGAGTTTATGAACAAATCAGGTACAGGTCTTTGGAGACAATATCCACTTTCACAGAAGTAGAGAGATCAGTATAAGATCGACCAGAAATGCAGTTGGAGGCTGAGGACCAAGATGTCAAAATTCTCCTTGATAAACAGAGGTCACACTCCAATGTGTGCTGTCAGAAGTAACTGCTTCCTGGTCTGAATTTGCATCCCCTTATTACAGCATTAACAAAAAGTCAAAATCAAAGGACAAAAAGAAGTAACTTTAGTATACTGAACCAGTTCCAGCCAAGCATACACGTATTTTGCAGAAACATTTTTAAAAATAACAAAGCAGAACACGACAGTAAGTAATATACTTATTAGTTCTGGTCTGGGAAAATGCTCCAAAGGCAGAAAAACATTAGTGGGAGGACACATAAAGAGAATGGATACAGAAGGGCTTTGTAAAAAACTTATTCTTAGATGCACTAGTTTAATTTACATAAATAAAAGTAAACAGAAGATTAAAAGCAGGTAACACTGATTTGTGCTCAGGACTAATTAGAAATTGGGGTACCAAACAGCAGCTGTCTTTACCAATTTAGGAACCAATAACATATTGTTATTATTTACTGTGCATATACTGATTCTATACAGATCATATTCCAGGACCATTCAGTGACAGGTAATATGCAAATGCATGTGCAAACACACAAAACAGAAGACTGATTCTGCCCTTGGAAGCTGGCAATCCAAGTAAAAGCATACTGTACAGAAGCAGTAAGCACAAGGGATGAGAAGAAATGTAAAGCCTCGACTTCTAAATGTTTTTCTTCTTCAGAGACATCTACTCTAAAAACATAACATGCCTCCTATATATCATGACAAACTTTGTAAAATGCATCTAAAAGCATAATGGACTTCCTCAGTGACTTCTCTTTGCTAGTCAGTAGTATTAACAGGAACTTCTTAATACTGGTGACACAAGAATAACGCTGTCACAAACTTGCAGTGGGTCACTGTTCTTCTAGAGAAAGCAAGAACATAACAGAAATGGACTGTGAGTGTCATGGTCTTTATCTTGACTGCCCAAGACCAGGAAGTCTCTGTATGTACTACCACTGCCAATTATGCACGATACATTAAAGGGCAATCTCAACATTAAATGCTTGAACAGAAACAAATCTGGGCCACTTGATTCATAGCATGCTGGAATTTGACTGACCTACTTAATTTCTTACAAAAGAGATCATTTATAAAAACACGTCAGAGAGACAAGGGTACAAACAGCTGGATGCCGGAATGATTATAATTGCATGAATATGTTGCAGAAAAATTGGAGCAATGAGTAAATCATCTTGACAGAATCTGAACTGCATTTTGAATTATAACTGTAAAATAAGTAGCTTTGTCAGCAAAACAGTCCTCACTTCTTCAAGAACACATATATCACAAAAAGAAATATCTTTTGTGTTAAATCTGAAACATAAATGCATATTTTAGGACCTAGTATTTTACCCTGAACTGCAGCTACATTAGTGGGAGTAGTGGGAGTACATTAGTTCAAAGTTATATTGAACTGATTGGTTCTAGGTCAAACCCTGGCAATCTCTCTCTTGAGGTACAGACTATTACACTATTTCAGCTGGAGCACTCCATACAGCCCAGCAGGAATTTTTGGATCTTGCAGTTTTTAAGTATCATAGTTGTGTCTTTTTAAGTGAGAGAAACATTTCTAAAGAATGTATTTGAAACTTTAGACTTTTTTTTTTTTTTTAATAAAACAGTATACGAGCCCACAGAAGTCATCTAAAGAAAGGAAATTTTAGGCTGACACTTCAGTAGCTTAATTTGGAAATTTCAGAGCAAAGACTTCATACAATTAAAACTCATAAAAATGTTCAAGTCTACAACACAAAGTCTTGCAGATATGTGTAAAGACACAATCTTTAGTTATAAAGATGAATTATTCTTTTATGTAAAACAAAAAATGCTTATTTAGCTACTTTAGAAATGTATGACTTATTTCTGCATTGCCGTGCACTGTAAATGATTCTGTTTCTAGCTTGTGACACTCACAGACCTCTTTTAACATTAATTTGTGGAGGAGCTCTTCATTGATATTTGCTATGAAAAATGTATTGTTCAGCACTAGCCTTATTTAAATGTATAATGATTTTGGAACATTCTATTTGAGTTACTACTTAAACCTGCTGCTGATCTTCTCACCATGGATCTCAACACTTCTACATTGCCCATAAGCCTTTTTTTAAAAAGAAACAAACTATCTTCCTTTCAACATTTTTATCATTAATATTTAGGCATTATCATTATTTTCTTCTCCTAAAATAATTTTTAATATGTGACCAAAAGATTATTTTAACAGATTTATTTTGAATATTATTTTTACAGCTTCAAAGTATTATTAAAATAGAAAAGGACAAAGCCACATTTTGATACAGTGACGACTGTATAATTAAATGGTGTCAAATATACTTCACGTAAATATCTGCCTTTCCATATGGGATTCTATGATTAATGCAGTTATGTATTTCAAGAATTAGTTATACTTCATTTAACTCATTCAAGTATATGTACTGTATGGGTATGTATGTGTATATGTCTCATTACGTACAGTTACATTCTCTCACTTAATAAATGATTCTGTGTCTACAGAGATGAAATACATTTTAATTGTTCTAATATAAATTTTAGTATTTATCCTACTTGCACTACATATGTATTCATATGACATTAATTTTGGAAATGAAGAAAATCATTCCACTTACTGTACACTCGATATATAGCAGAGTATTGCTGCAGCATTCAGTGACATGAAAGTAAAATGAACAAAGAAATTATATACTTTGCTATTACACAATGTATTTTTCTGAGACTGACAGAGAGCCAAGTTCTGAATGATCTGCTCTGAATGTCTGCTCATTACCAGCTGTTTCTTATACAAGTTTTAAACATTGCATTACACGACTGAAGCAAAGTTATCTTCCAGACATATAACACAAAGATGCTTATATATTAAAATAAATATTAGAGTACAGAAAGAGCTTGCAGATGAAATTGCCATGTTCTTAGGAATTTAGAGATATCTCAGACAACTGGAAGCTGGCAAATGTTGTTTTCAAGTTTTCAAGAAGGGCAAGAAAGAAGGCCCTGTAAATTACAGGCCTGTCAGTCTCACTTTGGTGCCTGGTAAAATTACGGAGAAGATTGTTCTGAGAGTTATTGAAAAACACCTGAAAGACAACACAGTCATTGGTCAACACGGGTTCATGGGGGGAAAGTCCTGTTCAATTAACATAATCTCCTTTTATGACAAGTACCCTTCTGGACAAAATGTTCAATATACAGCTGGAGAAAAATACGTCATGTGTATGTTTGCAGATGATGCTAAACTGGGAGCAGATAAGGTCTCTTGGTTTGTTCAGCCCAGAGAAGAGGAGGGCTCATGGTGGCCTACAGATTCTCACACAGTGGAGGGGCAGCACTGAGCTCTGCTCTCAGGTGTCAGCAACAGGACCCGAGGGAACAGCATGGAACTGTTTCAGGGGAGGGGTAGCTGGGGGTTAGGGAAAGGGTCTGCACCTCGACAGGCTCTGCGCAGGGCAGTGGTCCCGGCCCCAAACTTTCAGAGTTCAAGAAGCATTTGTACAACACACTCAGACGTAGGGTTTGGATTTTAGGTGGTCTTGTGTAGAGTCTGTAGTTGGACTTGGTGATCTTTGTGGGTCTTGTGTTATATAATTATTTAGTGTAACTGCAATGAGAGTTTAAAAATAAACATAAACTTACATTTTCTATTACTAACTTCCACAGGTTTTTGGAAAACGTTTGTTAACAATATAGGAGAAAATAATCAAGACAGACATTTGAACTATACTTGTTCTGGTTTGTTCTGTAACAATCTTTCTTAATACATCATCACTGATGGATTTTTTTGCTACCACTACCAACAGTGATGAGAGTTGCACTTCATACTCGGTACTCAAAATACTTGGCATTTTCATTTTCCATAGGGAAATACAGATTATGTGTGTGTTGGTACATTGTTTTTTTTCTGTATTGTATTTTGAAGGAACACACACAGAATAAAATTTGTTTTTCTACATGATAAGAGCCTGTTATCCATCTTTAAAAGTCCTCTCCAATTTGTTCATTACAAATGTTTCAGGCGTGCTAAAAATGAAGTGAAACAGAAATGCTGCTAAAAATCTATGCTTTCGGTATTGTCATAGCAGAAAGTGATTTTAAAAGACTGGGTAACTGTATGACAGAAATGAGTTTTACTCAGAAACACCAGTGTAAGGAATTAACTGAACAGCTGTAAGATGTACAGCTCTTTTCTGTCAGGCTCTGAAGCTTTAAAGGTGGGTCTGCTCTTCAATTTGTATTCCTCATGGGCTAAAGAGTCTATGTAATCATGAAGAAAGGTATGTGGGAGTTACTTTTTCAACTACTGCAAGTGTTTCAGTTGTAAGCATGAACACACATAATTCCTTAGTATATTTCAATATGAAGACCACGATCTGGCTCTTAACATCAGAAACAAAGCTTTGTTACTACTCCGAATATACAGTTATTTCAGTGAAACTGCACAGTGCACTACAAAAATCTTTTGGTCTGTATGAAAAAGAATGATTATTTTCTGCTATAAACATGGCAGGTCTGGCAGGGAATGTGTTAAGTATTGACATTCCAGATACTATCATGCACATCACAAACACTGCAGTTAAGCTTGTTCGGCTGTTTGGCCTGGAAAGAAGTCTTCCTTCTGTTTTAAAATGTTTTATTTATTCCTCTAAACTTAATTAATTTAAACTTAATTTAATCTTAATTTAAACTTAATTTAAAAATAAGAGATGAATCACTTTAAAAATTTTTTGGCGTTCCAAAGTTTTGTTCTTCAAATAAATTAAATTTTCATTTTTCAGAAGTATGCAAAAGGACATCAACTATTATCATAACACTATATTAGATAAGTATTTTGCATATTCACTTCTCTCAATTAAATGGAGGGAAAGAAGCACAGAACCATCTTTAAGAGGCAATTCTGGGTGCAAGATAAGTGTTCTGAAGGATTCAGACTATTTCTCGGGCCCTATCAATATAAAAACTTGAGGCACCACTTGAGAGTAGTGGTAAGAACAGCTTTTACTGCCTATTCCAGGCATCCGTCCACAGACTTGAAGGACCTGGATGCACTGCCATTTCAATTGCAGTTCAACACCAGTCTTTCTAAGGCTGATCTTTTTCAATTATTTTCAGTCACTCTGACGGATAGGATTGAAAGATGAACTTCCCCTGACTGCATATTATCATGTCTCTGGTGCTAACACTCGTGCTGTCGCAGATACACAAGAAGTCCGAGAACCTTTCCCACTGAGAAGTTGCCAGGAAAGGTAAAGAAGAGAGAAACTATGAAGGCTGATTTGCTCTGTGCAAAACTCTAAGACTATCAATCAAAATGCCAAATTCCATGGTGACAGTTTTTGGCTTGTGAATCTTAAGGAATCTTAAGGAAAGCTGCCCTGGTATGTCAGATGGACACAGGTCTGCAGGCCTGCCTTCAGATCTCATGCTTAGCAACTTTTCCAGAAAGAAGTCAAACAAGGAACTGAACTATATTATTTATTTCCCTCATTGAAAGGAACTCAAGTTAACACAGTTATCTTTCTCTTGAGTCCTTTGTAAATAGCAAGTCTTCAAGTTGATTAAGCTGAGAACCTACTGTAAACAATCGTAAGACATTATTTTCTCTTGCTGAAATTGCTCAAGGAGTTTGTGATTTGCCCCATCTGTATCTGTAAGTTTACTTTCTTTTCGCAGTGTTGCCATGATATAAATATAGTAATAAGAATGATTCAGGTTAAATAAAACAGTTACAATTCACCACCCTATATGACATTTTCTTCATTTAAGCAAAATTATTGCTATGATCCATCCAACAGCACAACCATCCAAATAGTTCTACATGTACAACTAAAGGAGTAGTAAACTGCAATCAAGGCAAGAAACAGCAGCAGCCTTTTAAAGTGGTTTAACAATAGAGAAAATGTAATTTTGATCTATGTTCTTCAACACTTTGGATGCCTCTATTGGGGAATATTCAGAGAAACTGAGTTAATTACTCCTGTTATTTCAATAAACAAATTATATTAAACCTTAAAATCTGTCATCTAGGAGTGAACAACTTAAACAAGCTTGTTCATATTTGAATTTATTCAAGAAAATTAACCGAATAGTACAACGATGCTCTAACTTTAAAACAGAAGTGACCACACCTGACATTTTTCAGGGAAACAGCTGATATGATATGAACCTATTCCTATTTAAACCTGAATGAGCTTTTGTGTTACCAGGCCAAAGGGGACTGAGCTAGTAAAATGCAAGGAAATGCTACTTTTTGAAATCCATTGCCCTGAATCCTATTTTATCTACATACTCTTACTTAGATTTTTAGTTAATTATAATCATAGTCAGTAAGACATCATAATTCAAGCAAATTTGTGTCAATGAATTTCACATCTTTTCAAAAAACGGGCTTCAAAGTAACAATCCTTGTTACAATCTGTCTTCCATACAGGTTCTGATATGCAGCAGCTTTAAGCATCATGTTATAAAACAAGAAAGCAAAAGAACTGTTTTTAAATCCTGCACTACACAGCAGGCTTTTGATAACATTCAACTCAGTCTCAGTCTAGGCAGATCAATGATAATCACAGAATCACAGAATTGTTGTTAATTGTAGATAATGTTTTTACTATTCTGTCTCACTGATATTCTTCTCTTCGGAATTTCTCCAGTTCTTACTTTTAGACAGGAAATGATCTGATGAAATAAAAATCTGTAAAAACTTTGTTTTGGAGACTGCTTCCCAGCTCATTAGCCTCTCTGCACTTCCTCTACACTCACAGCTTGCAACACCTTCAGGGCAGTCCATGACAATTAGAGTAAGAGTAAAACCTCTTCAGATCTGACAACAGAATTGTTACTTTCTCTGCTTAACTTGGAAGATACAAAGAGCTGCGTTCAAATGAAATATCTTCCAAATATACGGTACAAAGTACAGGGCATGTTGAATGCTTAACAACGTTTTGTCATAATGCAACTGCTACAAATATAAATGTGTAAATTTAAAGTATTCTCTGACCTCTTTTTTGTCTAAAGCAGCATACTCAGCTTCAATGCTTTCAGCTTCAGGATCACGTGAAAATACCATTCGAGATTCCAGGTTAAGAGCTAGCTCTTTGTGGTGTTGTTTCTCTGCACAGTCACATGGGGTATCTTTATTTTCATTTTCTGCAAACAAGTCCCCACCGTGTTTTACCAGAAGCTGAAAAAAGAGTAAATAGTTACCAATTACCAACTGTAACAACATCCTGAAGAAATGATACATCAAGAAGAGAATAAAAAAATAAGAACAAGGAAAACTGAAAGAAGGGATAAATATAGCAGCAATCACCTTTGGGAAGCAAATACCATGTCATTAAATATATAATTAGCTTATCACTGAATAAATAATTAATCATCAAAATCACTTACCACTACTTAATAAATTAAATTATTGTAACTGTTATTAAATAAATTATTGCTTGATTTAATATATAACTATACTACTGTAATTTCTTGGAACCAAAAAATCACAGAAATATGTTACAAGCTAATATGTTTTTGCTAGGGTTTGATCACTGCAGCTCAGCTGTAGTGATATGGTCAGTGCTCCACAAAAAATGAAGGGCTTGAGATCATCAAGCACCCGGCAAGATGAAGCTATAGCCACCTTTAAATATTCTTTACATATGGGTATAACTCCACTATTCTTCACATCAGTGATCCACTGATGGTGACAGAAGGTGGGAGAATCCCCAGGCAGGGAGGGAAGACGGGGATTAATTCATAAATAGCATTCTGCACCACTGGTAGCTCTACCTTAACTTTGAGAACAGGACAGAAAGAAATGACATGATGCAACCAAAAGCTACACCAACCAACTGCAAAACCAGCAATTACTGTTCAATTATTTACAATATAGCACACAAACAGCACACAAGCTGAGTTGCACCAACCTTACTGAATGCTTGATATCAAATATGTCTCTGTATAGTGCCACTGTCTTTTGTCAGTAGCCAGCCAGAAATGGAGTTTCTAGCTAATAAACACTAATTGTGCTGCTCTCCTTATCTTGGCAAACTTGTCTCCTGCTATAAACTCATCTGATATAAGCAAGCAAAGCAAATGCCATACAAAAGTCAAGAGTACATAATTCTGCTGATTTGTTGTGATGCCTCTATAGCACAGACTGAACTCCAATGGTGGAGCACTCAGGACAATCACTCACTATAAAAATGATTCACTACATCTCTAAATAAAAACAAAACCTACAATCGTTATCTTGTTTTCAGACTGTCATAGCTATAATAATTCTATTCTGTACTTCAAATTTCAAAACTTAATTTTTTTTACTTCTAAAAAAATAAGATTTCCACATAAAGACCTGCTCTTCACAACATCTTTTTGATTGTGATCACTTCTTAATTTTCATCTTCAACATAGTATTTTTCTTTAAGCTGTCACTATACAATACAGAGCAAATTTTACAGATCTGGAATAATTCATAGAATCATAGAATGGTTTGAGTTAGAACGGCTTAACCCTACTGTCATGGGCAGGAGGAACACCTAGGTTAGGCTGCTTCAAGTCCCATCAAAGCTGGCCTCGATCACTTCCAGGGATGGGACATCCACAACCTACCTGGGCATCCCATGCAAGCGCCCCACTACCCTCACTGTGAAGAATTTCTTCCTTACATCTAATCAATCCTACCCTTTATCAATTTATCAATATCCTTTATTAATATCAACCCCTTGTCTCGTCACTACACTCTCTGATAAAGAGTCTTTCCCTGGTCTTGTAGATTCCTTGAACACTTTTCCCATTTTCTCCAAAATTAAAAGATATGTTAAAAGCAGAAATTTGTGTCATCAAGGACGACACCATATTTTCTCCTCAAGCATAATATCAGGTAGAAATGAAGATAATACTAGGACAATTATCAAGATATCCAGCCTACACATACCTTGTTTTCTATCTGAACTTCTTGACAAAGTCTTGCTAAAATTTTAGTAACTTGAATTTCACACTGTCTGTACATTTTAAACTTTAACAAAAATTTACCATCATCATAAAAGACACCTTCTGAAGACGAAAATTAATAAATAAACTTGAAAGAAGACTCCATAGACTTATGCATCTCAAAATCGAACTTGCAAGATGATGGATGTGTAAAATGATGTTAAGAATGACACCCTATTTCTTTGGTGCCACTGTTAAAAAGGCTTACGTCTGTTAAGAAATTAAAAAGATACTAATAATCTAATCACATAAAGAATTTAAATAATAAAAATGCTATTTAATATACCAAATATGCTGTGATAGAGTAATATATCTGCATGAAATCAAATCTATTCAATATAAAAGTCAAGGCTTTTTTTCTGTTTAGTGTTTGGAGGAAAGCATGTTAACATGTCTTCAGCAATGTGCTCCACACAGTTGTTCTGCTCAGAGAAGAAATTAAACACATGTGAATGGAGAAGAATTAAAACTCTGAACAACCTCAGCTAGTAGGTGGTTCACCCACACATGAATATGTTCTTTCTCTCATTTCCTTATTTGGGCACAGTGGGGATAGAAGTTACAAGAATTGAGTTTCCCTGAAAAGTTATGGAAAAAAGAGATAGTTAATGAAGAATGCTGCTCTGAAGCGGCAGTAAATACCCCAACATGGCATGCAGCAGTTAATACATGCAAAAGGCACCCTGAGAAGTCCAAACAACCTTCAATTTACTGAACAGAGTGAAAAAACTCGAGGGTTAAGTCTTTTTTTTTTTTTCTTTTTTTTTCCCCAGATTTTTACATCTCAGGAACAAAGAGATTATTGTTGAATTCTTTTACTAAGCTCTGTTTCCTGCTTTCCATGATGTAGTGTTGCTGTTCACGTTGAAGGACTACAGACAATACTGGAAGACTGAAGACTGACTCATGTCAGATCATTTCATATGAGTTTTATTTTATTTTCATCAACTTTGTCTCAAAGAGGTTGTTAAGTGCTAAGCCACAACATCCCTCATTTTCTGAACAATTCTGAACAATGAAAAATGTTTATATTCTGAACAATAATGTTTAGAAATAAATAGATCTTGGGGAAGGCTGCATGGAACAACTGTGAGTGAAACTGTATTTTGAATATCCCTGTAGTTTGAATTTATCAGGCAGCTGGATCACACAAGTGGTATTAAAAAACAGAATGAGAGAGAAGTATGGTCCTTTGCAATCCATAACCTTCTGTTTGCCTAATCTAAAATAAATACAAGTTGACAATCAACTTAAGAGCAGTATTAACTTAGACTTGATACTCATTTATAAACTAATTGCATCAAAAGAGACGCAAAATCAATCATATAACCTTGCAAATAAGGAAAGTTTCACTCTAGTGTACAGGAGTAGCAAGGCAATATCTGTGTGCAATCCAGTTACTATGAACATAATTAGCTGGATCTGAGAATAATTTGTCTAGAAAAGACTGTGACCTGCCTCCCTGGTGAAACTCAGGACACGTTTAACTAATTTCTAGCGAAGTGCTGATAACAAACTGCTTGCATGAGGCTTGCAGCAACTACATGGGACAGAGAAGAGAACGCCATAGATTTTGGCTGTGATACTGGAGGTAAAATATCAGAATCTATTAGCAGCATCCTCTAAACTCTTCCCATAGTAAAGAGTGAACTTTCAGACACCCATAGGCTTAATTTACAGCATAGAAAACATCACAGGGAAGCAGTTTCCATTCATTAGAAGCTCAGAAAACTACAAAGGATGATCTTCATAATCACAGAACAAAAAGAGTGTTGGCTATAGACATAAAAAGACACTAGCTGAGGTTTTAAAGAGAGGACTAATGAAAAGCCAGAAAATAAAGAACAGCATACAGTTCAAGCCAGTGCACAGCTAAAGCTGGGCAGCTGAAATGACAAATTTTAAATGAGAATGTTCAGATTATATCTGAAAACTTGGCAGAATACAACTAACACAACAAAGCAATACCACTGGATGTACCATGTAAGAATCACAGAGAAGTTCTCAGTGTTGGAAGGGTGGTGTCATATTCTATTTTTCTTGTTTAAAAAAATCATGAACAAACAAACTGGCTGTGCCAACAAATATCAGAGAATCCCAGTGGAATGCAATTCTGGATTTAAATATAAAGAGCATGAATGATCACCTGACCAAACTGCAACAATAGAAGTAGCATGCTAACAAAGAACAGTAATACTGCAAGAGTAGAACAAACAAACACAATCTTCAGTCACTAAATCTCCCAAGCAGATCAAGAAAATGCTGTGCTAAAGAGACTTAAATTAAATTTTCAAACTCTGGAAGTGACTGAATCATAGACAAATTAGTTAGCCAGCATATGAGAAGTAAAACTTCTTACTTTGCTCAAAGAAATGTGCAAGACCTGACTGAAAATGTAGTGGTCAAAGAAGCACTTAGTTCACAAAATGTACTTCAGACTCCATGTCCTTGAAACGATCCACTGTCTAATTCAGAAAGTGGTACTAAATAAAAGAGTGAAAAAAAATCTAGAGACATCAGAAGAATGTGTCAGGATAGAAGAGCAGGACGTATTTATACGGGAAGAGGAAACTGACTCTGTCCCCTGCTGCAGAAAATATGAAGAACAGTCTGGAAAAAAGTAAATCTAAAAACACAATGTATAAAGCTAATCGTGGTCTTGAACAATGTGCCAAATACATAACAACTCAGAGTAAATCATTTCAAAACATCACAGAGTGCATCTGTCGATGTGTCTGTAAAGTCAGCTACCAAAAAACGAAGTGCAAGAGCAATCGCAGAGAACATAAAACAGCAAAGTGATAGAAATTCAGCTTTTCAGTGGGTGTGCTACATAGATCCCCATGCTTTATGAAGGACACAAGCAAAAGCCCGTTTCAAATTGAAGTTTCAGCACAAGAAGTTCTAGAACAAATCAATAAACCAAATACTAATGAATCTTCAGCACCAGATGGTATTTATTCATGAGTCCTGACGGAATTTAAATATAAAATTTCTGAACTATTTATTACAATATGCAACCTATTGCTTACATCTTTGATAGTACAAGATTAGAAGATGGTAAGAATAACATCAGTACTAAATATAGCTCCACAGAAAATTGAGAAAGTCGAGAACAGTACCACAAACATTACTGAGAGGTACCTGGAGAAATTGGAAATAATGAGGAAAATACAGCATTGATTGAAGGAAATTACATATGACTTATTTATGAGATGTCTCTGAAGCAGTCAAGAAAACAAGTTTGCTGATAGTTTACGTACAGACTTCCAAAGAATTCAACAAGTACACTTAAGAAAAGTAGAAAACTATAGAAAGCTTCTTGACCAAAGTAATAACTTGTTAAAAGGCAAGAAAACAAGGAGAATTCTTGATGTTAGGAAATATACTCTTATGAAAATGCTAGCTGTTTATGAAAATATTAGGTGTGTTACATTGTGCTCTTTAAATTAAATTACTAGCATAATTAAATACTAGCTCTCATTATTTGGTATAGTTTAAAAATAAACTTGGTGGGAGACTTTCAAAGTTTTTATGATTTCCCATTACTCATTGCTACCCAGTACTTTCACAAACATTAAAGAAATTTTTAATATGCAAAAAGGTAATTATATTGATGTATACTAGCACTGATGTAAGGCATCCTATAAAAAAGCTGGGCACTGCGAATTAAAGACCTGTTCCTGAAACATGGACGGCATTAGAACTTTAATTTTCCCTTAGGTAGTTACTTCACTTCTCTTTATACATACAGGTAATTCCTAGGCCTACTTTTAAAGCCTCTTCACCAGTGTTACAGACTTGTAATTATTTCCAACTTTTATAAGCCTATATCAGTTTATTTTGTGCTGAAGAGTTTATGTCATAAAGCCAATATAAAAGTAATCCATTTTTCTTTGTCTTCTACACAGTGTATGTGTATTCCGAGCTGCTTAGCTTTGACATTTTTTTTCAATTAATGAAAATACAAGTTAATTAAAAAGCTAATTCAACCACATTGTTTTCCTTGAAACAGCCTTGTGAAACGCTGCATGTAATTTACTGACAGTAGTATAAGACTTGTGATCATATATCAACTTTTACCTCGACACAGGTTTTCATCCCTGAGGCAGCAGCATAGTGCAAAGGTGTATTTTTTTTGTTATCAACAGCATCAATGGCTGCTCGTTCATACTGTCCTTCATCCAGCTTTGCTCCCTTCCATTTCAAGATCATTTGCAGGCAGTCTGCTCTTCTGCAATCATCTTCGGAGGGTCTTGTCAGGCGAGGATGAAGAGCTCCTTCTGAGATCATGATCTGCGGTCCCATACACAGTAAGTGCATAGACGTCTCATTGTGCACATTCCGTTTATTTGGGTTACCATCTCTAACAAAAAGGAAAGTTCTGCAAAGGAAGGGAAACAGAAGAGAGATAATTAGCACACAATTCCTCTCATTTTCTTCAAGTGGGAAAGCTCTATTATGACAGCTTTCTTTTCCTTTTGCCAAGATTTTATAAGCTATGTGACAGATGTACATTCTTAATCGATAATTTCTATTAGATATGTTAACATGTAAAAAAAAAATCATTAATCTACACTCCATACAGTGCTCACAAATTGTTTTAATGACTCTTTTAATGCCTTCCAAAGACAACAAATTGTTTTTATTTTCATTCTGGGAAACCAAGAGTAAATCAGTCTGTTTAAGAACCTTGTTCAGAACACCAGTCCATGCGCCCTTATGAAAAGCTGGAGGAGAATTTACATCCAGTCGAGCTCTTTTTGGAGTCAATAGCCAAGATCTGCATGAGTTACCAAAATATCAACAGTCCATTTGATTTCTTGGAGTGTGGCAAATTTTTGTAGGCCAAGTTTTTTCTAAAATTCTGCACTGTATTGCAAGAAGTGTTATTAAGGCACAAGACTGATTAAATAGATCATTTCTTTTTATCATGCAAATGCCCACCTATAAAGGTGATAGGGGTTGGCAAGTCTTTTCTCAGAATGCTTTAGCTGCTGTTCACAGTGGACAATAAACTGTGGCAACAAAAAGGATCAGCTGAGAAATGAGAGGAAAAGAACAGATCGATTCCTGGAATTGCAAATCTGATTCCTGACAGCTCCTGAGGCAATATAGCTTTCTGCTGCTTCTTGCCAGCAACGAATTATAGAAATTACAATCCAGTTCTGAAATGGAAGAAATGAGACATAACATACAAGACCTACAAAGCCAAACTTGCTTTATTCTTTTGAGGTATATAATATTAATATAATAAATGTTAAAATAATAATATATTGAGATAATTTTTTTTTCCTCAAGGGAGGGAGAATGCTAGGAAATTGAAAGGAAGAAAGATTGTTTCCTTATAAATGGCCATGGGAACACTGCTAAGGAATGCTTCAGAACCAACTTTTCACAAAACCATTATGATCTTATGAAAAGTTTTGATAGAGAATGGTTCCCTTGCTGTTTCTCATGACCCCATTCCTACACAGTCTAGCATCCTTATAATCCTCCCAGGGTATCTGTCCCTGCATCTACTGCCTGTGCATTTTCTTCTTGCTCTCAAGTTTGACCAGCAGATCCTGGTTCATCCATGTTGGATTCTGGCATTATTTTCCTGACTTCTCACACCTGGGGATGGAGAGTTCTTGAGCACTAAGGAAAGCTTTCTTAAAGATCTACCAGCTCTGCTCCTCTCCCCTCTCCTTGAGGACAGTTTCCCAGGGGATTTAGCAGTCTAACTCCCTGAAGAGCTGGAAGTTAGCTTTCCGATAAATTTAGCATCTGATTTTACTTTTTGTCTGTCCCATGATGTAACAAACAATTTACAAGTTTCTATATAAAAAAAAAGCTTGTGAAGGTAGCAGACTCCCCCAGATTCATGTGGAATGAGCTGAGATGAAATTGTGATAAAGACGGGCTCAGATCACTTCTGCAATTACTACAGCAGTCTATGGGAAAGTAACAGGATACCAAAAATGCCAATTCTTATGCAGAAGCACTTGGTAAGAATTCCTGAGGACAAACACAAGGAAGAGCAGAGACGAAAGGCCTCACCTGATACAGAGGCCTAGCAGCCTGCTAGGATTCAGTGCTGCAAGCAGGGTGTACTTTGCCTTTTACATCAAGTGAAAATTTATTTCAAAGTTTGAACCTAGTCTGCATAATGCGATAGATGGCTGCATTAATCAGACCCACAGTCTTCAAATGTCAGGAGTGTCTTTCAGGTGTTCATTAACCACATCTTTTCCTCCCACCTCAAGTTGCTTTATATCCAACATAATGACTCCTGTTACTTCTTTAACTCAAAGTAAAATGTCACTTTAAAATTCAGTGAAGACCTGGGCTTCAGCTTTTTTAATTGCCAGAAGGCCTTCATCATCACCTCCCAAATCACATGAAGTTTCTCTAGCTATCTAAACATCACTGTCTAGACTTGGTAACACTTCTGTTTTCTGTTTTTATTTAGCACTTTATCATCGCTCAAATTCCATGCTGTGGTATTTTAAAACATGTGATTCACTCCTGAATCAGGTTACAATGCATCTGATTATGGAACAGCACAATGTTTTTGTGGTGACCTGTAAAAGCTGTAAATCACATACACTTTTTCTCACAAAACATTCTTAAAACTTACTTAAACTTATTTAGAAAACTTACTCTATTTCTCCCGACAACTCTATGATGGTTCTATTTAATAATGCAAATATATGGAGATCTAATCCATATTAGAATACTTGCATGCTGTAACCTAATATTTTTACACTGCTTAGATTTGTATAGGTAACCATTGTAGAAGATTCAAGTACTGCACATACAAATGCAGTGGAATTGGTTGCACTATACTTGTTCTCTGAAAACAGCCCTAGGCTGAAACTCTGCATAAATGCAGAACTTCAGGGCTGTCAAGCCAGTATACCTTTTCAAAACCAAAAATTCTCTCTAAAGAGTTAATTTAAAAGTCAGCTTTAGTAGTGAATAAGTATTGCTATAAATTTCTTTCACCATAAAATTAAGCTTCATGGAAAAGTATAATAAAACTCTGATTTTAAGAAGTTATAGAATAAAATCACAGGGTTACTTAGGGAGGAAAAGACCCTTAAGATCATATAGTCAAACCATCAACCATCAACCTAAAATGTCCACTGCAGGTTTCTATTTTAAACAAACAGTAAAGAGACATAGGATGGATTTAAATTTTCTAAACTGTCATTGTGCTGTTAGAGATAAATCCAAAGCACCTCTCTAGTAGACCATTCTCCTAATATCAATATCTGCCCTTATGTGAAAACTACATGGTAAAAGAGTGTCTAACCATCTCTACGAAATCTTCAGTGAGAAACATCTTCTGCACACATCTCTCAATGTTCGCTTAAAATATAAGCAAAATTTCTAATACAATTTTGTGGGTTTTGTAAACATCATTGGTGTGGGGAAAAAAAAAAAAAAACATTTTACATAGGGACAATTGCTTGTTCATCTTGTTTGTTGCTAATTTTCTGTGTCTTATAAATAGGTGTGACAAACACCAGTGCTAGCAAAGGCAACCATCACCTCACAGGAAACAAAAAAAGCATCCCTATCTTTTCTTTATAATTTCCAGAAGTCAAAGGAACAACCAAAGCTGAAAATCCACAACTTTAAGTTCAGAGAAGATGTCTAATATCTAAAGAAGGGTAAATCAATAGATTTTGTACCACATGATCATTATTTGACAGGGCTCCATTTTTAACAAGGTATTTGGTGTGTATCACTTTCAAAGCTCAGTGCCATAGGCCCATCTGATCTGGCTTGTAACTTCAGAGGTATAAAAAGCTACATTCTGCTTGGAAATGTACTGGTAGAGTGAAAAAAAAAAACACTGCATACGGGAAATACCACGTAATCACAAGACAGTCACACTTTTCTTTAGTTTTACAGCTTCCAGATTTTGCATCAAGCTGTAGCTCTCTACAGAATCCAAACTTGAGGTGACAAACCCATGAAAAAAAAGTGTTGAAAAAGTGGCAAAAAAGAAATGTCTGTAACATTTACGCCTACTACTATCCATATTTGGACAAAAGCAGCAAGAGACTCAAGACAAATAGGCTGTGAATTTGAATAATAAACAACTGACACATTCACTCTGAGAAGCATCAACACAACTATTTCATCAGGTTTTAATAAAAAGTGGGGATGAAAACATTTATGGCCTGTTTCTCTATGCAGATGCTACGGAATATACTTATTTATAACTATACACATTTGTACACGTATAGATACATGTACATTCACAAAACATGAAAACATATATACATTACAAAAATAAAACCAAAATAAAAGCCATTGTAAAGTGAAAGTGCAAGGCACATAGTATACCATATAAATATAATGCAAGCTGCACTACTTTAAGCAAGATGTACAGCAAAAACGTAATCTAATCTGCACAGGCTTCTCCTTCAGAATATTTCTTCTGGTCCTTGAGTTAGCTAGCCCAGTGAAGTCCAGCTCACTATTAAAAGAGTTAACATTGCATAAGTGAGAGCAAACAGCTTTTTGAGCAAGTATGGTTAAGCCATGAGTTACCAAAATACAGAAAAGCGCCAAACATTTTTACCCAGTCATTTGAGATGCTCATGCAATGAATTAAGCCAAGTTACTGCATCATTCAACTTCCAAACACAGCAGGTCAACACTGACACGTTACTTTGATGTCAACCTTGAATAACGATGGACATTTCATTAATATGAAGTACTTCCTCTCCACCCCTCCAAAATGTACAAATAACTATACTATTCTAGAAAGCACTTGAATTCCCTTTTGTCATGACTGACGGCTGTCACGAGTATGGACTGGTTTAAATGATATTGTGAAAAGTGTAAGTATTTGCCTGATGTTAACAGCCACACAGAATAACAACAATTACTGATACTTTCATCCATTAGATGGTAGTAGGAAATTTTTTATTAGTGTTTACAGGTTTTTCCTCTCTTTCCTCAAGATTCTTATGTTTCTCCTACAGTACAAGGATCCATATGTAGTTAAAAAAAACTGGGTAGGATTCAGTGACTATCTCTACTCTAAGATAAAGAATCCTCTGATAGATTACTAAACCCGGCCTATTTATTAAAAAAAACAAAACAAAACAAAACAAAACAAAAAAAACCCCAACAAACAAACCCACAAAACTCCAACAACAAAACACCATGGAACTATTATGCTGACTTTTTATAAGCCTTAAATTCAACTTACTCCTTGCCTAAGAACTGTTATTAACACTGCCAGAGTGCAGTGTTAATAACACTAATAATATTCTGTTAAAGTAAGAACTAAGGTTATACCAGCTGCAGTTTGGGCTACTGGCAAAACATGGGAATCAGTGGAGAGGCTGGCATGGATACTGCACTGCTGATGGAAGT